GGCGTCGTCATCCCAGCAGGCTCGGTCTGCGTCGGTCTGATAAAGTTGGCCATTTCGCTATTTTGGCACATTCCAGTCGCCCTGGTGGTGGAAGATTGATGACTGCGGTCGCGCTGATGTTGCATGGTCGGGTGACGATCCTCTCCAGCTCGGTGAGTGCCACGTCTTGCATGGAAGTTGGAGATGGTTTGTTTCTGTTACCCTTTGCATTCCCCTGCTGCACGTCCTAAGTGGGCGCCGAGCCTCGACCGTGGGCGCGACTGGGACCACGATGGGTACAGCGGATATGCCGGGCATGGTGAGGGAAATCAGATGATGAGTGAAGACCGGCTGGGCGCATCCATTCACGTCGGACTGGCACGATTCCCCACCCCCACACTAACATGCCCCGAACGGTATCCACCAACGCTCTTTTCAGTCGGCCAATCCTTCAGCTTCGCGTGATGCCAGCTGTGGCGAGCCATTGACCTATCACTTTGTTCCCAGCTCTTCCAAAGGATCGTCACCGGGCGTGGGCCCCCTCCCCCTCGCAGCTCGCGCACACGCACTTCACCTCCGGCCAAGATCCGATGTTCACAGCCTCTCACCCCCTGTTCGCGCGCTGCAACATGAGCGAAAAAGTAAGTGCCGCGTCAATCAGCACCATGGTCCCCGCCATTGGCCACACCCACGTCAGCCAGCTAAGCGCAAACAGTTGTGCCTGGCAATCGGCTGTGTGTGCATTGCAGTGCCTTGAACCGGCTGCGGCTGTCACCGCCCCTTTGGGTGTCTTCCAAAATGCCCGTCCACTGTATCCCTCACGGGTGCGCCCTTCACCCACCTTGCTTTGCCAGCCGCTAGCTCCTCTGACGAGGCCGTCAGCTGCACCCCCACGCCCATCACTGCAGTCTTGAGTGTGGCAGGGCATGTCCGGTGTTTGAAATATTTAAGTACTGTACTATCCTCGGAACCGTTACCAAACATCCACTATCCATTGACGTATTCGTTCCGTTCGTCGTTGCAGCGTTCCGCTTATTCTTTGTCAAAGTTTGCCTGTTCTTAGTATAAAACCTTGCCAAACCGCTTCTCATCATGTCACCCCATCACGACGCACCTTCTCCTGCAGGCAGCTACACTCCTGAGTCTGCCTTTCACCACGCTGTCCAACCCGCCTACACAATGACCCGGTATACAGACTTCGACAACAGCTCAATTGAGTCCACTGACGTGGGTCTCCACCGATCCTTGATTCCTGGCATCTACGTTCCTACTGTTGCCTTCTTCGAGCCGTCATCAGATAATGTAGACGTCGAGACAACAGCCAGCCATGCCGTTCGTCTAGCAAAGGCTGGCGTTGCTGGTATCACTACTCAAGGATCCAATGGCGAGGCCGTTCATCTCTCGCACAAGGAACGCAACCTTGTTACCAGCACCACTCGCAAGGCTCTTGATGACGCAGGGTTCGGCGATATGCCTATCATTGTCGGCTGTGGCGCCCAATCAACACGAGAGTGCATTGAACTCTGCGCAGAGGCAGCCTCCGCTGGCGGAGACTATGCTTTGGTGCTTCCTCCTGCGTATTACCAGGGCCTGTTCTCGAAAGACACGGTCAAAGAATTCTTCCGCGACGTAGCCACTGCCTCGCCAATTCCTATTCTTATCTACAACTACCCTGGTGCTGTTTCAGGCATGGACCTCAACTCCGACGTCATCATCGAGTTGGCTCAACATCCCAACATCGTCGGCTGCAAGCTGACCTGCGGAAACACTGGAAAGCTCAACCGCATTGCAGCAGCGACCCGAGCAGCCACTGTCTCTGAACCCGGATCCGGCTTCATGTGTATGGGTGGATCTGTTGATTTCACTCTACAAACACTTATTGGCGGTGGATCTGGCATCATCGGCGGCATGGCCAACATCGCACCCAAGGCCTGCGTCAAGCTCATTGAGCTGTTCGAGGCCGGTAAGCTTGCTGAGGCCCGCAAGCTCCAGGCTGTAGTAGCCAGGGGCGACTGGGCCGCCATTCAGGGCGGTATCATCGGCACGAAAGCAGCCCTCATGGCTCACTTCGGCTACGGAGGTTATGCCCGCAAGCCTCTTCCCAGGCCTTCCAAGGAAGAGACTCAACGATGGCGAGATGCATTTGACGAGCTTGTCAAGGTTGAGAACTCTCTTTGAACCCACTCATTTGTTGAACAGAGTGAGACCACCTCACTTCCGGATTTGACGAACAAAATCGCGTAAAAGTTCGCCACGCCACGTTTTTATTTCTTTGGCTCCAAATGTAGCTTCGCATTGCCGTCGGCGTTGAAGTCCTTTGGCATTATTTGGATGGAGTTATTTCATTTCATAGTCTCATTTTTTTCTCTTTCTCTTCAACAGTCATGCCGGATCTTTGGAAAAGCAGTCGCTTCCAACATCTAAAAACCAAAGTTTGAAGTCCGTGTAGGATCACGGCTTTATTTTCCTGACGTAGACATGTCAATGGGCGGATATCTTGTCTTTTAGCGATATCAGTATGTACAACCAAGCTTCGCATCGTCGATGAAATGAATACTTGATCAACAATGCACCTTTCCCTGCGCCGACATTCTTGCTCGAGAGATGACACATGACACCGTTTCTGCACTAAAATGCTTTACTTGAGCATTGCTGACATGTCCTGTGGTTACCTCGCCACCTTTACCCATACCACCTGATTGGTTCCATTGTACCCAAAATATGCAGTGGGTGAGTACCATACATACTCATAGCCACTCATAGCCACTCAAACCAATCCTCAAAATGCACGAGCCTTCCCGTACAACGATGCGTTCCGAAACCCGAGTACCGTCACGCAGCATACCTACATATGCGGGCGGCCTTCCCGGCGCCCGCAGCCTAGCATACCCGCGTGCCTCATGTGGGGGGTTCTACGTGCCCCAGGTGTCGGGATTGATATGCAGCCGCGTTTCACTACCACCTATGTTGGAACTTGTTTGTGTCCTCTGCATTAACGGAAGGGATGATGGTGGTGGTGCTGCTGATAAGAGATGTTTATCTTGGCAGGCATTAGTGACGGGGAGGCTGAGACTCATAGCAAGGCTACAAGTGTATCTTCGCCACACCTGTTGTCGTTGATGGGAGATTTAGGCGGTGTGTTGAAAAAAAGAAGACAAGCTACGAAAGTAACGTGCGGCTGATACTTTCGAAGCTGCACATACCCAAGAGAGCCAATAGGGGCTTTAGTGTGGCGCCCTCACTGCCCTCAGAAAGTGATTGGCGCAAAGACACAGCGATAAGGGTACAGCAAGGTCCTTCATCCTCATAAGAGCTCACTGGGTGAGCTGATCATATGCAAGCATCGCTGATAGTGGTGCAGTCACCCTATCTAGGTACCATCCGGAAACGGCAATCGGTGAATGTAATGCAGGACGTTGTTTCCTACCTATGATACGCAGAACCCCCACGCTCAAAATAGTCGGCGTACAGGTTTGTGAGGCTATGGCGCTTTTTAGGGTCACACCTTGTGCATAAGGCAGGCTTTTTGGTGCGTCGGATGGACCCCACGCTGACGGATGCCGGATAGAGCGGACTGGGACTTACCGGTGAAGGGTGGCATGATGGAGGGGTTAGAGTGAGGCAGGCTGACTGGGGACAGTGGGGCGCTCGGTGGCTGATGCAAGGACGGGTAGGGCGGAAGCTTGTACACATGGTAGTGGAGCTTGTGGAACGGAGATGGGGAAGGCGCCACTCTTTGCTTTTCTTTCACATGGGTATGCATAAAGTAGTTAGTCGTGTGCTACAAGTTTTATCATTCGACACGGCCCCTGGCTCCGAACACATAGAAAGTATATCATGAACTTCTAGTAAATTTCAAATCATCACTACACTTCTCCATATTCCAATGCAGAGGGCGGATCTAAAAAGCCGACTAGCTCCGTGTAGAAGACAGGAAGTATCAAGACAACAGAGAGTAGACTTCATACCCCAGATAGAGACCAGTAGAACAACAGTATGCCTCTCTAGAAACTAATGTTTTCCAACGTGGAAACCTCACATGGGTACTTTGGTTTTAAACTTAAGCTCAATGTCTCCTACGGAAGAGGTAGAGGTCTCCACTCACAAAATTTATACCGCCAATCCCAGCAAACAGAAAGCGACATTAATCATTCTTCTCACAATTTTAGAACATAAACACTCTATCAGGTAGTTTTTAGGTTTGTATGTGGGCTCAACGGCTTTTGCACACCACACGATAAGCAGCCGGGAACCATTTTTATTCAAAAGGAAGGCGAAGAGACCACAGGACATTATCATCTTTGTAGTTGGTTTTAGGAAAAACACATGCATTGTGTAAGTCCTTCTTTGGATTTTTTTCCGGGTTTCTAGAAGTTTGAGGAGAAAGATGACAGATAGAAAAGAGGAGCAGAGGGTTTATATAGGTGGCCGACTCGCGATATGCAGCGCACATGCATCCCCCACTTCATCCGTTTCGGAAATATATACGCTGTCCGCTGCCATCAATTTTTACACGACACTCTTCTCTCCACACAAATTAGCAGATTTTTGCGTCCGTTTTATTTCCACAGCAACGAGAAAATATACGTGGTTAAGGTTTGTTTCAAAGAACATCGAGATCGAGGACATGCTGCCTACTTTTATGCAGAAGAGTAATGAGATGGAGTCGTATGTAGGGTAAGAAAGAAAGATGGTAGAGAGTTGCCAAAGACTTTTATATGCGAGAGTAAGGCTGGAAAAGCAGGGTATGAGTATTGACTGGTGGTGATTTTCAGCAACAGAAGAACACATTTGTAGGTAGCATCAGCTCTTTTAACCAAGATAGAACCATACGGTGATAGTAAATCTGTTTTAATCCACAATACCCAGAGAGGGAAAGAAGAAAAGCGGAAAGTTTTTGATACCGGAGCCTATACACAGGCTCGGAGCAAACAGCCACATCTTCAGGAAGACCCTTATTTTTGAAACGGTCGAGGAACGATGTGAAGTATTCGTCTTGTCTTTCACCACACTATCTACAGTGCCTGATTTAAAGAAGTAGAGAAGTAAGAAGAAGAGACCGGTGTTTATACCCTCAGCTGCCAAAAGCCCCAGAGGAAACAGACATGCGAAAGCTCGGAACACGTTTGAAGAATAGCAGAAGATGTAACGGTTTGGGCCTTGCCAAGATCCACTTGAGTGAGAGTTGGGTACGGCTATCGCTACCACACTTTATCATCACACACACCTATATAGCTGCAGTTCCTCCATAGCTAAACAATACAACGCAGTCCTCCTCCTCTCCTCACCCCGTTACAGAAGACCATAGACCAGTTCAATCTTGAATTTTCGACTAGAATCGGCCGAGAAAAGACTTGCTCCCCGTTTTTCTGAGATTTTGACACCACTCTCAGCGTGTAATTTTTAGAAAAGTAAAAAAGTAAAAAAGTAAGAAGTAAGAAGGAGAAAGCAAAGGTTTTATACCCCATCGCCACCAAGAGACCAACAGAAAACAGCCATTTGTTTTTAGCGCGTTCATTTTCGAAAGGCAGAAAACCATGTAGCAAAGCTGAGAGTGTTTTAGGAATAGCGAGGAACAAGATACTCATATTAATCCGAGTTTTTAACACACCATGTATAATATGTGCAATGGTCGAATTTAAGAGAGGAGAAAATGAGAAGGAGAAAGCAGAAGTTTTATACTCCACCACCAGCTCCAGACAACTCAGAGGAAACAGGCATAAATCCTGGGGAGATCGCTTTTAAGAAAGGCAGAACACCATGCCAGAATCCTCTATCAGAATGAACAGGAAATATGCTATCGTAATACTTGTTTCTATTCCATTTCTCGAACTGTTTGGAAAGTAGAGAGTAGAAGAATAGGAGAAAGAGGTAGGAAGGTAGAACTTTATTACCCCTAACCCAAGACAAGTCATGGCTCTTCTTTGAAGGGATTGACAAAAACAAACATGGCTAGTTTGCTCAAAGTTTTATGTAGACTGGTAGTTTTTTAAGAGTAACTTGGTAAGAGAGGTGGAAAGAAGCAGGAAGTGGTCGTTTTATATCCTTAGCGCGACATCTTCTACGGCACAGCCATTCCGCCTTTTTTGGTCGTTTCTAGTTTCACAGGAAATTATGGGCGGATATATGGCTCCGCGCACGAGGTCTCCTCCCCCATCCGAACAGTCGGAAGGTTTTTTTTAGAACAGTATCTTCTTCCAACTGTGTTTAGTAGAGGTGCTTCAAGCCGAACATCTCGCTGTGCTTCGTCATTTTCTTAAATGTAGTAAATGACCCAGAAGATTTTTCAGAACGCAGCCATTTCACATCCTGTTTCTTTTCAAAAAAGGCGCAGAATAACGTATAGGCCATGGTAGTTTTTTAGTTATAGAAGTAGGTAGAACAACACATCTGACAAAGACATCAGTTGTCTGTAGTAGTTATAGGTTAAGAAGAAAGCTCGGAAACAAACATCGATCACTACGTCTTCGGTTTTAGTATAACCCTCTTCTCTCGGCACATACGCTTTTCGAGGGTTTGGAATATGGAAAGTTTTGGGAAAATAAAAAGGTAGATGAGGAGGAAGAAAGGGTGGGCGAGGTAGCAGTGGGTTATATGCTTGGGTACAAGCTTTACTAACACCGAATAGGTCTAGCTTAATATAGTCACCCCGTCCTCCAGCGCATCATCTACCAGCAACCCGCACCTGCAGGGCTCTCAATCATCAAACAAAACAGAGCAAGAAACAGTATTGTCTCTCTCTCTCTTTGTGCAAGAGCATGATATTATACTACAGTAGATAGCACATGAATCCACACGCTTATCATCTACCCGAAATCAAGAATATAAGTCGTCATCCTGAGTCGCATCGCCAAACCCACCCTCCGCAATATCAACACTACTTTTGCTGGCATGGGCTGCACTAGTCGCTCTTCCTTTACCCTTCCCGCTACCACCGATATGTCCATTCCCGTTTCCGTCTCCGTTGAGTTCAAGATGCTCTGTGCGAATAACCATATCCTCGTCCGGCTCAATCGCCCTAGCCTTTCCTTTACCTTTATAGCTAGAAGCCGGCGCCGCATCCGTTTTCTTTTCATCCCCCTTCTTGCCCGCGCCTTCAAACTGTTTTCTGACTCTGTCGTAGTGTCGCAGTTCATCGGCGCTAACACTGGGTACGAGTTCCTTGTGAGCTTCCATGAAGTCTTCTTCGGTAACCATGACTGCTGTGTCTTCTTCGGTAGCCAGATGATCGAAGAAATATGCGATTGAGATGTTGGGTGAGTGTGTACTGTTGTACTCTTTGACCTTTTCGTCGACGATGCGCGCGCTGCGTGTGATGGCTTTGAGCATGGCGTCGGAGCAGAGGGCGTACATGTCAGCACCAGTGTAGGTGAACGGGAGGCCTTGGGAGACGCGTTGGAGGGAAAGGGAGGGGTGGAGTGTGAATCTGCGAAGCAAGTTAGCAACTGGAGACATAGGAAGATAATTGGTAATACATACTTTCTTGTCAATGCTTCGAGGATGGTCTGCTGCTTCTCATGGGTATCAGAAACACCCAGGTACAGCATCTTATCGAAGCGACCAGGACGCAGAAGTGCTTGATCGAGGAGATCAGGTCTGTTGGTTGCTCCGATGACGAAGACACCTTCTCCTCCATCGCTCATACCGTCAAGCTCGGCTAACAATTGACTGACAATTCGATCCATGACACCACCACTGTCACCTTGATTTCCACGCTTAGGCGCGACAGAGTCAAGTTCGTCGAAGAAGACAACACAAGGGCGAGCGTCGCGGGCTCTTTGAAACACGCGTCGTACATTGGCTTCCGACTCACCAATGTACATGTTGAGCAACTCGGGACCTTTGACACTAAAGAAGTTGAGCGAGAACTCTGTGGCAATAGCCTTTGCAAGAAGCGTCTTTCCCGTTCCTGGAGGTCCGTAAAACAAGATACCACTGCGCTTCTTCATACCCTTGGCAAACAGCTCAGGACGCGACAATGGAAGCTGAATCGTTTCCATGACTGCATCCTTGACATGGGTGAGACCACCGACATCTTTCCAACCCACATTGGGGATCTTGGGAGCGCCAATAGCGTCGGCGAAGTTCTTGCGTGCGGCATCCACCGCACCATCTAGATCAGCCTTTGTAAGGCTGTTACTAAAGGGACCACCTGCTAGCTCGATGTCACGCGTTGTGATGGTGTCACCCGAAGAATGGGACTTGGTAGCAGACGCGGCGAGTTCTTCGAGACGATTTCGCTTGGCAACAAAAGCTCGATCAACAACATCCACCAGGTCGCCTGCCACTAGAGCTGCAGTCTTGACAGCGACATTGCCCAAGTCAGCTTCGGGAGATAGTCGAATACCGGCGTCATCGATTATGCTTCTTAGGATGCCCTCTCTTTCGCCCTCATCAGGAGCTGTCATTTCGATCTCGTGTGTGAAGAGTCCCCGAATGCCTTCTGGTACTTGTCGATTTCTGTTGTTGTTGCAATCAAGACACGAGAGTCGGCCAAAATTTCCTTCAGCGCAGTGTTCATGCGATCGGCATTCAGAGCATCAACATGCTTTACAAGCAACGCTGTATACTCAGCACCGCATGAGAAAGCTCGCTCTGCCCTTGCCTTCAGGAAACCTTCGGTTTTTACATCGCCACCTCCAGCTCCACCTTCGGTTATGATGTCAAAGGCATCGATGGAAAAGGTGTGTAAGCCGAGATCCTCGCAGGCTTTTGTAGCAAGAGTAGCCTTGCCGATACCACGTTGCGTTGAAGTTATTAGAACCGCAATGGGAGGCAGGCCTAGATGAATGGCGCGAGGACTCGTAGCTACAGACATAAGCTCCCGTAGCCGTCTACGCAGTGGTGAAATGTAAGGCTTGGGTAGCTCGTCCAAAGCCATCGTCTTTTGCGAGCTTGAGACGGGCGTTCGCTTGGCGCCTAGATAGTACTGCCAGGCATTGCTGATAGGGGCCGGGGTTTTGCCTTGCTCGCTCCCGTTCATTTCCATCTTTGTGCTGGCAGCGTCCACTGTCACAGCACCGCCCCAGATGTCCGCCTCCTCGCCATCATGAGACGTATGAGGGGCGCTAGAGACGTTACCGATCCTGAACCAGGATACAACCTTTGGGTTGCGGCTGCTAACACTGGTGCTTTCTTCGTTCGGTTTTGTTTTGGCTCTGGTCAGCAACTCCTCACTGCCAGCATCATCCTCGGCGCTGGTTTGGAACACTGCTCGACCAAGAGACTCGTCAATCGAGACCCCTATGAGATCGCCACTCTTCACGATTCGCCGCTTCTGTTCAAAGTGGTCTTTCAAAGCTGCGAAGAGACTAGGTTGGAGGAGACGGTCCGATGACAGAGGTGTTGACACCTTTAAAAGGGTGACTTCTTTTGCGGAAGGAGGCAACGAAGACCCAGTTATTCGAGGCTTTTGTATCAAGTTTCTAGGCAGATGCGAAGAGGGGCTGGGAGCTAGAGGGGTGATGCGGAGGTGAGACGGGCTGCCCAGGTTTGCGAGAAGAATCGGGGATAGGTAGGCATTCAACGACGAGGTTGGCTGGGAGAAACCGGAGAAACTGCTTCTTCGATCAAGATCTGCAGTCTTCTGAACTGGGTAGCGGACAGCCTTCTTTGACATGTTCTCCGGTAGACCAAAGACGCGGACAGGACGCCAATTTGTGTTGTCTTCCTCATCCGCTCCACCAAAAGCTCCCAATCCCCAAAGGGGATGCGAGGAAGGTGCCTCAGTACCCTCAAGTCTGACCCAATCGCCAGAGAAGCAACCGACCTTGACTAGTGTGTTTATGTCGACAAAGACGCGGGCTTCCTCATCATCTTCGGTTCCTGGCTTCGGGTGAACGAGATCATCAGGGATACTTTGTAGTAGCCCTTGAGCTTTGAAGACTTTGCTCTTGCTAGTGGGCCCGCGAGCAGTCGTTGCCGTGAAGCTCGAATAGACGGACCCGGGGGTTGCGATGCCATTCGTCTTGAATTGACCCGGTCGTGGTGTTGCGGACGTGTATGCTGAAAGCGCACCTGATGACTGAGGCGGGAGCATCGGTGCGTTCAGCGAGATGATATCGTCATCCTCGTCAGACAAACCTCCAGCATCGCTCTCAGAAAGCTCAGACTCGAAGTTGTCGGCCGACTTGTCGGCTGGGGGGGAATCATTCCGCGAATCGGCTCGGTCCTCTGCAGCGGAATAGAAGGTATCGTTGGATGTGTCATCGGCTTCGTCGTCGTCGCCGAAACCGTTGGTGGCTGAGGTTTGCTTGACAGGAAGGACAGGGTGATGTCTGGAGCTGCTGCGGTGCGACTGCAATATGACGATTCGCGTGCTCGGCAGGATTAAGCCTTGTGATACAGGCTCACAGGCGCTGACCTTGGCTGGCGGGGGCGGGACGTGTGTGATGGGATGGGCGGGCAACTTGAGAGGAAGCAAATCGCCCGTGTGCAGGACAGTCGGTAACTGTAGAGCCTCACGCACGGCTTTCCGCCAAACCTCCTCTTGTGCAGCGAGATTGACTGCTTTCCCTTGAGTCCCGTTGGCTTCGAGTTGGCGGCTCTTCGGACCTCGCGATGCACCATTCATTTGAGCGACGAAGCCCCCGCCAAACTTGGCATGCACCTCATCCAGCTTTCTCAGCGCTTCCGTATCCAGATTCACGTAAACTGTGTCCAGCCCAACTGGGATAACATCGTATATCCGCACCTCGATAGGCGCATCCCGCCTCTGCATTCTGTTCGGGGCGGCATTCTGGAGGACGTGGGAGAAGGATTGCAGCGCGAGCGACGAAGCTGGGATATGAAGGGATGAGTGTGGGCGTACGGCACCATTTTCAGCCTTTTCAGCGGGCCGTACGGGCAAGATAGTCCAGGACGGACTTTGTGAGGCTACGAGGGTGCTCGGAAGCCACGGCGTGATTGCGACATGTTGAACGCGATCTGTTTCTCCATTTACTCCTGCATACGTCAGCCCTACGTCTATTGCCGGCATCTTGGACCGCATACCGGTATTCTTATCTTTGGCAGCAGGAAATAGGTCATTGAACAAATCCTCGGAGAGTATCCCAACTTCACCCTTCATGCGGTCGTCAAGCAGCAGGCGCGCCGAAATAGGAGGGCGGTCAAGACGCCTTCTCCGACGCCTCTTTCGCGGATGAACGGCTTCATTGTGCGCGTCCATGGTGAATGGCATAAACAGAGGTGCCTCGGTGGGCAGAGGTATCAACGGGGGAAGCGCCGTGTTTGTCGCATACATCTACTCAGACGTCTGTTACGAGCCGCATTGCCTCGGCAGAGCTAAACAAGCTCGGAATACATGGATGCATGCATCATCCCCGCGACCATTAGACTGATTCGGACATAGGATTGAGTTACCACGACGCGACTCGTATCTGTCAGGTTCGCAGGCACGGTTTTGGCCTTTACGTCCACTGTACAGTTGCTGGTCGCCGTAAATTGAGCCAGGTACCACGGGGGGCTTGTCACATGGCATGACCAACACAAACACGTACATATTCACAACATAATTTTATCCGTCGCCTGAACATTTCAATACACCGCAATGGAACATTCATGAATCGACCTGTGCTCGATCCCATCTCTTCAGCATGGCTTATCGTTGGAAACCTGCAGCCAGACCTCTCCTTCACGTGTCAACAGATGCAGCTTTGCCGCTGCCACACGAACGCTAACCCTGCTTTCATCTCCTGTCCACCCCCGTCATGGAAATTCCAGTTTTCGCCGCTCATTGGCAATTTTTACACAACATTATCCTGATCTGTCGCTGTTTTATACATATCTCCTGACGTAATCCTATCTCTGACCAAGGCGCGGGCGCATTGATCGAATTAGCCACTGCGACTCACGCACTAACTCTAGCATCTCTCAACACTGTTCTTCCATTTTACTCAATATTCACTCGCTCAGAATCTAGGCGGCCCAATTACCAGGCTAGACAAACATGTCAGCCGCCAGTGCTGTCAAGCATCGTATTGAAGAACACCTCAGCCATAACGAGGAGCACACCAAATCCAAAACCCAAGCAGCAGTGGATTTTGCCCACCAGGCCGAACGTCTTGGACAGTATACCCCAGACCAAGAAGACGAGTCAACAGGTTCTACACGGGCGGTAGAGGCGCGATTCATAACCCCACAAGACCCTGTGATTGAGACTGCAGACGGTCGCAGACTTCCCGCTGTCCCTCTCGAAGAAGCGACAAAGCTCAACCAACTGAGAAACATCATCGACGACGGACATCCGGCGCAAACCAAGCCTCTGGAACCACGGTTACGTGAAGCAAAAGATGGAACAGTCCACGGCCTCCTCCCAAAAGAGGCGGAAATGCAAGGCGAAGGGTTTTCCGATGTTCCCCTAGGTGATTCAAAAGCACCCTGGAAGACGAACCCTCTTTTCCCGCCTTTGCCCATGTATGGACCTCCTACGCTCATGAGAAGATGCCATTGCATGTTTTTCCGCGTTTCTTCTGGTATTCTGTCGTTTTTGTTCCTTCTCGTCATTGTGTTGGGTGCCGGATTCACGTCGCTTCCCGGCATGGTTAAGCATCTAATTCTGTTGCTTACCTTTCGCGATCCTGACAAGCGGCGACCTTTCTACAACGAAGAAACCAAACGAAAGCAAGCAAGACGAGAAGCCGAGCGGGCATGGAAGAAGCAAAACATTGTACCAACAGAGAAGAAGTTGGAGAATGGGGAAGATAGCGGAACGGCTGAGGAGTTTGAACCTTTGGAGGGTGGGCCTGATCCGCTGGTCTGCGATGTTCGCTACTATGCACGACGAGTAGGGCTTGATTGCGAAATCTTCGATGTTCAGACAGAAGACGGCTTCATCATCGAACTCTGGCATCTCTACAACCCTCGGGATTACAAACGGACGGAATCCTCCCAGCGCTCGCCACACTCACCCGAGCTTTTCCCTGAAGACGGCAGTCGGGTCGCTGGATCGCAATATCCAGAAGGAAACAAGAAATACCCGGTCCTCATGATACACGGCCTCTTGCAATCTGCGGGCGCTTACTGCACAAACGACGATGACAGCCTCGCCTTCTTCCTCGCAAAGTCCGGCTATGATGTCTGGCTTGGCAACAATCGATGTGGTTTCAAGCCTCGTCACAGCAGTCTGGACTACGGCGATCCGCGCATGTGGGCATGGAATATTCGCCAAATGGGCGTGATGGACCTTCCAGCCCTGATCTCTCGTGTACTGTCCGAAACGGGCTTTGAGAAATTGGGACTCGTGGCTCATTCGCAAGGCACCACACAATCACTCGTCGCCATGGCCAAGGAACAAAGGCCCGAGATTGGTGAGAAGATCTCCGTATTCTGCGCTTTGGCACCTGCTGCCTACGCTGGCCATCTCATCAACAAGGCACAATTCAAATTCATGCAAGTCATCAGCCCGAACATGTTCCGGACCGTGTTCGGTATCCATGCATTCATCCCTTTTATGATGATCATGCACAGCCTTCTTCCAGGCAAGTTCTATGGCTCAATGGGGTACCGCGTCTTTGCTTTCCTGTTCAACTGGACAGATGATCGATGGGAGCGCGATCTCAGGAACCGCATGTTTCAGTTTGCTCCTGTTTACGTGAGTGCGGAGAGTATGAGATGGTGGCTTGGACGAGAATGTTTCGCAAAGCAAAAGTGCATATTGGCCACAAGAGAAGAGAAGGCTATTGAAGACCGAGAAGATGAGGAGCATGATCACAAGAGTATCCAACAACAGATAGAGCCAAATAACGCTGATAAAGAGGACGAGCAGGGGAGGAAAGATGCTGGTCGTTATGCTTGGTACGGACCGCAAACTCCCCCATTTGCACTATGGGTCTGCGGTTCCGATGACCTTGTAGACGGCCGCCGGCTTCTGCGTCGTTTTGAGCGTGGTCGCGAACCTCACGTCGACGTGGTTCATTCCAAGGTCATTGAAGGATACGAACATCTGGATGTGATCTGGGCAATGGACTCTATTGAGAAGGTTGGAAAGGAGGTCAGAGAAGTGATTTGGAAGACGGCATCGGACGAGGCGCGCAAGGTGTGTCGGACGCCCAAGGGATGTGAAGATATTCAGGATTATTACAAGAAGGGTGAGAGGCGGTCGAGTAGGGTGCAAATCGATGCCTCTGCTGGTGAGTGGAGTAAGAAGGGCCAATCACAAGTGGCTGGTGGCCCTGGAGAGTAAGACGGATGCAGCTCCTAGGGTTCTCGTGGCCATGTCCCGAGTGCTGGCGATAGGGGCTTATTTTCGCGTTCGCGTCGCACGGTTGGAGCACATGGATGGCGTCTTCTCCTTTTCCTTGAGCACACAATATACCCATCCTCCTTTTCACGATAATGTCAGATGCACAGTATAAATCAAATTGACGTGAGGTTATGCATGAAAAGACGGGATGAAAGTGGCAAGGCGCCGCGTCGCGTAAACAAACCCAGACCCCTGCATAACCCCACCAAGCTACGACCAACGGGGCTGTCTTCACCGCTTGAACCCAGGACACTTCTACCACGACCGTTGCGCCGGCACTTTGACGTCCCTTTGACAGTCTGTTTGACACAGCAACACATCCACCATGCGAGGAGAGGTACGTATGCTAGCATTGTTGTCTATACATGAGAGGAGCTGTCCCTAAACGCGTGCACTTTCCCCGCCTCTTGCGCCTACGGGGGAGAGGACGGATGCAGTGCTCCCTAGGGCTATATGCTCCTAGAAGCCAGGCCGGAGGAAAAAGCAACAGCTTTAGGATCGCATATGACGAATGCAGTGGGATTGAACGTAGATTGCGCAGGCAATGCTAACATTGAGCGCGATAGATCTGCCACCTTCACATCGGCCAAGCTGGCACCCAGCTTGGTAACAGCGCTTGGGAGCTGTACGTTACCCCGAATCCGCATGCGCCCCGATGTCTGTAGTCAAAGACTGACCCGAATACCACAGGTACCTCCTCGAGCATGGTCTCTTGCCTGATGGTCGCCCCAACCCCGATGCGAAGGAACTCGGCGAGGGCGGATCCTACGAGACCTTCTTCACAGAGACTGGCAGCGGCAAATACGTCCCCCGTTCCATCTTCGTCGACTTGGACCCTTCTGTATGTTGCCATATGTGTGGAGGTTTAGAATAGCGCTGACTAGAGCAGCCCATCGACGAAATCCGAACTGGTGCCTACCGCCAACTCTTCCACCCTGAGCTGTTGATCAGCGGCAAGGAAGATGCTGCTAACAACTGTGCGTTTCAGAACCATGCATGGAAATACAAGGCGACTGACAAGAGTAGATGCGCGTGGTCACTACACCATCGGCAAGGAGATGGTCGACAGCGTAATTGAGAAGATCCGTCGCGTCGCTGGTAAGCTCTACCCGCTTTCCTAGCTCGATTCGCTTGCTAACCAGGTCAGATAACTGCTCGTCGCTTCAAGGTTTTCTCATTTTCCACTCTTTCGGTGGTGGTACCGGTTCCGGATTCGGTGCTCTTCTCCTTGAGCGCCTCTCGACCGACTACGGCAAGAAGTGCAAGCTCGAATTCGCTGTGTACCCTGCTCCTCGCGTTTCCACCTCCGTTGTCGAGCCCTACAACGCTGTCCTCTCGACTCACAGCACCATTGAGAACTCCGACTGCACATTCTTGGTTGACAACGAGGCCGTGTACGACATCTGCCGTCGCAGCTTGGATATTCCCCGTCCCAACTACGAGCATCTGAACCGTCTGATCGCTCAGGTTGTCAGCTCCATCACCTCCAGTCTGCGCTTCGACGGTGCGCTCAACGTTGATCTGAACGAGTTCCAGACCAACCTTGTGCCATACCCTCGTATTCACTACCCGCTCATCAGTTACGCTCCGGTCATCTCAGCCAAGAAGAGCTCCCACGAGAGCTTCAAGGTCTCCGACCTCACCTTCCAGTGTATGTTTATCATTTCCATCATCTTCTGCGCCTTGCTAACGTAGACAGGCTTTGAGCCCAACAACCAGATGGTCGTCTGCGACCCACGCAACGGCAAGTACATGGCTGTCGCGCTCCTGTACCGTGGTGACATTGTTCCCCGCGACTGCAGTGCTGCAGCCGGTGCTCTCAAGGCCAAGTCATCCTTCAACTTGGTTGAGTGGTGCCCGACTGGCTTCAAGCTTGGAATCAACTACACAAAGTATGTACCCTATTCTTCATCCTTATGCTGCATCACTAACACATTCCAGGCCCATCAGCGTCCCCGGTAGCGAGCTCTCGTCCGTCGACCGAAGTGTTGCCATGCTTAGCAACACCACTGCCATCGCCGAAGCGTGGTCCCGCTTGGACCACAAGTTCGATCTCATGTACTCGAAGCGCGCTTTCGTGCACTGGTACGTGGGTGAGGGTATGGAGGAAGGAGAGTTCTCCGAGGCCCGTGAGGACTTGGCTGCGCTGGAAAAGGACTACGAAGAGGTTGCCAGCGACTCGCTTGATGACGAGGGCATTGAGGAGGGCGAGTACTAAATTTTGTAATTGCGTTCGGGACCATGCTTTGGGGACACTTTTGAGCTTGCTACGACAGGCTGTGTGGGTGCGATAGAACTGGTCGCAGTCACTATCTTTTGATAGGGTCAACATGTTTAAGTGGAAAACTATTTTGTCATTCAATTTACTCTATACCTTTCGAGAAACAGCTATACTCATTTGATGTGATGCGCTGGCAATCTAACCGGCAATCACCAGCGGGGTGCAATGACTGGCAGAGGGATTGTCAAGAGACTTGTAAAACGGCAGTCATGATCTCACGCCACCTAATGTTAAGCAAATGTGCATGTTATAATCACGCGATGTCAAACAGGCGCTCGGCGAAGTGAACAATACGTAATTATTTACATTCTACATGTGAGAAATAGAGAGAGCCCGGCGCACTGCCCTTGGCCTACGATGTAATAGCAAAGCAAAGTAAACTGCCCTCTCCATCTATTGTAGGAGAACATCCAGCGCAAATAAAGTATGTACTATGAGAAAAAACTTTTCTCCCCTCTCTTTTCTTTCACACCACACTAGGTGAATGGGATATAGAGAAAGAGAAAGAAAGAAGACCGGATACCACCTGGGTGCCATGAAATATGTGACGGTGGGTAAGCATCTAATACGCGTGGCTGGCGGTTACAGTGGCCCCTTATACTCTAATATGTCAAGTATCCTATGACACCCCGGGGGATACAACGCTCCAAAGAAGAGCCGCAACAGCAGAGTAAAACATATGGTGTTCTACCTCCTGAACCTTCTCATTTCAAATACATCAGTGCGCGACCTCGCGGGTGGACTAAACGTCCTATCTGAGCCCGCGGTGCTCGGTAGCGCGCCCGAGGAATGCGGCGGCACATCAACACTGGACGTCATACGCAATGGAGTCTCATCGTCTCCTCGCACAGCCTTCTCGCTGACTAGTCCAGAACGTGGGTCCATCGTATTGGTTCTGGGCGGGATATCGTAGTCTGCCTCTGGAATATCGGCCATGGCAGCTTCTTCATCGTTACCATGGCGGTTGCGGGAGAAGAAGCGATTCCGATGCGTGCGTTCGCGCTGCGTGGAGCTAGCGTTTGTGCCTACGCGCTGGATACCGGTGCTGCGGGCGCTGTCTTCAGATTGACGGGTGCGATCCTGAGAGCGGGAAGGCGAAGTTACGCGAACGACTGTGGCGCGGGCGCGGGCGTCATTTTCGCGGTCATCAAGGACGTCCCCGCTAGGGTCGTCGAGACCCATTGATTTCATGCCTAGGGAGAAGTCGACTCGGCGGCCCATGGCAGAGAGGGTTTCGGGGACGCGTTTGGTGGTGCTGGGTTGACGGAGGATGGAGCCGTGGCGTGCTGGGGTGTTTGAGGAGCCAGCGGGGCCGGGAGTGGTGCCTTCGGCGGGTGCGACGAAAGGCTGGTCTTGAGGCTCGTTGCGGATATGGCCGTTCGGTTGGTCGGGCGTTCCGTTGATACCAACGCCAGGTGTAGCAGGGTTCTGAAGGTTCTGAAGATATACTGGGAAAGACTCTTTTTGACCAGGGTAGCGCATGCGGGGACCTTCGATTTCGCATTCCTGGATGGCCATGGTGAGTGCACAAATGAACTTGTTGCGGCGCTGGAGCCTGAGCAATTCGTTTTGCCAGTTGGACTTGTAGAAGAAGACGACGTTTAGCTCGAGCCAGTGAACTTCCTGTACTGCTCGTAGCTCAGTAAGAATGTTGGTTTGGTACTCGCGCTTTTCAGCAGTGACGAATTCGAGAAGGACATTGCGAAGACGTTCAATCTGCTCCAGAGTGGTACCAAACTTGATGATGATGGGTATGGCCTCGGCAAGGGCACCTGAACGACGGTGGTTGAGGATAAAGAGCGTGTTGAGGTAGCTGTTGGGCGCTTGAACAACGTGACCCTGCATCTTCTTGAACTCGGTGTAGAAGAGGGCAATCTCCTTGACAAAATAATCATCGCCTCTGCCAAGGTCACCGGTATTACCGTAGACTGTGACACGGTCTCCAACATCGTAAGGGTGCTTGACGAAGACGAAGATGCAGGACTGGAGGAATTCTTGTGCTGTTGCAGAGAAGAGCCAGGATAGAGCGAGAAGAGTTGAACCGGCAGACGTGAGTACACCAGCAGCTGAAGTCGAGATCAAAGAAATGAACACGATGATGGTGATGATGAGTACGATGAACATGAAGACATCGTCCAGCTTCGAGACGACACTATCCAGATCCTTGAGAGAAGCGGTGATGGACTTGCGCTCGCGGCCGATTTCGACACAGACAGCCTCGAGCTCTTCCATAGAAATGTCGCCATTCATGTCCTTATCAAACATGGAAAAGGCTGCGTTGGCTTCATCGTCGCTATCGAAGGCATTGTTAAGGTCTTCGTTATGGACAGTCTCGGTTTCAGGCCGCGCGAATGTTCGATACAACCGACGAGCCAGGACCTGAGCACCACTTGTGGTACTAATCAGTTGAAGAACAACTTGATGAGGGTGGTTGCTACCAGTCACGGCCCGTCCAGTGAAATCTCCGGCCACCTTACCGGCGATATCACCGAATTTGTTGAAGCCGACTTTGATGTTCCTCTGTGCCTCGTTCAGGACTTGGCCGGGAGTACGAGCACCAGATGGGCCATGGTCGTGATCCTGTTCAAACTCCGAGTCTTCCATAGCAATCTTCTCTTTGGAGAACCTGTACAACTTGCCAAGACTGCCAATCTGGAACTTGTTCAGCTCGATCCTGTCCTGGTATGTTCGGAGATGGAAGCTAATGGCGATAAGCTGGATAATAATCTTCTCGATGAAGTTCAGTACAAAACCGACGAAGAGTGTTACAAGCACCTTGTTCATGTTGCGTTCCCAGTTTCTAGTAGTCTTGACACCGTTGAGATGGTGATTCGTCATTGTTGGGAGGAACGACACCTCAATGGCCAGCCACCAAAAGAACAAGGTAGCCGGCAGCTCGAGCTGCTTTCCCATGTCTCTCCACTTCTTGCTGTTGTTGGTGAAGAGACTGGAAACAAGACCGATAGGCCAGGGAAGTAGCTTGGCAAGGACCTGAGAAATGTGTTAGTGATGGTAGACGTGATACCAAAAGGATGCTTACTCTTCCTGCCCATAGTGTCAGCCACACGATCATGAGCCATATGGAAAACCAGACCAGTTCGACGCCTCCGACAGTAGCTTCGTCGAACACAAATGCCCCAAGGAGAAGAGGAATTAGAATCACAAGCACCATGGGGGTGATATACGTAAAGTATCTCACGAGCCATGACGAGTTGTGCACCTTCTTGAAAAACTTGGAGAAGTTGGTGTTGGGGTTTTCGGGTGGTGTATAGCGGGCAGCCTGCTCGTGCAATGGGTTCGTAGCTTCGTCAAAGTCGTCTACAACTTCGGTTCGGCGAGATCGTACTCGCGTCATGGACCGGGTAGTTGACTGGTTCCGCATCAGAGCTTCTTTTTCATTCAGTCCTTGCTCGACTGCAAGCACCGCGAGATCATCGTTGAGTCTGCTGGCCTGCTCACGATTCTGGGATGGTGATGATATGCCGTTCATGGGAGGAATATCATGTGCGGTCTCGACTGTCAGATGTGTGCCGGATCGCGATCGGCCGTGTGTTGCCCGTGCGCCAGTATCTAGATGCAGGGGATGATGGTGTTCGTCTCCAACCACCGTTCCGTCCTCATCGGAAGATCGCTGGTGGGGATATGGCATATTGCTGTCCATGTCGTATGTCGGCTCAGGCCTCTCGGTGTTCGGGGTCGTCATGGCGGAGATGCGCGCTCAGGCCGAGACGATCGTGATATATGGGGCGACGATTGCCTTTTCGTCCCCACGACAATCAATGGCTCGCAGTCGCCGTTGCACCTGATTGTTACAAAAAACTTGACAGTATGGGGCGCCTAGTAGGCGTGTCTAGCGGGTACAGCGGTGTTTTTACACTTGTATGCCAAGTATTCTATGAGACCTGGGTGGTTACAGTGATGGAGCTGCGAGTGTAAAACGCGAACCGCAGTGATGGTGTGACGTCAAGCTCGTTGCCGACTTTTCCAGATAGTTATTTAGCGAGTGACAGAGGGAAGTCCCGTTATGTTGTGATAGCAGATAGCAATTTTGTGCGAGCGTGAAGAAAACAGAAGAAGAGGATCGAAGGATGAACAGCGATGTAGCATGGAGTGGAGCGGGCCTGGGGTTAAAGGAGCAGCAGTGGGCCAGGGATTATTTTTGGGGACTCCCGATCTGCGGTTCCTCTCAATTTCGACGCCAACCTTTCGCCTGGTGATGGTCCAAGACAGAAAATTGGGTCTTCAAAGCGTCGGCGGACTTGTGTGGACATGGCAAACCTTGGGTGGGTCTCATCGCTTTGTCTAGATTGTCTGTTGGGACGGAGTCTGGTACGAAAATGTATGCCGGAACGCGTTTGCATCCAACAAAAGCGATGGGGTTGTCCTATCGGGCTTGTTGTCGGTGTGGAAAGACGGCGCTTTTGTGCATTCTACGGGCGCGTTGGTCGCTGACAGCGGCCTCGCACCCGTTAGGTTCTTCGCGCGGCGCGTTGGGATGACAGCCACCGACGTCACGCAGCCTCCTATGCAGGTCCCGCAACTTGTACAGTAGTCGCAGTCGCACTCGGCAGCTTTCAAGTCTTTCCAATTGCACTTTTGTGTCTAATTGAGTCAAGTGCACATGCATGCAACACTGCTGTACGCCACCACACGTGTTCCACAATCCCGTAATGGTAGCTCTTTTGAATAATTCGCCGATTGCGACCGCCGTCGACGAGCTTAAGTACTGTGCTGTGAGAGCTCCAAGCGTCTCTTGACTTCTTATCCGTAATTTCAAAGTCAAAGTTTCTTATCGCGGAAAGGCTGTTTCACACCAAAGTCACGGCTTTTACGAGACCTTGGCAAGTGCCGATCCCAATGCCGCCCCTGCATAACCAGCCTGAGCGTGAGCCATTCCTTGGATCGTGACGTGGGGGTCCTCTTCATAATGGGGCAACTACAACCAACACGACAACAGATGATCACTTCTCAAAGTTGCGAGACCCGCAAGCATCTCATTTTCCCCATCTTTGTCCCCCAACGTTGATCTGGGCCATGTGCAAAGGATGAGCGACCCTGTGCATCATTGTCGTTCTAGACACTGGCTATTGCGGCAAGCTCAATACTCACCCCGTTACACTGCCCAGGTGAGCACGACGCTGCCTTCCATCATAGAGCGACGTGTCCTCGCATCAAGGTTTAAGCGATACGACTCGAGCACGGGTATTCATGCTACCGATTCCGCGCTGCCATGTGGGTCTCACAATCCGTATTGTGTCATACCTGGTACATCGAAACAGCTTTCGCTGTCATCTCAACCGATGTAACTTATGCGTAGACCGCTTCATTATCGGAGGTACAACGTATTTGGATACCCGCTATTCAAACTCACCATTGAGCACTGCTCCATCAATATCGGTATCACCGATTGTTGTCAATTACCTACATAGAATCACATGGAAGACATGTACTGTAACATTACCATGAATTTGCGTACATATTTCACTGGGCATTATTGCAGTAGCGGTGGCAATGGTGGTATGGGGGAAAGAGACATTAATAGCACTTTCGGTCCGTTTCCTCGGCCTTGCATACAGTACCGACATGATAAAAATGGCCTTGTAGTATCCACCAAGGGCTCCTTTCATAGAGAAGGCGTTTAGCCTCGATTACATTTATCGTCTGATGTAGCTTGAAATATAGGGATTACCTAAATAGGCAAGTATCCAAGTCTGTAGATTACTGGTAAAATAATAGTGAATACAGTTGCTGGTGTGGTTAAGGAATGGGTTACTACCGTGGACCACGACGTTCACTTTGGAACTACTATAATCTACTGCTGATTACGATTGCCTATTCTAGCAAATATAAACCTAGCATACCCTAGAGTAGATGCTAGATGCTGTTGAGTGCCGTGAGCTACGGTGAAAGCAATAGTCTTGGCATTGGTGACTGGGGATCGAAAGGGACTGAGAACATTCACCCATTTCATTGCTACATTCCACACTTGCGACTTTATTGCCTAATGTGGTAATGCCGATCTGGAAAGCATATTATTTCAACGGGAAGTTGGAAAGAAGGTCGGGAAGGGGGCTTTAAGGCTGTAGAAGGAGACGGGAGTGGATGTACATATGTGGGGGCTAGTTCCTTCACCCTCTAGGTTACTGTAATCTACAGTTCCGAATTCCTTGCCTAATGCGGTAACTATAGTTTGAAATGTATATCATTCCAGAGAGCAGTTGGAAAAGGGTACAAAAGGGTGCCTCAAGGTCGTGGAAAGAGGGGGGAGTGAATATAATATAGGTAGAGGTTAGTTCCTTCACCATCTAGGTTACCATAATCCACACTGAAGCAGTACTTGCCTAATCAGGAAATCGGGGGCTGGCAAACCTCATTATTCTGCAAGAGAAATGTCGTATTGAGATTGCACATTTACTACGGTCGTTGTCCCAACTGTTGTATTCTTGCATGTATCACCGCTCTCACCTGCCTTAGCAGGGACGACACCATGCCGGCCTGTCTATCAATGAAGATACCAACCAGGCACCGTGGTTGATTCTTCCTTGCTGCATCTTTCTATTAAATAAGAAGATACCGTAAGCTATGGTGTCTCCTCTACTGACCCTTGTAAAGCCCGGGAGCGGAACCGAGGCTAAAAAGAGAAAGGCGCGTCGTCGCCATGTCATTCGCAATGCCGCCTCGTTGCGCAGCTTCCCCGCAAACTTCTGGACTCACCACGACCCACCATGTTCACTTTACCAAGGCCATCATTGCCAGCGTTTCTTCGCGCGCGTGATGCGCCACACTTCAAAGTCGACTTGCCTTCCGTAGAGGTCCACGATATCGAAACTTCGGCGGAAAAGCGACCGCGAACACTCAAGCACCTGCTCAAGGCTAACCACGCCAACTACTCGATCATATACCACGACCTCAGATTCCACAACCATACGCCACACGTACGCTGCTCCTCCTGTAAAGGCCGTAGCTGCTAAGCATGTGTCTTAGATACTGGGATCAGCTTACCTCCTCGGAGGCACAACAGAGCATCTGAACGACATATATGAGAAGGAGGCTGCACAACTGGAGCCCTGGCATGATGCTCCTGGTGAGATAACTGCGGATGACTGGCGGGATTTTCTGGGGAAGCGCGAGTGAGTGATTAACTGGTGCTTGGACTTCTGGTTGTTGATGTGCAGCTAGGTATCAACGTGCCTTTATCGACTTCTTCGAGGACCAACTTGTGAGCAAGAAGTATGACGTCAAGGAAGTCATTAATGAATTCCTCCTCAGAGGCAAAGAGCCGATGATCAATGGCATAATCTCAGGCCGTATGTACGACCCACAATCATCTAAGCGTCGCTAATACCACGTAGTGGCGCATCCTCTTATCCATCTCGGCTACGCTTACGAGCTCAATTCGAAAACCGTTGCTATCGAGGCCCTGGCCATGGGCTCGTGCTTCTATGGTTCTCTCCACAAATACATCGACGACCCGAAATACACAAAGCCCAGCCCCCACGCTGCGGCGGGACGCCAGACAGGGCTCCTGGTTTTGCTTGACAAGGTTCGCGAGGACAAGCGCTTCGATGGCCTATACGATCACCGAAGCGGCGATATAACCAAGGTGCTGGAGGAGCGCGAAGAAGCCTTCTTAGAGTACTGGAATGCCTGGGAGATCACCAGTCCGAATGAACAGTTCCAAGCTGCCCAGGAAGTTGGTTTAGGCCTTCTTACAGGCACACCGGCACCTGAGAAGGGAAAGTACGATTTCTTTCTCGTACATGTACTGACAAGTTCGCATGCAATTCGCATCCTCCTTCCATTGATCCCGTCGAAATTCCATGTCAGCCTGTTGCGCCAGTGGTGGCTATTTGCACTTGGTGTATTCATTGCACAAATGAGACCGGAGATTGATATGGAAAGTGTGATCCCTGGTGATGGTAGTGAGAAGACTTGGAAACATGTTGTAGACAAGGCATTGAACGGACCACATTCAACTGACGCGCATTACGTCAAAGGTGAGTCACAATGGTCCATGTTGTTTAGGTCTCCTGACTAACAATCTTCAGCATTGCGAGCTTTAAAAGTAGCTGAAGAGACGTGGGGACGATCAGAAGCTGGGTCGAGTCATTGGCTCAACGCTGCAGTCAAGTTTGCTGATGGCTTCGAGGGCTGGGGAGGCTTTGGCACAGCAGAAGACGAAGCAAGGATGGGGTATCCCGAGAAGCAGTAATCCCGAGAGGAAAAGGAGCAATAATAAAAAGGATAACACAGGGATCATACACATTTGTAATGCTCAAAGCTGTCGACAGCTCATCCCCAGGCTCATGTCTACCTTGGATATACAGACTCGAAATCTCCAATCCATGGCCCAAGTGCAAATACATTCTCAGAGCCCCCTTGTATCGTCACCGGCCCACTACTCACGCACCAGAGTGGTTCAAAATTAGACTGACGCATGCAGAACCAAAGTGGTAACCCAACCTTCGCCCTCCTTGTTCATATGATCAAGGGTCCGTAGGGGTAGGCTGCTCTCACATCGATGAACCACGGTCTTCAACCCCTTCAGCTCAGAAAGAGGATAGCCACACAGCCACAATACTATCCAGCGCGCTCGCGTACATCTCCCATCTGCAGACGAACCAATGGTGTTTGTGCTGGTCCACCCACTCTATGGACTCGATGGCGCACAGTTGCGCTTTGGTGCTCGCATCGAGGAACTTTGTAAAGGCTACGGCTTCATATTTGTAAAGTGCAAAGGAAAAAACACAGTACTTGTAGGGAAGAATGGCAGTTTCGTGGTTGAGTTGGCGGCAGGTTAGCGGTAGTGCCATTGCATTCTTGTCGGGCTTCATGGCGGCGTCGGTGTATACGTAGTCAAAGATTCGGTTGCGCAGCTCAGAGGGGAGGCGGAGCAGGGGCGAGTTCGTTTGGTTGAGAGAAGTACTGGCACAACATGTTAGCATGGATGTAGGAATTGGTGTTTGAGAGTAGTAGTGGTCTTACATCTTATCTTGCTCTTCCTGTAGCATAGCTTGCTAAGACATTGTGATAAGAGACCGCTTCAGATGATTTGTGTAACTTTCGATTGAGGAGGAAACTCTGATGGTATGAAGGTGGATGGGGCAATTGTATTATTGCGTGTACATGTGTTTGTTTTGAGATTTATGTAGAATTCGGGACACGCTGCTAGCGTGTATTACTAGCGAGTGAATCACGTGACTATGACTACACTAACCTCAATGGACCATGTGACCTTGCACATGTACATTACACTCAATAATACAGACCCTTCCATCTCAATGATCCCCTGACACTGCTCGAAGCCAGCAAGGTAAGCCATTGAAACCTTTAGCTTGGTTGCATGGTACGCAACATCACCTGCATCGTAGGAACCTGCAAAGCGGCATCCCAGCTCGCAGCTCCAAAGCCCCCAGCTGGCCTACGCCACTCCCGCACCTCTTCGTATACATCACTGTGCGACTGCCCCTGCACGGGCTCCCGAATGAAGTACCGAACCGCCACCGACTTCAGTCCCTTTAGCTCATCCACCGTCCACCCCTCCTTCTCCGGATGACCCCAATACCCGCTCAGCGATTCGAGAAAGCCGTAGAAGTTGGGCAGACGGAACTGAATAAAGTTGGTGATCGTGCTCCTACCAGTAGCGAGAAGAGAGTGGTGATAGTCGAATGAAGAGAGACGCTGGTCAGGCAGGGTAGGACCAGTGTCGCGAAGGCTCTGATGAGTGACCGCAGGAGAATGTTGAACACCCTGCCCAGCACCACCACCAGCCTGACTCGGATAACCCCCCATGGTCCTCACAGCCCCGCCTCCACTCACCCACATCGGATTGCCAACCCGTCGATGCGAACCCCTCATCTCATGCCTTCTATACGCATGAAACTCCTCCTTCTTATCAAACTCCGGCGCCTAAATCGCTGCAATCTGTGCCTGTGTGCGCTGCTCAAGGAACCCAGAAAAGTCAAAAGGCTCACAGAAGGAAAACATCAAGGACTTGTATGGTAGCACGGCGGTCTCGTGGTACAGTTGTGGGTAGGTGAGGAGCAGGCTTAGCGAGTGTGGCGGGATGGCTGCACGGGTCTTTCCGTAGAAGCAAACGTCGATGCATACGGGAGGGAGAACGAAAACGTGGTCGAAGATTTGGTTGCGGAGTTCGGAGGGGAGGCGGAGGAAGGGGGATTGGGTTTGATTGAGGATGGTTGCTTGCTTGAGAGCTGTTTGCTCGTGCGTCGGCGAAGACATCTTGAGCCCGACAGCAGTTGTGTGGCCGAGTTTTCTTCTGGACCTGATAGTTGCGCAAGTTGATGAGTTCAAGGTTGTGTTGTTCAGTAGGGGGTGGGTGCCTAGTCTTATATGGGAAGGAACGCGCTAGTGGGCACTAGTGAGCGTATGAATGAGCGCAATGGTCGCGCGAACACAAGAGAGTAAGAGTGATTGAGAATCGCATGATTTTGCCTCGTCAATTATTTCCGGGACAACGAACCAGACAGAATTGTAAGGCAGAAACCGGTAATTACTACTAACTACTACTATTCATACAACAGCTAAAACCCTCCTTCACACAACAAACCAACAAACTTGTCAACGCCAATGCTAAACAAGACGCAGAAAAACTTGCTATGTGTGTGCGACAAAGGAAAACCCGGCTGGTCTAGCCAAAGATGCTCACACGATCCATCTCTTGAGGCCTCAAAGAGATTGGCATCGCGGCATGATGATGGTGATGATGATGATGTCGCAGAAGACAAACGACCAAGAAACGACCAAAAAAAAAGCAACGCTATTTTGGAAACCCAGAAAAGACCCTTCATGCCATCATCAACCGATTCACGAGGTGAAATCAGTCAACAACGCTCACTCGCTCTTTCCCTGTCACCAGGTGACAAAAGTGTGACCTTCAGACCCCCCGATCTTCCAGCTCTTGAGGTACCCGAGAAAGGGAAAAAAGACGCAAGCGCCGTGAATGAAAACAAGCCCGATGCGGTCGTGGTATCATATGCAACAATTTTTTGCAAACCAAGTGAACAGACATTACTTCCTCCAATTGCCCCCGCAGACGACCATCAAAGCGTCTATTTCTTGCCGAGCAGGCCGCCGACCATGCTCATGGGGCCGTTGCCGCCCTTCTTCTTCTTCTTGTCGTCTTTGCCGCCGAGCATGTCAGTCAGGCCACCAAGTCCGAGGCCACCAAGGAGCTTGTTGATACCAAGACCTCCTAGCAGACCGTTGACGAGGCCACCAAGACCCAGACCGTTGAGCAGCTTGCCAACAAGGTTGAGAACACCCGTCAATAGCAGACCAACAGCAGCGATGATCTGGAAGAGGGGCTCGGTGAGAAGAGCCCAAAGCGGGTTAAGCTTCTTCTTGGCGTGGGGCATGTCGGAGATCTTCTTCTTCGCGTTGTCGATGGTAGTGACGACCGTGGTAGTAAGCTCCTTGAGGTTGTCGGCAAGCTTGTACTCCTCAGGAGAGGCTTCACCGGTTTGCTGGCGGCCCTTGGCTTGAGCGGCGATACGGCCATCGGGGTCAAGTCCACGGAGAGAGCCATTGCAGTCGTTGAGGATGCGCGAGCCCTCTTCAATAAGAGGCTTGACGTTGTTGACAAGCTCCTCTTCATCGAGCTCATCGCGAGGAGTGCGGTCGGCTTGTTCGATGTACTGGATTATTGTTAGAAAATGGCTGTAATTTGAAAAAGCAATGAGTCAAACATACCTCGGTGATCTGCTTCATGACGGGCTGGACGCGTTGAAGAGTGTCTTCGCAAATGGCTGACATCTTCTTCGCGAGCTCAGAGTCCTCACGACGCTGCCTCTCCTCATCGGTCTCATCCTCAGGCACCTCCTCTTCTTCCTGGATGTTCTCAAGAAGAGTGACTTCTCCGACCTTGTTGCCGTCGTTGTCCACAACATAGCCGTTGTCGTCAATCTCGAGACCAGCGCAATGACCAAGATCACCAGCAGTGAGACGACCGATGATGTCGCCGTTCTCGTCGCGAACCTCGCCCTCCTTGTTGACACGCATGCCAGACATGGGGTTGACGCGACGCTCCTTCTCTTCAGGTTCCCAGCGCTCGGCCTTGCCAATGACGTTGCCGTTCTTGTCGTTGATGTCGCCATCTTCGTCAACCTTGTGACCCTCGAGCTTCTTGATGTCGCCCTCGGTAACACGACCGATGATTTCACCAGAAGGTGTCTGAACGGTGCCGTCTTTGGTGACAGTTGCGTTGTCGAAACCAGCAAATGGACCCTCAGGGCCAGACTTCTGACCATGGGCAAGCTCAGCAAGTCCAATGACGTTACCTTCGTTGTCCCAAATCTGGCCCTTACCATCAACCTTCTTGCCGGCCAGGGTAGCTGGGTCACCCTCGGCAACGCGTCCGAGAATGGTTCCACTGGAATCAACAACATTGCCAGCCTTGTTGACAGTGCAACCGGCAAGAGCGCTGAGGTCGACTTCCTCTTCGACTTCTTCTTCCTCTGACCATGGCTCAGCATGGCCCTTGATGTTGCCGTACTTGTCGATGATGTCACCGTCCTCATCAACTGTGTGACCGACGAGCCTCTTCAGGTCGCCCTCAGTAAGCTGTCCGACACGGTTGCCGGCATTGTCTTCGACGAATCCGTCCTTGACCACGCGAAGACCCTCAAATCCAGCGAATGGACCCTCCTTACGCTCAGGGCGTTCGTTAGGAGGGATGATATCGCACCGACCGACAACCTTGCCAGTGTCTCCGTGAATGAGACCTTCGCCGTCAGACTTGCGTCCGGCAAGCTCGGCCAAATTGCCCTCGACGAGCTTTCCGACCGGAATGCCCTCAGCGTTGACGAGATAACCCTGCTTGTTGAGGGTAAGGCCATCAAGGATGGATAGGTCGGCGGGCTCCTCCTCTTCCTCATCTTCGAGAGGCTCAGCGTGGCCCTTGACATTGCCGTACTTGTCGATGATGTCACCGTCCTCATCAACTGTGTGACCTACGAGCCTCTTCGGGTCGCCCTCAGTAAGCTGTCCGACACGGTTGCCGTCATTGTCTTCGACGAATCCGTCCTTGACCACGCGAAGACCCTCAAATCCAGCGAATGGACCCTCCTTACGCTCAGGGCGCTCGTTAGGAGGAATGATGTCGCACTGACCGACAACCTTGCCAGTGTCTCCGTGAATGAGACCTTCGCCGTCAGACTTGCGTCCGGCAAGCTCGGCCAAATTGCCCTCGACGAGCTTTCCGACCGGAATGCCCTCAGCGTTGACGAGATAACCCTGCTTGTTGAGGGTAAGGCCATCAAGGATGGATAGGTCGGCGGGCTCCTCCTCTTCCTCATCTTCGAGAGGCTCAGCGTGGCCCTTGACATTGCCGTACTTGTCAAGGATGTCACCGTCCTCATCAACAGCCATGCCAACGAGACGCTTGGGGTTACCTTCGACGATACGGCCAACAGTGTTGTCGTCCTCATCAGCAACCATACCACCCTGGATGACGCGGAGGCCTTCAAGACCGGCGAAGATGCCCTCAGGCTTGCTCTCGCGCTCATTCATGGGAATAAGCTCGCAGCGACCGATCTGTTTGCCAGTGTCGTTGAAGATGAGGCCATTTTCATCAATCTTGCGTCCCGAAAGCTCCTTGGGGTTGCCTTCAACAAGGCGGGCGATGGGAACGCCTTCGTCACCAATGACGTTGCCTTGCTTGTTGACAGTCCTGCCAGCAAGGATAGAAAGATCCTCTGGCGCCTCCTCCTCCTCCTCCTCAGCCTCTTGTTCAGGCTCATCGTAGCGTTCAGCGTGACCCACGACTGAGCCCTTCTTGTCAAGGATGTCACCATCTTCGTCGACAGCACGACCAACAAGCTTCTTGGCATCGCCCTCAACGACCTGGCCGACGCGGTTGCCCTTGTCATCTTCGACGAAACCATCCTTGACGACGACAAGGCCGTCAAGACCAGCGAAGGGAGCTTCCTCCTCACCCTCTTCCTTGGGAACGGTCTGGGCGCGGCCAATGACCTTGCCCTTGTTGTCCCAGAACTGGCCTTCAGCATCGCAAGTGGTGCCGGACTTGGAGAGCTTCTTTGCATCTCCCTCGATGAGCTCACCAACGATGTTACCGTTGGAGTCGATGAGCTTGCCAGCCTTGTTGCACTTGAGACCGTCAAGAATGGAAACAGGAGGACGGCCGTCTTCGTCAAGCTCCAGCTCCTCCTGCTCAGCATCTTCGGCCGCATCTTGAGCGTCTTCGGCGGCGTCTTGGGCATCCTCGGCAGCGCCCTCAGCGTCTTCAGCAGCATCCTCAGCCTGACCGACTTGCTGCTCGACCATCTTGGGAAGGGCCTTGACCTTGCCGATGACGTTTCCGTCCTTGTCAAGTACCTCGCCCTTCTCGTTGATCTTCTTTCCTGCGCACTTGGCAGCGTCACCTTCGACAAGCTCGCCGATTGACTCGCCTTCCTCGTCAAGGACTTGGCCCTTCTTGTTGACCTTCAAGCCCTCAAGCTCGTTGATCTCTGGGATGACCTCAACTTCCTTGACTTCAGGCTCCTGGACCTCGGAGGCTTCGACCATCTTGGGGAGGGCCTTGACCTTGCCAAGAACGTTGCCGTCCTTGTCAACAACTTCGCCCCTCTCGTTGATCTTCTTGCCGGCACACTTCGCAGCGTCGCCCTCAACAAGCTCACCGATTGGTTCGCCCTCCTCATCGAGGACTTGGCCCTTCTTGTTGACCTTGAAGCCTTCGAGCTCGTCGATTTCAGGAGTGACCTCCCTCATCTCTGGCTCAGCATCCTCATCAGCCTGCTCGTCCTCCTCCTCGGTCTCGCCAAGTTGCTCCTTGAGCTCCTTGATGGCGTTGAAAGCAGCCTCACCAGCAACGACATCGACCTTGCCAATGACCTTGCCGTCCTTGTCAAGTACCTCGCCCTTGCCGTTAACCTTCTTGCCAGCACATTTGCTGATGTCGCCGTCAGTGAGCTCACCGATCTCTTCACCGTCAGAGTCAAGGATCTTGCCCTTCTTGTTGACCTTGAGGCCGTCCAAGATTCTCGTGTCCAGAGCACCGGCAGCAGACTCCTTGAGCTTGTCGGCTGCACCCTCAGCAAGTTCGACCTGGCCCAGGACGTTGCCGTCCTTGTCGACGACCTCGCCCTTGTCGTTGACGGTAAGGCCCTTGACGTCTTCGATGTTCTCAAGGTCACCATCAGCGACGTTGCCAACAACGTCGCCGTCGTCGTTGAGGATCTCACCCTGGGTGTTGATCTCCATGCCCTCCAGGGCCTCGACGCCGGGAAGCTCGTCTTCAACTTCAGCAGCCTTCTCCTCAACGTCGTCCTTGGCACCTTCGGCGGCATCCTCGGCGGTATCCTTGACGTCATCCTTGGCTTGTTGAGCCTTCTTGGTGACGCCCTCAGCTGCACCGCCTTCCTCTTCCTCCTCTTCATCATCATCCTGCTGGTACGCCGGAAGGTCAGCGGCTTCGGGAGAAAGCTCGGCCTTGGCGATGACGTTACCATCATCGTCTAGGATCTCGCCGTTCTCGTTGAACTCCCTGCCTTGGATCTCAGATGGGTCTCCGTCGACAAGATGACCGACGAAGTCACCGTCCTCGTTGAGGATTTGGCCGGAGCGGTCGGCGGTAAGACCCTTCAGAACATCGACGTCGGGCATCTTGCCACCGGCACCTTGAAGCTGCTCGTCTGCCATCTCGGGAGTGAGTTCGCAGCGACCGACGAGGTCACCATCGTCGTCAAGGATTTCTCCGTTGTCGCCAATGGGGTAGCCAGTAAGATCCTCGGCATCACCTTCTACAAGGCGGCCAACGACCCTTCCGTCCTGGTTCTTGATCAACCCCTCCTCGTCGACCTCAAGGCCCTTGAGCATGCTAAGGTCAGGGGTGACACCCTCAGCAGCATCCTCAGCAGCATCCTCAGCAGCATCCTGGGCAGCGTCGGTTGCGCCATCAGTAGCGTCCTGAGCCTTGCTTTGAGCATCGTCCGTTGTGTCTTGTGCGGTGCTCTTAGCGTCCCCAGCCTTGGACTGAGCAGTGTCCTTGGCGGAATCGGCTGTATCCTGAGCACCCTCGGCGGTGCTCTCGGCAGTGTCCTGCGCATCCTCCGCTGTCTCCTGGGCGCCCTGCTGAACATCGTTGCCGGCGTCCTGAGCAGCACCCTGGGGGTCTTGCTTGGCCTTGCCGGCAAGGTTCGACGCGCGGCCAGCAAGACCGCGAGCACCGCTCAATGCACCTCCACCAGCCTGCTTGCCGGTGTCAGCCGCTCTGCTGGTGGTATCTGTCGCGTCGTCCTCGGTGTTGTCGGCGGTGTCTTCGGCATCGTCGCCGGCCTTTTGTGTAGCGTCGTCGCCAGTCTCGTCGGCCTCTTCGTCGGCATCGTTGTCGTCGTCAATTGGTTTAGGCTCAGCTTGCTCTAACTCGTCGCCAGCTTGTGAAACCTTGCCAGTGGTGTCTTCCGCAGCTTCCTCCGCCTTGCCCTTTGTGTCTTGGGCAGCCTCTTCACCCTTTTGCTTGGTGTCTTCTGCAGTGTCTTGCGCCTGGCTCTTGGCGTCTTCCGCCTTCTCCTCTCCTTGCTGCTTCAGGTCCTCTGCCTGCTCGGGCATGTCGGAGGTGGGGGCATCCTCCGACTTGCCTACCTGAGGCTTGTTGAGCTTTGGCGCAGGTGCTTGTGGCTTCCGTCCGAGCTTAGTTGGGGTGCGGGGGGCGTCACCCTTTCCTGCTGCTGGGGAAGGCATGTTGTTTTTGCTGCTGCTGCTCGTACTGTTGTTGTATAGGATACTCGACACGTTGTACGAGTTGTCGTGTCCGTGATGCACGGTGTAGGAAGAAGCTCGGTGGCTAGTTCCTGGATGACTATTTCCAGAAACGTTACTTGATATAGAGTGAGAACGTGTAGAACGGGGGGAACGTCTGTTGGGGGATTGGGGGAATGAGTAGAAGGAGTAGCTGTGGGAGGAAGTATTGTCTGTCATATATCAATTGACGAATCTTTCGTCTTTGTGAAACTGGGAATTGGCGAAAGGATCACTGAGAAGCAGGCATTTATGAGAGCTAGGTCTGATTGATGGGCAACATGGGATGGATGACGTCGATTCTCATGTCCTCCAGGCAGAGCTCGCACCTCAGTCGCGGGTAGGCATAGTAAACCTGCTTTGGCGCTGCACTGTGTGCAACGAACGAGAGGAGCATTGCGTCACAATACACCAAAGCCCCAGCCTCGAGCGGGGCGTCAGCGCATCCTGGTGGAATAGCCTCCACTCAGCGTGGTGAGACGAAGCGGACAGCTGCTGCAACCGGGGTGGGGCAGGACCTGTGGCTGAAATTGGAGCGGGTCAAAATCGTCGATTTGGTGAACCAGACCGCGGAGAGCGGGCTGTAGCCAGGATGGGCGTTGTATTGCTGCAGGTAATGGAGCTGAAACGCTCTAGTCAAGAAACACCTTGTCAGTTCTACGCGTACAGATACCTAGGTACTTTTCTTGCTGGGCAGAGTTATCCATTGCGTGAAGCATGCCAATGATTACGAACGTACTAGGCTATTGCTCACCTCGCCTTATCTTCCTGTGTGTGACCAACGGCTTCTCGCAGCTACTACCTTCGGGCGAGGACACTGCATGGCGAGGCGGGCTGGTAGCAAAAGCACACAATTCACGTCGCTCGATCGTAGCGCCGTGTGTGGCACTCGTTGTGAATCGGTTACAGCATCCCTGACAGTTATGATGTTCCTCCCCTCATCATGTCGCATGTAACAAGATGTGAGCAAAGAAGAGCAAGTCGTGCCGTGTTCAAGCAGGTTGCAGCGACGCGTATGCATACGTTGGAGCTGCTGACGTCATAGTGACAGGAGCTACCCCTACATAGCTTCCTTTTTGGCGGCGATCTGTGCATGCCTCCAAGGACGTCGACGCCACCCTGATGAGCTCGACGGGCTATCGACGCGGCATGGCTGGCGACTCGGAGGACCCTGCGTTTACTGCTGCTGTTGAGGGCCAGGAACGCGACCACGACTCGGATCAGAGCAGCCGGATAATACCAGAGACGCATATCATGGTCAATTGAGCCCATCATGTTCCTCGCTAAAAAAAAATACAGTGAACGGCCGCGGGGTTCTGTTGTAACGGTCGGGACGTTTGCGGTTCCCACCACCCTGCGAAAATGTCACGCATCGCTCTGACGTTGCAGCAAACTCTATCTTACCACGACGGACATCACATCGTCTAGGCGAGATATCGACGCTAGACGGTACCTGAAAAAGTACTGCGTGCCCTCAATAAGACGTCTGAACTTAATCGAATCGCGTGCAGGCCATGCTACTCCATAGTCCGGCCATGTGCGACAGCTGCACAAGCAATCTCATAGACGTACGAATAATCGTTTCAGATACCATGCCCCTATTATCACTTTGCCGAGGCATCGAAGCGAAATACGTATTGCGAAAGTTAAGGATCGGTGGCATCTTGGCTGCGGGTGCAAGAACAAAAAAAAGTTGGACGTCTAGGTCCGTGATGACGCCAATGACGTCGGTCGCTTGCTGTTTGGAGATATCGTGGCGGCACGGAACGGGGGGACCGACGGCTGAGAAAGCGAGCGAGCGAACTGCGAAGCTACCGCTACCTGATGTCTGGTTCCTGGATTTCGTTTTCGATAGCCGTGCGTTGATCGCGTAATGAGCGGCGCGAGTAAGAGCTGATCAATACTGTTTGTGTGATGCGGCTAGTCATCGCATTGCTTCCACAACATTACAGTACTTTCACCGAGAACGTCATGTCATCTAGGCCAATCGATAATGAAATGGATACCATAAGCACGGATAGTTACATTATGGTAATTGCTATGGTAATTGGAGTGTCGATGCAGGAACAATGGCAGCCCACTCACGACGCAGGGGCAGCCTCCGTCTTTCCTATCGAATCTCGATGCCCCGCTGGCGCGATGCCATCTTCGACGTCTTCCCCTGACTTGCTCAACCACTTCTTCCTCTTCTGCTTGGCCGCCTCCCGTTCAATTGGAGCGAGGTCGTCTTTCTCACTTCCGCCTCGACTAAGCCGTTTCCAGATCCGCCGACCGAAGCTGGACTGCTTCTTCTCGGCCTCTCGTTTCTCTGCTTCCTCTGCAAGAAGCTGTCTCTCTCTTTGTGCGCTTTGGCTCATGTCCTTTTGCGCTTCCATCTTCCGCTCGTATTCTTCAGGGTGCACAACCTTTTCTTCAGCCTCCTTGACATGCTCAACCCCATGCTTGAGCTTCTTGCGTGTTTTGACGTAAGCTTCAAGACCAACAAGGACGGCATATGATCGGGAGATGGAGACACGCGACATGTCTACGCCGTTCTCCTTCATAGAGTGCACAAAGGCGCGGAAATTTCTTGTAGGGGGGCGATAGTGCCCTGACAAGGGGGATAAACGACGTAGCTGCCCATCTTTAATTTTGATCAGACCTGCAGCAGAGATACGCGCGCCATGGAGGAAAGAGCTATGTTGGAAAGCACCAGATTGCTTGATTCCAACGTACAGACGAAATGATGTGTCGGCAACCTATGCTAGCTTAGTATGTCTGAAATGGCAGCACGGGAGCGGCATTGCTTACAAAAATCCACGAGTTTGGCTTCACTGAGCTCCGCAGTAAGTGATTTAGAATGGTTGCAGCTGACACATGCTTGAGCTTCGATATACCTTTAGCTTTGTCAAGATCCTCATTCACATAGTGCTCTGCCTCCTCTGCTTCCGCATCACTTTCGGATATTGAAGAGCTTGAACTCAACGAGATCATTGAGCTTCGCCGGAAGGTCTTGCTCTGTCCAGAGTGAAGTTTTGCTTTTGGGCCGTAAGCCGGGGTATCGTCATCTACTGGAACGATGCCGTTGATACTGTCTTTGTACTCGAGAGTTGTATTTATACGGTTTCCATTCTTCGCCCAGCATAGCCGTCCTTCATGGTCGATGGTGACCAGGTAGTTCAAGCGCTCCTCGCGTGACAGGTAACGCACCCTTTCAGTGTCTAGTCTTGATCTCGACACAGTTGGGTGCTCATAGTTCCTTCCCTCGCCGTTGTCCAGCCAATGGAAAAAGTTCTCGTGTGTATCGGACTTCTTCCACTGCTCGTGATATGCGCGCAAGTTACTACCATATCTATGCTTCTGGTCCACCATCTCGAGGAAGTATTGCAGGTCCATCATTTTCGCCGTCTTCTCTCGTTCAGTCCTTGACTCACTCCGCTTGCGCCGTTGTTCGGTTTGCTCTTCCGGAGCATCCTCGTCTTCCGAAAGCGATGCATCGTGAGGGTCGTCGGCACCCGCGCGTCGTGCAATTTCGCCAACTCTTTTCCACTTTTCGCGTGCAACGATGGAGCTGGCTCTGTCGCGCTGCTCAGGCGTTGTGAGCTTATCGCGCAAGGCAGCCTCTTCTGCGCGCGGCTTCGGTCGGGTCGCGTTGCGCCATTTCGCTTGAGAGGTTTAGCTAGGGCGCAGTAGATATTGTGGGTGGACTGCTAACCGTCGCGTATAGCCTGGAGTCATTAGCCACACTTCTTTCCAAGTAATGCAAATGTCTCGGACCTCTGCCCAGCGCGCATTAGCATCCAGGCCCATGCCTTGGAGCTGCCTACGCTCTCTATATCCACGATAATTGCGCTGTATCAATTGGGCTGCTTGTCTCTGCTCTTCCGTGTCTGCGCTACCCAACTTGGGAGTCGCGACATCTTGGTTCCCAGCCATACTTTACTACACGACAGCTACGTGGCGCAGGACATTGGGCGGTTGAAGGTGTGGACGTGAGGCTTGACTGCGGGACTTTGGTGGGGCTAGCCCGTTGAGCATCCTTGTACTTCGGCAACCCGGCACGGCTGCCTTGATGCAAACAACAACACCTCCTTGCCAACGGCTATACCAGTCAATGTGACTATCAGTCCGATCGAGCATTTCAATTACCAAGGGGGCCTTAAATACAGTGTCTAAAAAGACCTGGAGATAACGTCGTTCGCAACCTACAAACTACTCCGGCCATGGACCAGCTTCCACAGGAATTAGTTGATCGAATCAGCAGCTATCTATCTCCTGACGACATCAAGAATACGCTATTGCTGTCCCATCCATTCCGATTTCCGCTGAAAAATACTCGGGGGCGTTTGAACAATTTACCCTAAACGAAGACACGACTGAGACGTTCATTGAGACTTTCTCTGGTCATCGGCTTCTGTATTTGCGCAATCTGTATTTCGGGGTCCGTCTTCCTCTTTCTGAGAACAGCGAGCTTCGCAATAACGCGGACCAACTAAACAAGCATGATAAGATTTTTACTCAACAAATCACGTTTCTGTTCAACACTATCAAAACAGTCGAAGAACGTGCAGGAACTAAGAATAAACATGGAACAGTTCGCCTTGGGATAAGCCCTGTCGGGCGAACAGTTTCTCGCCAACGTTCACTGTCGTATCATGATCACTTGAGCTGGCGCGTCCATTTGCTGGAACCAGAGGCACTTCCGTTACTTGAATCCATTCGTTCCCTAGAGGTTGGATATCACTGGGAGGCGCCCTTCACAACAATTGTAGATGAAGCGAATTATAGGTGGGCGGAAGTAAAACTGGACTACCGCGTAATGGTTGACCTTGCCGTCAAGTTGCCGAATCTTGAGTACTGGGGTTGTCGATTTGGAGGCAATGAATGGTCGCCGAAGGCGAAACAAGAAGCGAGAAGATATCTCATCCAAGATTGGGCTGGACCACGTCGGGACACAAGACAAGATTTTGCAAAAGCTCTATTATCTGCACGTCTGCCTGGTTCACTTCGGCGCATTCGTCTAGATTTCCTCTATGATCTCGAACGTAGTACGCATATTGACCATCTCACGGCACAGCCTGATATGGTAAGCCCATCGATCAATGATCTTTTCAGTACCAGTCTACACCACCTTGCGCATCATCTCCAGCGACTTCACTTGCGTGTAGTAGCAGATGAAACGCTATTCCAGCCCAAGGATAACTGTACCCTTTCCTGGCCGAATCTCGAGAGTCTCGTTGTCGTGTTTCACATGGTTAGCCCGTCGGGGCAATGGTGTTTCATAGGACCGAACGGCGAAGGGCGCAACACGGCAGCATTCAAGGTCGACGATGCCTCATATCCACCCTTGGAAACAACTCCGTATGACGAAGATATGATCGACCAGATTGATCATGATGGAGACCGGCGGCTATACATAGGAAGCCAAACCTCCCGCTTCCGCATTGTGCCAAATGATACTACACTACGGCCGTTCCTTATGGCCTTTGCCAAAGCAGCATCAAACATGAGGGCTCTCCAAGAGGCAGCGCTCTGGTGCCCTGTTTCATGGGTACCCAATGATGAAAATGGGGATGATTCAAGACCGGAAATGTTTTCAAAAGATTGTCCAGACACCAAAAGGGTCGCTTGGGGAGTGCACTATCAAGCGAGGGGCGAGCTTGACGATACTTGGCAGGGTGGGAACTTTCCTACAGAAGTTCCCCTACTCTGGTGGAAAGTCGGCCTGTGGCGTCCGGATCCCGAACTGCATGAGCTTTTTCAGCAGATTGGAGGTACGTCATGGAATGACAGTCTGAAGGAACACTGGGAGGATGAGTATTCTGGCAAGGGATTAGTGGATCGCTCTCGCTTTGAGTATTTTATGCAAGAAGAAGTTGACATGGTGGGGCTAATTCCGTCGCCGAGATGAAAATCCAGGGCGGGCGAGAGAAACTTAGGATCACGTAGAGTTGGCATTCCGGACTTGTGAGGCGCAAATGTAGGTCAGAGAAATTTATATCGAGGTAACATGTGTATGGTAACGTAACATAATTACGATACTTCTTCTGCTCATTTGGTAGAGCTATCGCAACGCTACACTCTTCGTCACAGTTCTCACCTTCACTGTCACCTTTACACAGAATAGCAAGGCATCGTGGAGACTGAAATTCTACTAATGTGTGGCCCGTGCACAAACTGGCTGACTATATGATCTCGCCCACCCCGCTCCCACCTTTCTCTGTACACTCACCGCTTCTCGCTATCACAGCTTATTACCACAATTACATATGCTTATAGCTGGCAACCATATTCGTCCTTCTGCTCTACGCTTCTTTGTCACTCTTATGCACAGCAGCTTATACCTTTAAATGCCAGAACTGGCGAGAAACGTGGTGAGTTTCAATCGCCTACAGCTGCCGGCGATTGGCTAGTCGCCACTACTGCGATGATCCCGATCGCCTCTTTTACTATCTCAGGCAACAGTTCACACCAGGGAATGAGTCCGGTCGTCTGGTTTCCAACTTCCGGCTCGCCTTGATGGCACCCAGTCAGATCTAGGTGCGAGTGGTGCAGTGTACGGGAACGGTAAGTGGAAAATTCTACTTGTCGACACTTGATTGAGCATAATCGTACGCATATAGAGTTTACGGGGAGTGTCGATGACACTGATGAGAGGCTAGCCCCTCCCTAGGTGCACCGTCGGTGAGGCTATGGCATTACTTCGCGGGGTTGACTCTTCGGTAAAGCAGACAAGCTGGACCTTGTTTGTGGTCTGCGAACAGGAGGAAGCGCTCCGGAGCGTGGAATTTCGCTGAGCACTTAGTGGAGGTGGAATTACAGGGGGGACCTTCCTGGCCACCGAGTGTCAGATCGTGAGATGAACTTGTTTCTGTCTACGGGTACTACCCAAGCCTTGATCCTCATGATTGTGTCATATGGGATAACGTTTTCATTGAGTCTTCACGAGGTAATCGTGATGCTTGAGGAAGAAGAGAAGTTTTGACACAGTGATCGCGCAAATGATTCGTCAGATAGAATAGCGCAGCCGCAAAAGCACGGACTTTTTGACAGTAAACAAACAGTGAAAGAAACACAGACCCTGTATTCACCTTTTGCCTCCCCCGCCATCTCCGCTCATCTTTCTCGCCTTCTCTCAAACTACAAGACCTCGTCGCATCCTGCCACGACTCTCACTGCACTGCTCTCATCATCGCATGATGCCTCCTCCCACCGACCCGGTTCCTCTCCCCGATATCCTCGAAACGTACACCGGCTGGTTCAGCAGTGATGGCCTGCACATTGTCATAATGCTAGAAGGATCCACTTTGCGTCTAGGATGCCTCAGCCATATCCGTGGCGACATCCTCGAGAGCTGGACACTATGCTTCGTACCTGCAATCAACATCGCCAGCAGCACCGAGGAGGAGACAGCTCTCAATCGTCCTCTTCAAGCCGTCGCCATGGCGCTTCCAGGCAGATACATGGTCTCATTCGACATCAAAAAGGGCGCAATACACGGCGTGAGCATAGACACGATGCTGTATGCACGCTACAAGCCCGATACGTGCGCCATCATGAAGGTACCAAGAGAGCTCCGGCAAATGATCTGGCGCTACAGCCTAGCCAACGAAGCTGGCAAAGTGACACTTGAAGAATACGGTGATCTGCGTATCATCACCAACGGACGTACGCAGTCGCAGTTCAACCGCATCCACGAGGTACATCCCGAATTCGCCACTGAGGCCTTGCATCACGAGCTGTACGACAACACTCTCGAATGCACGGACGCAGCCCGTCTTGTTGAGCTGCTCCACTCAGACAAGGGAAATGTTAAGCTCTGCCTCCGCGATGTTCTGCTCTCGGCGGATTGGGGTCAGATGCCGCTGCCGCCGCGAATGCCTGACGCCCACCTTCTCAAGGATATTCTGCGGTATGCCAAGCAGCATAAAGAGACAAAGTTTACCATTCGCATGATGATGTGGCGTCTAACTCCAATAAATTCAAGCCAGGTTATGTTGCACTTTCTGGAATTTGGAGAAGGTATACGAAGAGCTATTCGAGGCAAGCAGTCGATCTTGTCGATAATGACTATCCAAAACCAGGTTCTCTTTTGGACGAAAGAGCACGATTTCTCGGGGCTTGACGCAGACAACGTCAAGTTTTTCCCTGAAATGGATTGCTTTTGTAGGTCTCTGTATCGGGCTCAGGTTGCATTTTTTCTCGACGAGGTGCTTACAGACTACATGGCACATGCACCAGGATTACACGCCAGTGACGTAAATGAAGCGATTGAGTCGGTCGTCAACGATATAGAGGAATGGCACAAGAACGGCATTTAAGGGCAGAAATTCCTCATCATAGCTTTGCCCGCTTCTTTTTCATGTTGGAGCTATAGAGCTAGAGATACCTCCCAAGACGGTAGTACAATGAAATTCCACTCCAAAACATTTCTCCACTCTCATACATCATCAACCACCCTCCATTGGCCCCCCATTAACTTATTGCTCTCCTCGCAGCTCTCATCCACCAATTTCCTACTACCCTCGATGCCCACAACAGGCAATTGTATCTCGAACCTTTTCCTTTCTGGAGGTGACTTCCCGTTAATCTCATACGGGAAAGGGACATACTCTGGCAATAACCCACACTGTTTCAACGCCGTCGCATGGTCCCAGCTAATATGCTCATGGCACAGCCGATCACCACGCATAGCGACTATGGAGGTAAAGGGAATGGCAAGCGGCTTTCCAGTAGGCGGAATACCAGGGAGGAGCCAAGGAACTTCCTTTGTGTGAGTGAGGGTAAATACAAACTCGTCGATTACACGGTCTATGCCCACGGTCCGCGAGACGAGGGAAAGAGAGGTATCGGGCGGGTTGCTGAAGATGAAGTGGTGCGTGTAAAATGCTGTTAATCGCTCCCCACCAACTCCGCCGCTATAGGTGCAATTGTCAGAAAGGACCAACAAGAGTAACGGGGTGGTCGCTTACGTCATGGTTGGTATGTGATTCACATACGGCTGATCCACCATCGTAGCCATAGTCTTCTCCACATCCCTCTCCCCAAACTCATACTTGGTATGCTCTTCCCATACCGCTTCCAGATCGAAAAACGGTCCACCCAACAGAGGCTTCAGGAACGTCAGACTTCTCGTATGCGCAATGCTCGCATTTCTCTTATCATAGTCCTTGTTTCCTGGAAGGATCCAGCCGCACTCTCTCTTCAAGTCCTCGTAGCGATAGGTCTTGACGATACCTTCCGTGGCCTGTACACCTTCAGAATCCGGGAACAGCGAAGTTGGAACACGACCTGTCGTGTCTGGGATTCCGGCTATGTGAACGAGCTGTGGTGGGAGGATTGTTGAGCTGAGAGTTGAGAATCTGCTGCCGCCGTAGGAAACGAGGGCCTTGATGTTGGGGTTTTGACAAGCGATTTCGTCGACATAGTAAGGTGTCCGGGAGATGTATGCTGAGAACGAGAATTGTTAGGATGCTTACGTTTAGAAACAGGAGTGTACCTACAAATCAAACCAACTCCATTCTCAAACTCGCATCCCTCGCACTCCTTGAGCGCATCTAGCGCCCTTTGCAGTGGAAACTCACCACCATCCTCAACCTTGCCAGGGACCAGAATCTACCCAACTGTCAGCCATCTATACTATCAACTGCCTCATTTCCAATCTTTAACATCATCTCAACCATAAACTGTACCAACATACCTGCGCAACCGCGTACCCCTCCTCAGCCCATTTCTGCAGCGGCGGCGGATCCAAAAGGCCCTCTTGCTTCTCAACCAACGACTGATAATCCACCACCAGCACCAAACCCGGGCCCTTTCCACGCCTCGAAAGCGGAGTCTGAAGCTTGATATTAGGGGAAATGGTCTGGGGTTGATGGGCTTGGGAAAGAGGGGTTCGAGATGACGATGGAGGGGTAACAGGAGCTCCACCCATGATGCAGCAACAGCAACGACAACGACAGACGTGGGGGAAAGGAAGGGACGTCGAATTTCCGATTCTTCTCTTGAGCTTCAAAAGGAGTTTACAGAGAACAGATGGAACCAGGAGGAAGACAGGTTGTCAGAAAGAACTAACAAACGTTGAGGAGATAAGGTCCTCAGATGAGGAGAACACCACCCCAAAGGCGGCCTCTTCTCCTCTCCTCACCTCAACCTAATCTCGACTGTCTGCATGCAGCAAGGCCGCCTACCCAATTCCCACTTCCCACTCCCCCAACCTCCCACTCTAACCACGATCATGCGCTCACGCGCGTGCAAACCTCCAGATATGGGGTAATCCGAAAAACCGTTAAACTCAAATCCCGTTAACCGCAGCTACACCACCGAAACGAAACGCAGTACTACAGAAAATACACCCACACCTATAGTTAAAGCATGCGGCTACACGATAAGAAAGCAGCAGCCCCCCGCCTATCTGTGCAACGCCGCATGCCCCCAAGAAAAGAAACAGTTCGTACAACATATAACCCCAAACCCAACCCCAACCCCTCTATGCCAACCGCCCCAAAGCGGTATCTCGCACATGTTGTCATGATAAGAGGGGTTAGGGACTGTTGCACACAGTGCGCCGTTATTGATGGGTTCGTGCGTGGATGCATGAGGGAAATGCATGCAGGCGCGTTGCGTGGGAAGAGGGGGTGTTGTGTGATGTTACGGGAGATTATGTATTCGAGAAATTCACATGGGCGTGGGTGGTTTATAGCGGCGTGTATGTGTGTATGGATCGGGGGTGCTTGGCGGCGTGGGAGGTGGCTGTACTGTGCTGTGTAGCCCAATGGAGGGTACATCGGACTGGAGGCACTGATCTTTTCTATTTCCGGACCTGGAGATATGTTCATGCTCGTGTCATGTATGTCTTTGTGATACACGTGTATGCGTGCACTCCCGTTGTACTAGGTACCCGCCCCACTAGTCACGCGACGGTATCGCCATGTAGACTCTAGAGTACGGGGGTACTGAACACCTACGCTAGAAGTACTATGGAAGAGGCGGTACAGTAGCTTCTGGGAATAGATCAGTCACTTCCTAATATGTGCCTGAATCACACAGAAAGTTAGTCGTGCGACAGACAGATCAATAGACGCGTCAAGCTGGTGCATAGTGCGTGGTCAGCTTCAATATTCGTCATGTACAAATGATCTCGCAACTGTATCTCGTTGCACAGAAAAGGTACCCATTACACGAGATAATGTATTGATTGATGGTAACAACGCCGCGTTGGTCTAATCACTTGGACAGCTCCGAGTCTTAGACTGTAATATCCTTGCGAAACGAATCCTCCCTACCAGTATCCTTCTGAACCTTATCATTGTTATCCTCCAAAACGTCCTCTTCCTTGTCAACCTGCTCCAGATATTCCCTTTCGATATACTCGAGAATATCTGCCTGTACGTAATCCAGCTCTGAAACTACCCTTTCGCCGTACTTGGAGTCTATGCTTTCATTATCGTCCCTCTCCGGATCGATATTGTCGTCTTCGTGCGGGTCGTCCGGTTCAGGGTTATCTGTACCCTTGAATTCTGTATCCACGGGTTCTTCTGTCTCAAGTAATCCCCATGCGTCGCTCATGCTATCTCCGTACTCGGACCTCGGTGGTTCAAATAGCGGCGTCTGACTGAATCGCAAGGATGCGTGACGAGGCGACATTGGAGGTATAGGAACTGTTGTCTGGCTAGCATTACGCTCCTGTATCAAGGAATTAATGACCTTTAATAGAACGTAGTGCATTGCACGGTGTCTTACAGCTATATCTGACGTCGACTCGGGCGGAAGCGGGAACTCAGATGCAGATGGGCTTGGAGAGGACGACCGGACCAGAGGAGGGTGCAAGCCTAGTTGCAATTGTCCTGGCCATGTTTTTGGCATTTTGTTTTCTTCGCTTTGTTCATGCTTTGTGTGTTCCTCGTTTTGTTTCCTACGTCGTAGTCTGCCGATGATGAACTTTCGGGTGAATCGGTCCCTTAGGTCTACCCACTTCCCTTTAAGCCAGCCCCGCATACTTGCTAGTGAATTTGCCGATAAGTAAGGATCTGTTTAGCATCGTGTAAACAATGAGTTTTGTGTCGCGCAAAGACCTTTTTCTACCCTGCACCGTACCACGGTACCCATCCTTGGCGTACCAAACTCAGGGACAATCCCCCACCTTATCTGACCAATGCTCTAGTGATATTCTCCGACTTCCCTCCGCTTGCCTGCCGTACCCTTTAGTTCTTTGAGAACGCTAGCTGCAATTGCAACGGCGTCTTCCGGAAGGCCTAAACGTTGTTAGCTGTTTGTATCAAACCACAAATAGCTCTCCACACATGCGACATACCCGCTACTCTAGCCACTTTCAAAGCGTGGCTTTCTCGATTGACACCTTTCCTCAGCCGATGTATATAGGAAAATTTGCCGTCAGGCTCTTCTTGCACATCATTGCAATAGCAACCCAATTTCTCAAAATCCTTCGTCATATCGGTGAGGGCATGGAAATGGGTTGCAAATAGCGTACGACACTGATTAACGTGGTAGAGGTGGTGCAGGCAAGCATAACCCACAGCGATGCCATCCTCGGGTGTCGTTCCTCGACCAACCTCATCCATGATGACAAATGAACGGGGCGTGGCCTCTTTAAGAATCTGTGCTGTCTCCAGCATCTCTACCATGAATGTAGACTGATCTTGATACAAGTTGTCTGCCGAGCCAACCCGACTGAAAATCTTGTCAACGAGCCCGATCTCTGCGTATTCCGCCGGTACGAAAGACCCGGTCTGGGCCAAGATCGATATGAGGGCATTCTGTCGCAGATAAGTGCTTTTACCAGCCATGTTTGGGCCGGTAATGAGCCATATGCGCTCCTTTTCTCCAAGAAGGCAATCGTTTGGTGCGAACTTACGACCTTGCTCATCTAGTCCAGTTTCGACAACAGGGTGCCGACCGCCTACAACATTGTTTGATGGCTCTGCACTTAAGATCGGCCGGACGAAGTTCTTTTCGGCGGCGAGGATCGCAAAGGCGCCAGCCACATCAAGTTCATCCAGCACGACAGCGTTACGCCGAAGCTTCACAAGATTTCGCACGACAGCTTCGCGGAGCCCGCCAAGAATACGCTGCTCCTCTGATCGAATGCGGAAGCGGGTTTCATCCATCTGTGCTCCCAGTTGCGTCCATTCCGGGATCTGAAAGGAGCGAGTTGATTTGCTGCTACTCAAGCTTTTGGGATAATGGACGGTGGCACGAGCTGCGTCTTTCCCCTTTACATGCGCAATGTGTGCGAGATTCGGAGTCCACTTCAACACCAAGCTTTCCGTGTTCATCTTTTGACGCAACTCTTTTTCCAGGTTGTTCTTCTGTTCTACCATGGAGTCCAGACTCTTGTGAAGTCGCTCCAAGGTCGAGCTGGCATTGCGCTTCATGATATGGACGTCATCTCTTCCGTCTGTTGCGCTCTTGAAACTTCCGACAATCATATGCGGCTTTGGCTGGACGCGCTTTGGCATGCTCTTCAAGTCTTCTTCTCCTGCTTCTCGGCCCAGTACGTCCTGGGCTAGGTCGGACATCTCTTCAGCTTCCTCCTCTTCTATGCGATGGTACTCGGACAACCCGTCTTCATCAATAGCTTGCTCTATGCGTTGTGCAAGCTCAAGGGACTGTGCTAGTTCGAATCGGCGCTCTAGTGTAGAGATACATTGTCTCCGTCGCGCCTCTGCAACTTCTGCTGTGGAATCGATAGGAACGGCACCTCTCGAGATGGCATGTTCATGGAGGGTCTCCACAATCCTGGAGGTCGTGATGATAGTCTTGGAGAGTTCCACAAGATCATCGGCATCGCCACGGCCATACGTGAATTTGGTCACTAAGCGGAGAGAATCATAAGTTTGACCCAATAGCGCAATGATGTCTTGACGAAGTTGGGGATACTGTATCATCTCTTCTACAAGATCGAGCCTATCATTGATTGTCGAGAGTGACATTGATGGCGCAGCTTCACTTTGTTAGTATTAGGGATGACTAGTTAGTGATTGTCAACATACCTAAACGCTGCGTGAGTAGCCTGGTACCACTCTTAGTAACGGTCCTGTTCAGTGAGTGTAACAGGCTGCCTTCTAAAGTGCCTTCTCGAATTGTACTCCGAATCTCTAACGCTCTCAAGCTGCTCTTATCAATACTCATATGTTCTTCGGCTTGATGTCTCACAGGTGCTTGGAGTCGGGTACGTGATCCGAGCAATTGATGCTTAACGTAGTGCAACAATGAGCCTCCTGCAGCAACTTCACTGGAGGTAAAATTGGCCATGTCGAAATCCTCCACAACATCTTCCAACATGGGTATCCAGTCTGTGACGGTGAGTGGTTGTTCTGAAGGCTTCTGGAATGTGACCGTGTGCCCATCTTCCTGCATGATCGACACAATGCGCGAATGATCATGTTCTTGGAAGACGCTGTCTAATAAAATCTCTCTCGGCTTGATGCGAGCTATCGCCGAAGGTAAAGATGCGATATCGGTACTCTGAGTAAGGAAGTCACCACTTGACAAGTCAATCCACGCCAGACCGACCTCAGTGCGGGGCAGGTTGAGAATTGAAGACACACTGGGGCTGCCAGGACTCTCCTTCACAGCCTTCTCTTCGCTAAGGGCTTTTGGGTCTACATGGACGCTCAGGAGGTAGTTATTCTCCCATGGATCCATGAAATGCTCGTCGATAAGGGTGCCTGGCGTCACAATTCGTGACACCTTTCTCATATACTGAGGCTCACCCTTTGCTCTTGCTGATACATCGTTAATAAACTCGTCACTGATTGCAACGTGCTTGTTCAGATCCTGCACAAGAATCTTGAGATATCGATCTAGCTGGTAGGCGGGGAAACCGGCCTGATGCAATGAGCTTTGTGCACATATCTTGTGCGCATATACTGACCATAGGAACCGCGGGTTTCTTGCTACCTTTCATTGTCTTCTTTTTGGACTTTTTGAGGTTCAATAGGGGAGCAAACTCGTCTGCATGTTCAAAATACAGCTGTCGCTGTTTTAGCAAGGCTGGCACGAATTCAATTGCTAGCATACCTCATAGAAGCCACCAACACGGGTGACTAGCACACAGTGACTGAACTTGAGCATATTGTTTCGCACTTGCTGCAATAGCGGAGGATAATCCGGTTCGGAGTCATCCTGAGGTGGTAGTGCGTCGGCATCGATGACTCCTTGTTGCATATCCTCCACATCTATCGTAGTCTTCCTTTTTGCGCCGTGACATTGCGATACATGGAAGCATCTTGAACTGGTAGATAGTGTTGCACGTGTTTTCGCGCATGGTCGCGTCGAGCTCAAAAATCGGATGCTCCCTGTACTGTATGAGCGGCGGGAGGCAAGAATGGCAGTCCTTTGGGATGACAACCCAGGACGCGTCAAATAGTTAGCTCTTCGCAATAGCATCCTCTCGGACAAAAAGTTGTGAGAGAAATGCCGGAGACGGGCAAGATGCAGGAACGCGTCTGTATGTGGTTAGCTCTTACGCGGACGTCGCGGGGTAGACGGATCGACCCAAAGTTACGACGCCGATGTGCTGTACATTTGTGTATGCAGCCACTGACACAATCTTTACAGCAACAATGGCACCCCAATTTGAGCCCATGAAGAATGATCTTATCTTGCGTACAGCAAGAGGTTAGTGACAGTTTGTGGCAGGCCAAAATACAGATTGAATTGACAATGTACAGGCGAAAAAGTCGAGCGGCCGCCGATATGGGTGATGCGACAAGGTAAGATGCCTCATTTATCAGGGAAGCGACGCAATGCTCACAAGACAAAGCTGGACGTTACCTGCCCGAGTACCATGAGGCAAAAGGCAAAAACGACTTTTTCGAATGTTGCCGCAGCCCCGACATCGCCTCCACTCTGACGCTTCAACCCATTGAGCGCTATGCAGGCCTCATCGACGCCGCAATCATCTTCTCAGACATCCTCGTCATACCGCAAGCGATGGGAATGGAGGTGATCATGGTAGATAAGAAGGGGCCCCATTTCCCCGAGCCGTTACAAACTCCGGACGACAAACAGTACAAGGAGGTGCTTGAGAGGGAGGTAGACGTAGCAGAGTCACTAGACTATGTCTACAAGGCTATCACTATGACACGACAAAAGCTAGCCGGAAGGGTGCCGTTGATTGGCTTCTGCGGTGCGCCTTGGACGCTGCTGTGCTACATGGTAGAGGGCGGAGGTAGTAAGATGTTCATCCAGACCAAGACATGGATATACAAATACCCAGAAGAGACCAAGGCGCTCCTCAAGAAGATTGCAGAGCTTTGCGTTGAGTATCTTGCTCTGCAGGTGCAGGCTGGGGCACAGGTATGAATCCTGTTCGTTGGCTATGGTGCGGTACTGACTGTTGTAGATGATCCAAGTCTTCGATTCGTGGGCAGGCGAGCTGTCACCAACATGCTTCAAGACGTTTGCTCTTCCATACCTCAACCACATTGCTGACAACCTCCCCGCACGTATCAAGTCCAAAGGCCTGGAGCCCGTTCCGATGACGGTATTTGCGAAAGGAGCATGGTACGCCCTCTCGGACCTCTGCGACACAAACTATAATACCATTGGTCTGGACTGGCTACATGCGCCGGCAGAGGCATACAAGGTCGCGCAGGCCAAGGGCAAGGTGCTGCAAGGAAACGCGGACCCCGGTGTTCTATACGGCACCAGGGAATCCATCACGAAGGTGGTGGAGGAAATGGTCGCTGGGTTCGGTGGTGGCAAGCAGGGCTGGATCGCCAACCTTGGTCACGGTAGGTTCCGTAATGGCGTTGATTAGTATGATTATGTGACTAACAATTAGTAGGCATCACCCCTTTCGTGAAACCAGATGACCTCAAGTTTTACTTTGAGGAAATCCACAGGCTGACCAAGGCGTAATCCTCAAAGGGTCTTGGCTGCCTCAGCCGTGGGCTGGAACCGGGGCAGACCAAAGACAGATGGGGATATGGAAAGGACTTTTCGAGATGCACTCGATAAATAGATTAAGAAGCAAACAAACAGAGCAAAATATCAGCTCCTACACAGCTCGGCCTTGCGTGATGGCGCAACATGGCAATGGCAAAATAAGGGTCCCGCTTCCGACTTCGCCAATCTTCGGCGATAAGAGCCCTACTGATCGTCGCAAACCCGATTGGTCCACAACCAGTGGTCATAGCGTGCATTCATCGAAGGTTCCCATGGTTTGCGCACCCAGAATCGATGCATTCAAGGCAGAATAGGTTATACCAGGCTTGATAGTAGAGAAAAGTTGATTTTCTCGGATCCAGTGGGGCCGGCTAGGTGGTTTGCGCAGGCAGACGTGTGTTTTCAAGCAATCTTGGGCGGCTGAGGCCCCATGGAAAGGCATAGAATACTTTGGAATCTTCTCTCGCTCGGCGCAGCCGGTGCATTTGCAACATCCCGGTTTACTACTTTTAAGTCCACAAGCGTCGCCTCTACCATTGCCTTCACCACACAATTACACGCATTGTTCGATTCACCAATCCGTGCTCACCTTTACCCGCTATACCCTTTGGCGGCGATTCTCGGTAAGCCCTTTTTGTGCCCTTTGACCCCCCGGCGAGGAAGTAACCGACGCCTCTCTGCGAGCCTCGCCTTGCCCCAGTACCTGCAAAACTTGGCCCCCATCTTGATTACTGACCATATAAAGATCTCCAGGGACATCCGCGACTCGTACTCCCCACAAATTACCTTTGATATATTCTACCATACCCCTCCACTCGACTTTTGCGACCCGCACTAGCCCCTCTACACCTCCGTACAATCGGCAACCGCGATAATGGTCAAAGACACCAAGTTCTACGACCTCCTAGGGGTAAGCATAGCCTTGCTTGCGTCAAGTCAAAGATAGCCGTCTAACAACACCAGGTGTCACCAGACTGCACCGAGGCACAACTGAAATCAGCGTACAAGAAGGGAGCGCTCAAGTGGCATCCTGATAAGAATGCCCACAACCCAGAGGCTGCCGACAAGTTCAAGGACCTCTCACACGCATACGAGGTCCTTTCCGACCCACAAAAGCGTCAAATATACGACCAATATGGCGAGGAAGGCCTAGAGCAGGGTGGCATGGGCGGAGGAGGCGGCATGGCTGCTGAGGACCTGTTTGCGCAGTTCTTTGGCGGTGGTGGCGGCCCCTTTGGAGGCATGTTCGGCGGCGGCATGGGTGGAGGACGCGAACAAGGTCCCAAGAAGGCACGCACAATCTCCCACGTCCACAAGGTATCGCTCGAGGATGTCTATCGTGGCAAGGTTTCGAAACTTGCCCTCCAGAAATCCGTCATTTGCCCCAAGTGCCACGGTGTCGGTGGCAAGGAGGGTGCCGTTAAGAAGTGTGCGGGCTGCGATGGTCGCGGTATGAAGCACATGATGAGACAGATGGGCCCTATGATTCAGCGTTTCCAGACCGTGTGCCCCGACTGCCAGGGAGAGGGAGAAATCATCCGGGACAAGGACCGATGCAAGCAGTGCAACGGCAAGAAGACAATCATCGAACGCAAGGTCCTGCACGTTCACGTAGATCGTGGTGTTAAGAGCGGGCACAAGATCGAGTTCCGAGGCGAGGGTGACCAGCTACCTGACGTAGAACCCGGCGACGTTGTTTTCGAGATCGAGCAGAAGCCCCACGCCCGCTTCCAGCGCAAAGACGACGATCTCTTCTACCACACTGAGATCGACCTACTGACTGCCCTTGCCGGTGGTCAGATCCACATCGAGCACCTCGACGAGCGGTGGTTAACCGTCGACATCATCCCTGGCGAGTGCATCAGCCCTGGCGAAGTCAAGGTCATCCGTGGACAGGGTATGCCTTCGTACCGACACCACGACTTTGGTAACATGTACATCCAATTTGACGTCAAGTTCCCCGAGCGACTGGGCGGCGAAGACGGCACCCCCTTGACTCCGGAGCAGATCCGCGCCCTCGAATCGGTCCTACCTCCCCGCAAGGTTCCTGAGTCCCTGCCTCCGCCAGACGCTATGACGGAGGACTTTACGCTCGAAGATGTCGACGCATCAGGCGAGTCGGCGCGCGCACGCGGAATGGGTGGCATGGATGATGACGACGATGAAATGCACCCTGGCGCTGAACGAGTACAGTGCGCATCGCAGTAAACGCTACACCTGTGTGTAACGGCCGGTGGGTGAAACGAAAGTACGATTTATGAGCAAAAAGGGCAGGACACGACAGTTGTAGGCGCTTTTACTGGGTGGGTGGTGTGAGATGGAACGAGCGGGGGATTTTTAGCTTCGGCTACTGCCTCCAAAAGTTCTTGGAAAAAAGTCGTCGACGACGACGAAGCCGTTTGACGCAAAGGTTCTAGGCCGATACCCCATAATCGACATGGACTAACTCTGTACTTTGTTGTTTTCTTCCATCCTTTTACTATGATATCATTACTTTATCATGAGTATTTTCTTTTCTTTCAATGGATGCTGCAAGGTTCGGTTCATTAGACAGGCGTGTTTTTCTCTTAGACCGGGAGGAGATGGGGAGGTAGTCATAGTTTGAGGAATGGAATCTTGCGGTAATGTCTGCATTTGAGCTACTTGTGTTATCTGAGAAGTTTCCTAACGTTTTGCCTTTGATCATGACATTCTTCACCCGATTTACCCACCCCCATCCTACCATTCATCTACCGCCCCCTCCCTCCAAACGCTCCCCATCCAGCAAGTACCTCCCTCTCCCCCCAAAACATCCATTCACCCTCCCCATACTTGGCCAGCCCCTCCCTCCTTCCCCTCTCCCCCAGTTCACCCCACCTCAACAACAAATTGCCGTCTAGCACGCCTCTAGCGCCCGTCCCAGCATCCCACCCACCCTCCGCCACATCGCCTGTACGGAACGCGCGGGGATTCAAGCTACACGCCGAATCCAGCGTATTAGCCAAGTACGCGGTCAAGTTGGATAGCCGCCTATAGCTATCTTCACTAAGCGGGGTGAGCAAGGCGAGGGTGCCTGATTGCGTCGTATGTAGGATTTGGTGGAACGGTTGTTGTGGTGTGTCAGTTGTAGTGTTGGGGGAAGTGTCCATTGCGAAGGCGTCGGCCGGATTGGAGTTTGTGGCGGCGAAGTCGGTGGCAGAGGGGAGTTTGAGGTGGGAGTGTATGAGATGCAGGGAGGTGGGGAGGTGGCCTGTATGGAAGGTTGCCTTGTGGAGGAGGCGTGAGCCTGCTTCACTTTTTGGGTCTGTGGGTGAGGTGTTAGTGGGTGTGGGGGGATGAAGGGGCGATGAGGAGGGGGGAACGTACTATCAGGGTCGAACTGAAGGATTTGTAGGTTCATGTCTGCGTCTGCGACGACGAGATGGAGTTGTTGGTCGAAGGGGAGGAAGTCGACGGCTATGGTTTCGAGGTTATGCTTTGAGCGGGCGAAGAGAGACATCTTATATGGCTCTTCCTATTCGGTTGTTAGCGATGGGGTTCGGGAAGTTGAAGACTTTGAGACTTACTGTGTATCCTGTGAACCAGACACCTCTGTATGCATCGCCCATGGCGAGCATACCGGTCCCGGGCAGATTCTTCAGGTCGCTGACGTAGCATTGCATATCCATGAAGGCAACAGGAAGTAAGGTACCGTCTTCCTTGAGACCGCGAACCATGCACTTTTGTCCCTGTGCCATGATCAGGAATCCCTGAGTACCCAGTTCGGAGATGGCAGATACCGCACCCTTGACCTCGTCTTTGACGATGAGTTTCAGGCGCTTGTTGGTCTCGGGGCGATCAGGCTGCGGCACCACGGTGATGACTTCGAAGATACGAATACATCCTTTTGTAGCAAGATCTTCGCCATGGACGACTGAAGTACCGACAGCGATGAGATCTTTCCGCTGATGCGTTATCTCGCTGACTTCTAGGTTGAGCGTCTTGATGCTGAGAACAATTTCTTGCGGGTCCAAGATATGCGTGTCGATGATGGTCCAGGACTTTTCGTCCAGTAGTTTAACGACGCCACGCTCAATGCTTGGCTTAAAGGTGAGATCTTCTTTTGGTAGATCGTAGTGGTATGTCTCAGTCGGATCAAGCTGATAGTCTTCTGTTTGTCCAGTGCCCACAATGTACAATCCTGACGGGTGATACGTGAGGGCATGCACCTCAGAGTCCATTGGCATGCGCCGTGTTGCCCAGCCCAGGTGGCCATAGTGTGTTTGAGGCGGAAGCTGGCATATGCGAAGCGTATCTGTAGAGTCTAGGTATGCAAAGCCGCGCTGGCATTTTGAGGTGTGGAAGGAAGTGAGACTCTTGACAGGTTTGCCACTCAGACCGATTACACGCGGTGCGCTTGATGCCTCTTTGAAGATGAAGGCCGGTGTCGTGCCTCGCTGGAAAACAGTGCTGTATCCACAGACGTCGTCTAGCGCTACCAGGGTGCTTTCAAACCCAGGGTCTTCTGAACCATTGTCTTCGATGTATCGTGGTACATGCTGTTGAGAAAGCTTGACCCATCGTAAATTCTTCGTCCACAGATCAGATGCTGACCTGGACGGAGCGTGGAATGCCTTATAGATGACCAGGTTATCGCTAGATGTACGGATCTACAGGCTTATTAGTTATCGTCTACAAGTCAAAAAGAATCCCGACACTCACAATAAGATGGGGTGATTTAGTCGTCGCATCACCCAAATCCGCGGCCAATATCTCAGTAATGGTGGCCTTCGCAGCGCTCCGTTTAGGAACATAGTCCATCGTGAGCATAGGTGGCAGGAAGCTTAACGCTTCAGCTACGTAGCACGGCTTCTGCATGTCGGACATAGCGAATACACGAAGACCTCCCTCTGGTGTCAAAAGGAAGGCGAAGACTTCCGTAAAACTAGACGATTTGAATAGACTCGCCGACAGCCATTGTGACCCAGACAGGCCACTGGCTTCGACTTCTTCGAGTTCATCATCGCTATTAGCTTTGAAGATCTTAACACTGGAGTCCTCTCTAAGGATGAGCAAGTACGGATCCGCAAAACTAGCGTTAATGATGTTGAGCTCTTTGGTACTCCCCCCCTCTTCTTCCTCTTCCATGGACTGGATATGGACCAAGTTTAGTTCTAATCGGCTTGTTAGCAGGTTTGCCAATGGTCTACTTTAGCATGGATTTTACCAGAATCATAGATGCGAACTTCGGTCCGCATCACCTGCACGACCTTGGTGCCCGCTGCTAGGATACCAACCAATAGCGTTGTGCCTTCCTCTCGTTCAAAGTCGCCTTTGTCGGTTTCGGTAAGCTTATCGCCGTTGACTTCATAAACTACAGTGCCATCCTCGCCATTCTTGGACATTACCAAGTACTGGTCATAGTCCACGTCAGTAGCCATGTTGGCCTCAGTATCCTCACCAAACGCAGCTGTCACATCCCCAGGGGCTTGTTTCCGAGCATGCACAGCCCAGACACCATGTGCCGAAGGAAGTTCCTTTGTCGCTACACTGATGGGATGAAGTTCGCGGTCAAGCGCTGTTATTGCTCCCGCTGCCCCCCTACCAGTCGACAACATGATCTCACCCCTGTTCAGCGATTCGGTAACCTTGCCTGGATGTAAGACGGCGTCTTTAATAGGCGCTATACTTGGCAACACATCGTGTATCCTGAAGGTGTATGTTCCAGGTGCAGTGGGCTCCGAAACAGCGGCTGTGATCTTGTGCATAGTCGGTGCTGTATCGTTGTAAAGATCATCCTCCATGTCATCAATTTCCTCTTCCTCAGAATCGTCCTCTCCGTCAAGATCAGCATTTGACAGTTTTCTCCGTAATTGGTTTGTCAAGCCAGTCCAACCCAGCATGACGGATTCTCCGTCTTCGCTTCCAATGAAAAGCCGACCCCGTCCAAGATTGCTAGTGCATGAAGCTGCAGACTTGAGCAAGTGTCCACCATGATCTGCCGCAACAGTCTGGATGGTCATGCCAGATACGGTACGACCGTCCAAGGTGAAGGTGAGAATGAGAAGACGTCCATTGTTGAGCACGATCAGCACATCGCCTGTTTCTTGAGACAAAAGCTCGATGCTGCAGCCCTCCAGGTGCAATGCTAGATCTGACTGGTCGCTGAGAGAGAACGAAGTGCAAGCCTTGGCAAACTCATTCACTGCCACGCCGTTGGTCTTACCTCCCTGGTCGACATGTATGATCTCGTTCCCTCCCACTAGCAGAGCACCCCCAATGGGCGATGGTAGTGGCACCACTTTTGTGATATCGTATGGCAGTCCGGAGACTGATAGTAGTGTGGTCGAAGCCTTTTGTTCGAGATCGAGCGTGAAGACGGAGTAAGTGAGGATATCTTTTCGTTGGGCGAGTAAGGATGGGGCCGTGGCTCGCGAGGCAGCGACTATGCCAAAAGTGGGTTCGCGGTATTCGTGCAAGAATGCGAGATGAACGGGATGTGTTAGGGTGGGGTCGAGGTTCGTGAGCGGGAGGACAAAGGAGGAAGAATACGGCGTCTTGTGTTCTCCATTTGTGCCGTTCGCCTGGTCAGCCTTGGTCTCCTTAGGGCCGTCGGCATCGGAGTCGTAGTCATCTTCGACAAGATCACGCTGGCGAAAGGGCAGGATGGCGAGGTTGTGGGTACCAAACTTGAGGGCAGCGCATCTGCTGCTGGGATCTGCCGTCAAGAAGTTGTACGTATCTTTGAGATCAGCGGACCAAGGTGCAATGCCGGGCAAGTCTGGGTTCTCATAGTAGTGTATTGATATAGTATGCAGGTTGTACGTCTCCGGGTCCCACTCTACCAAACTGAGCTTTGCATCCCGAAATGCCACCAGCAGCGCCTCGCCCTTTGACTTTGTATTGAGTGCCTTTACGCGCGCAAGCGATATGACGGTGCCCGCGAGCGGGAACTCGGCGACGAGCACCAGCTTTGCCGTGTTTTCAGTGCGCTGCAAGGGCACGTCTGCTGCCTCTGTATCCAGATTGGCCGCCGCATTCTCCGAATTCTCTCCTGCGCCTGGTGTAACTTCGGTGGTGGTTGACTTGAGCTCGAAGATTTGTAAGAGCGAGTTCTTTGCGACGACTAGGTTGTTTGATCTAGAGTGCAGGAAGGGAAGATGGAGTGCATGGCTGACGGCCGTGGGTGGGGCTATTTCAGTGTAGCACTGCATGGCGAGGATAGAGTGTCTCGGCGACGCTGCTCATCGTACTACGGATGGGTATAGATGGTGGCCGAGAGAACAATGTCGCGATATTTGTTTGGTGTTGAGGCGCGTCAAAGAGCTCTGGATGCGCACATGTTCGCTAGCGGTGCAGGAGCTCTGGCCCGCGTACAAGGGTCATCCCCGCCCCCCCAGAGCTATGGAACGTCATCCTGCCGCAAGACTAGCAACAGCGACAAACAGGCTGCCATCGCCCATCCTCTTCCGTTATCCATCGGGCCTTGAGAAGACAGGGTATGTAATCCCTTCTTATATCGCCGAATTGGGGAGAAACAACATCTGACAGTCACAGCAGAGCTTCACCATGGCGCTCATACAAACCAGCCTCATCTGGGTGGCCTACGCCGTCGCAGTGGCCATCCTCTTCCTCATCGCGTCCACATTCGTCTACGTCTACCAGAAGCCGCGTGATCGCGCCGCTGCCGTCACCATTGTCTGCATCTTCACCACACTTGCGCTGCTCGCGACCGTGTTGCTTATCCCCGTGGATGTGGCTCTCGTCTCATCCACGTCGCGATCGAGCCTCGGGCGCAAGAAGGACTGGGCCACACCCGACAAGGTCGACAGCATCGTCTACACGCTGCGCATCGTATACTACACGCTCTACTCGCTTGATGCGGTCCTCTGTCTCCTCGTTATTCCTTTTACCTACTTCTGGTATGAGGAATACGACCAGGATGCGGCCGAGCACGGAGAGCAGACGGCCGCCCAACGCATCGGAGGTGCGCTCAAGTGGACGCTTGGCTTCCTCATCTTCGTCGTGGCCATTTTCCTCGTTGGCTTCTTCGTTCCCTTTGCGAAGCAGGCCAAGGAGGACAAACGCCTCGATCTCGACTACTTCAAGCACCTGTTGTCAGAGAACCGTAAGCATGACCGAAATGTCCACATACGAAATTACATGAGCTAATTCTTTCAGATGGCGAACGCGCTCTATCCTTTGGTCTTGGCTTCTTGATCACAGTTGGCACCGTTCTTTTCGTCCTCTACACTGGTGCCGGAATGGCGCTCCTTCCCGTGGCCATGATCAAGTCCGCGCCTTCCGTCTCAGCCCCCACCCTTGCCGCCAACACTGCATCTCAGCTCGAGACTAACCGCGAGCGTCAAAGACAGCTTGAGGGCCGCAATGAAGGCCGCGAGGGCGGACTCGACAGCAGGGACAGGCGAGAGCTGGAGGCGCTGGTACGTGAAGAGCGCACACTCATCCGCCGCGAGCGCCTTGCTGCTGAGTCCAGCGGCGAGGACCGCCATTGGATCGTCAAGGCCTGGATCAAGACTGAAGCCTTCTTCCGCCCCCTCAAGCTCATTGGCGGCCTTATCCTTCTCGTCTTTGCTCTCGTCATCTTCGCTAGCATGCTCATCACTGGTATTGACAAGGCCAAGAACTCCATCTGCGGTGCTCACTGCGGCTACATTCTTGGTCACATCAACATCTTCCAACCGCTCAACTGGGTCCTCGTCAAATCAGCCAAGGTCTTTCCCATTGACTATGTTCTGTTCTTGCTCCTTGTTCTCTTCTTGTTTTCCGCCTCCGTTGTTGGCATCGCCACTGCTGGCATCCGCTTCCTGTGGGTTACCATCTTCAAGATCCGCAAGGGGCAGACTTCGCCACAGGCTCTTCTCATGGCCACTGTGCTACTCACTCTCATCACTCTCGCCATCAACTACTCCGTCGCCATGGTGGTTGCACCTCAATATGCCACCTGGGGTCCACAGACCTACTGTGACATGAAGACCAACAGCCTAGATGAGCAGCCCGACTGTGCTGAGCACAAAGACCTGATCAAGCCCTGCAGCGAACTCGCCACCAACCCCGCCGCACAACAGGTCTGCACACCCTCAGTTCTCAGTACCTTCATCAACCGGGTCACAATCAACTTCCCCTTCTTTGGTATTGTTCTCTTCTGGGCCCAGTTCGCCTTCCTTGGTGTTTACCTGATTGTCTTCTTGACGACACTGTTCAAGGCACCAACGCTCGATCAGGAGCAAATTGATCGTGACTTGGAAGAGGAAGAGGACGAAGGTCTACTGGCCAGCACGGGACGCAGGTTTGGTGCTGCCTGGAGTGACGTTACTGGACGGGCTACGAAGCCTGCCAACTATGGAGCTACTGAGAGGGATGAGAGGATTCAGTAGTATACTTCTGGTCAAAACTTCACATGAGGTCTAAAATTGTTTACAATAGGAAATGCAACCGAGTTTGGGTCTTGAACGGGATGGTACACATGGGCTTTTGGGAGGTTTCTTGTCTCGGTTTAGTCGGTCTTTTGTGTGGCACTGTCAATGTTTCTTTGAAATTTGTATGATACCTTGAGTTATCTTATTGTGCGTTTTCATCGAAATGTCAATTTTACCTTTGCATCTATCTCTTGAATATTGGCCACCCTGCCCGAGCTTGAAGCAAAACACGCTGTTGCCTAGATTGCGCGCTAAATACTCGCCTAATACTCTCCTTCACCACTTTCACTTCCAGCATTGGCTTGCCAAGACCTATAACCTAGTGCGGGGTTGGTGCAGACCTTGAGACCCTCTCTCTCTCTCCATCTCTCCATCCCCTCACCTCTTGTAGAAGCCCTCGGCGCAGCAAGATAATCCGATATGACACCTTCAACTGTCGCACCGGTGGCGGATGAGACGCACGAGTCCGAAGTCAAGTCCGAAGGCAAACAGGAGGCGACTCTCCAAGCTTAAGCTGCAGCTGCACGCGATTCCATGTAAGAATCCGATGAAACCTATATTTTTTTCATGGCTGATCGGGACAACTTATAGCTCCCAGCTCAACGCAAGTAACTCGCCACTTCTACGCCTTCCTGCAGAGTTCGGGATACAGATCTACAAATACGCGTTGGAAGATCGTACCATCTACCTTGACAAAACCTTCCCCAGTCAGACAACTTTACATCACAATATCGCCCTGGTGTATGTGTGCCGCCAAATCAACGCAGAGACCGAACTCCTTCGATATGTGCCCAACATGTTCATATACCAATCCTCGGGCGATGATACCACGGGAACCTTTGTGCACAACCGGTCTCTGGAGCAGCTCTCGGCGATGAATTTGATTACACACCAGGATCTAAATCTTGGATTTCAGTTCTCTGTCAACGGCATCTAATTTGCGGAGGAGTACGGTCATCCTGACGTGTGTCCATCACAAGAAGCCTCCAACAGCGATTGGTACAGGAAACGGAAAAGTCTCAGTCCTAATTCCCGAGATTGCGCACAGAAGAAGAGGTTATGAGCATGAGAACTACAGGATAACAATGCGGAGGAAGGGCTTGTCTAACAGAGTGCTTGTCTACCACGAGTCGGATACCTCATCACACAACCAGTAGTTCCAGAATCAAAAACTTTACCACATGTAATCTTGAAATCACATATGCCTTGCCCAAGTACATTAAGCTACCAAAAATACGTAGCGTTATTTTGGGACATGGATGTATTGCATGCAGCCTTGCGAGCTGGAAGATGTATGTGCGATTAAGCTCCGCTAGTGCGCCGAGGGCGGAGACAACCCATGTAACTATGCAGATCCCGCTGCGTGCCAAGTCTCCACTCTGTTGCTTCTCCGCTGTAAGATATCCCATCATCTGAACCTTGGAGGACAGGTATGATGAAAATGCGCTAATATTCGCATTAAGTGCGCGGAGAATAGTATACAGGATCTTTCTGTTTGATAGGGATAAGCATTCCACACGAAAGATCCGGTCAAAGGAGAGATCCACGGCGAACAAGGTGTGATTTAGACGTTTTGTGTTCGCCCTTTGTGAATGCATGGATTTCTGGTTTCTGTTTTAGATGGTTATGAATTAGCAGAATTCAACTGTTTTGCATTGGACTATGATGTGAATACGCCAGTTGCTTGTTAGTCCTACGGATAATGGTTTGGATCCTATTGGGTGTTTGAGTTTTACGTATGCTGCGCGCTGTGACATGTGCACACATAGTGTCAAGCTTTCATATCACCCCACGTGGCTTTCTACCCGTGTTGCGCAAACGGCGCCAGGTGAGCATGTGTGGGTCCAGCCCTTGCATATTCTAGGCAGCCTTGCACTGCTGCAGGGTTCGTATACTAGATCCGGCCATAGTTTGCTTATGATGTTTGCGTTCACTGTCGCTAACGTTAGTGGCGGGGGCGGCTATCACGGCAGCTGCCGTCCGGGTAGGTCATGCTTTGCGAGCTTGATTCTCTCACCTGGCCCCCATGTCTGTGTTGGCGCGTTGTCTCGATTTCTACCATCCGCTAATAACTGTCGGATGTAGGACAGGGCAGAAGAGAGGAAGAAGGTTTTTGTATTGAGAGAGCTACATAGAGCGATTATATACACAACCGAGATGAGTAAGCAGGTGACGAGGAGTCACGTGAGATACAGTTCACAGTGTACCAGGTGAACTGAGGTGCCAGGCTGACAATGACGTTTGCTGCACTTTTGTCTGAACCTCTGTCGCGCTGGCCACGAACCTCTTTAATCTACTCTCCTACCACAACTACTTCTTTGTACAAGGTTACACCATCGGATTTCTGCATCACACAACATCAACATGCAGACTCTTCCCTGGACGATTTCATGGATGCTTTGGCTACTCATTGCCTGTAGCGCGGTGATCAACGCAGCCGTGAACAACCTTACCGGCCTGCTGGAAGTGGATCTGGTTTTTCCGCAGAACGACTCCTACGCACCCACGAACGATATGCCTATCATCTTTGCTATCCAGAATCCTGAGTTGGCTCCGGTGCTTGATATCACCATTATGTTTGATATCTACGACCGCGACGACCGATTCGGCAATGGTAGTACTAGCGGCATATACGACATACAATGGGCAAACCTCTCCAGTAGTAACCCCTACTTTGAATACCGCACCTTCTCCAAATTCAACCGCGAGGGCTGTTGGGCTATTCTCTAGAGCGTGGGCTGGATCAACTGTACGAAAAAAGATGGCCCCTTTAGAAACCTCCCGTTGACCTTTAACTCTTCAACTAATCTTCTCGCCTTCACAAGCAAAGATCTCACACAGGACGTCGACCTTGTTTCCGCTACCGAAAACAAAAAGTGTTCCGATGGCATGGGGGTTGCTTTCAATATCACCGACAACTATGACGCCCCACTCGATCATTATTGGCCTGGCAAAGGAACATGTGGACTGGTAGCATTGCCTCTTCCTACCCCCGATCCTTGTCGAGTCAAGATCAATTCAGCTGCTGCGTCAAGCATCTCAGCTTCTATCACCAAGCGCCGATGCGATGATATAGCACACTGGAACAAGAAAGCTCTGCCAGCAGATTGTCCAGCAGATGAGAATGCGGCTCAGCGAGTGCTTGTTGGCGGTCTGGTATGCTTTATGGCAGTTGTCGGAGCGTTAGGCTTCATTCTTATGTAAACTGGGTGACAGTAACGTTTGTCCCTAAGAGAAAAGGAACTCTGAGAAACAGGCGACTAGGTATTCAAGTTCCAAATACATAGCAAGTGTTTGATAGAATAACAATCAATTCCAACCTGTGCAGCTACTAATTGCATCCCTTGATGTCAAGTGCCCGCCGCTAAGCTATTGCTGTGTTTCTGTTTCCCTTTTTAGCTCAACGCACTTTGTTTAGATTGCAACGAGCAATCATTGTTATTTTGACAGGTAGCTGGCTTCCACAACCCGTTAAATAATCGAATTGCATGACTCCGATTTATAGTTACCTTCTATCGGCCGGTGCTCACAGGTAGTTTGACGCATTCACTCGCCTTATGTCTAGTTAGATGCTTCTATTCAACCAGCATGAGTTTCACACCATAGGCTTTGGTTCGTGAGTAGCTTTGTGCTCTTTAGCCTTGCTGCGAAGCTACTGAGCGCAAAGGATCAAGATAGAGAGGTAATAGAGAAGAGAAAGGATGTGGGATAGTGAGACTAAGAAGTTGGGGAAGAAGGAAAGCTGAGTAAATATGGAAACATCACGGGGACTGGGCGGATAACCTTATAATTGAAATGTTAAAGCTACATGGGAATTTTCTAATTACTATACTCTTTGACACAAACTGTCGTCTCTCGTCTGCGGTACTAACTAATCAAGTACATGAATCAAATTTTCTTAAGCTCTTCAAACAATGATGCAGATATTGTTCTCTACCCACATGTTTTGGCACTTTATATCAACTCCACTGTTCCACTTGATAAAGTTGGCAAGAGTGATCTTGTTGTGGCAATCACTGCCGACTGTGGGACTTCACTTCACAGAGTCTGCAAGACTAATCCTTTGGTAGTTTGTGATCTAGCTGCAAGTCACACCCGATGCTACGTAGTGAAAATTATTGCAAACAGTAACCATGCCAGGCTGGGTTGGTTGGGGTGTCTGAATGCCATTCCTGTGGACGTGGTATCCGACGGTTTAGCGGTGGTAGTTGTGACGGGGGTTCCAGGTTGTGTGGGCATTGGAGTGGCAACACTATTACCGGCTGTAGTCATGGTACTGGCCTTTGTGGTTGTGGATGAAGCGCTCGTACTCGTGGAAGAGGTGGTACTCAGGGCAGGGACAGGGGTAGTGGCAGTGGTCTCCGACTCGTCATTGCAAGCGTTGTAGTGGCCACGGAAGTGAAAGTTGTGATCGGTTCGTCGGTGACAGTGCCGACGACGCAGTACAACCCGTTGAAGGTGTTCAGGTTGGGCAACTGACAGTGGAATTCAACTGCTTAAACTTGTCGATAGATATTGCCCAGTCGGCTGCCATGCTCTCGCAAGTCTTAAATTGATCAGCAGGTGCTGTGGAGAATGCGCAATCAACAGCTCGACGAAGATGAGCGGGCCATGCTAGAGCGAATGCTGCAAGGAGGCCAGTAATGTACAGGTATGTTAACTGCATCTTTGTAAGGCTTAGATATTCGCAATATACCAAAGACAGGAGTTCAACGAGCGCATAGTAAAAGAAGATCTATGTCTTGATAGCAAAATGCAGACTCGAATGTGCTCCGAGGCACTGATCTTATAACCATAGTCGGAGTCTCTCGCTCTCTTGCTTGTCTTTTCGTGTGAGAAGCAATTTACCACGTCACAATAGTTCCGCCAACGGGATGATAGCTTGCTGGACCCAGCGTGTGAGGCAGCAGCCAGAAGGCTTTGGAGAAGTGCCGCGAGTGGAGAAGGCCAAGAAGGTCGCTTCGGCTCTTGTGCCAAGCCGGTGCCAAGTATGCGCCACGACGAGGTACCTTGCAGGGCTGCCACCACATCCGTCTGGTCCCTCACTTTTGAATCCTCCCAATACAATTTTTCGCCCTAAAGTTCCTGGGTGTTATTGTCCAACAGATGGCAAGAGCGCCTGCATGTCCAATCTCTCGCACTGTTCCTCTTCTGTACGAGAAGTTTTCATGGCAGGCTGCATGGTCGACAGGTAAGCCTCTTACGGACCTGCAGGAATCAGTTCCCTGACATATATAGGCTGTGAGGCTTGTAAATACAACTCGGACGGGTCTAGGTGTTTCGCACGCCCAGGTGCCAAGATAACATTGTGAAGGTCGTACGAGCTCCAGTGCTTCGTATTGCAGCACGGGGGTGCTCATAAAAAGCTACAGACTGCACATGTGTGCTGCAATATACCCAGTAATCAGACACAAGTCATCAGCAATCTAGCGTCACTAAACACCCTTTAGGGTTACTCTTATCAATTGATGTACAAACATGTTGCAACTATGAACAGCTTTTGAAACAACACTGCATTCTGCTCTTGCAAGTTGTCAAGCTTTTTATGACGACCCTCGTGGCTGTCCATTCAGCTGGCAGATCGGATCTCACGGCAGCGATCGCTACTACATAGGCTGTCGGTGGCCCATCAGTATTGTTTGGGATGCGCGCTGCGGTTACGTGCCGGCGCCCGCGAGCCTCTTTCTCCACCGGGCAGCTGAGCGGCTGTCGCGGCAACAACCCCTGCCCTTACCTTCCCTTTGAGATCCCACCTGTCCTAAAGGGACAACATCTTTAGAGCCGTCTGCTTCTATTAGTACACGTCAAGCTTCCTTCACATTATCCTTCCAGCCGCGTCCAACACAGAATTCGCTGCGCTGAACCAATTCCTTCAATCGTGCTGTGGCTCGACAACTTCTCCGAGTTACTTACCCTCACTCCGCCATTACTGCTACAACACCCTCTTCTCTGTAATCTTCCGGTCACTACCCGCTCTTCAATGTACATTATCTCTTGGGTCAGCTGGTTCTTGGTGGCCTATATAGGCTGTTAATGCGGCCGCCAGTGATTCCTCGGGCGTTGTGGAAGTAGAGCTGGTTCTCCCGCGTAACGACACATATGCTCCAGCGCTATATGTGCCTATCGTCTTTGCTTTTCAAAACACCCAACTCGCGACACTACTCGAGTTAAGTATACAAATCGATATCTGGAATATTACCAATGGGTCAATCATCGACCAGGGGAGCTTCCACGACTATCATTAGTGGGAACTGAGGTTGGAAAACATGTCCAGCACCGACCCTTACCTCATATACCGCCACTACGATCAACTCAATAGCGAGGGTATCTGGAGATTAGCTTTCACCCTGTCATGGCATAATTGTACTACGGATCCCGATCTTCCCTAGGGAGGGACAAATCTAACGGACTACATGCAAAGCTCGGCAATCACATTTACCACCAAAAAGTCCGCGCAGGATATAGATCTTGTCGCTGCAACAAACTGCCAGGACTGCAGCGAGGATCAGGGAATTGCCTACAAGATCATGGATACCGAGAAGATTTCCGGTAGTGATAAACTTTGTGCAGTACTGGCCAAACATACTGTCAATCACAGTCCTTGCCGGGTCAAGATCGATTCTGCAGTCGCTTCAAGCATATCGGCTTCCCTACCATACGAAATTTGCTCTCGTCGTAACACAACAATCGCCTGCCCGTCTGACAAGAGTGCCGCTCAAAAATTGCATGTTGAAGGTATGGCGTGCCTAATGGCTGCATTTGGAGCGTTGAGCTACCTTCTCATGTAAACATGTCCTGGGCTGAGGGTTTGGAGGAATTGGTATTGCCTTTGCTTTACAGTGAAGCAAACACATAAATTTTTGTAACTACTCAATTAAATAAAATCCTGCCTTCTCTCATAGCTCTAGTCTGCTTGAATCCGCGTGTGATTCTTAATATGCCCTGGCGACTACAGTGGCCATTGTACCCTAGTATGTCAAGTATCTTATGACTTCTAGTTGGTGTCCGCAAAGGCTTGGTGCGATACGTCTTTCGTTCTTTGCAGGTCTAGTCGGTTGTGCCAAGTGATTAGCTCGGCAGAGCTTGGCCGTTAAGCAAGATTTGACAAACAGGCAGAATCGCGTGATAGGTTTCGTGCGCATCAGGGTCCTGACCCAATATAGTGCCAAGCCTGTTTTCTCTCACCTACGCTTCTCTCACCCCCACTACCTACCAAACCCCGGTACAAAGACCCCACAAGAAACACCAACCAACGACACTCACTACCTATTCTGTCAACTTTCTCTACACGTCGTTCTCCAAATTCATTTTCGGCCTATATACCTGGACAGCTAGTATGGCTACTTTGCCGTGGTTCACAGTACTGTGGACGACTCTAGTTGCTACACTCTTACTCCTTCCTAATGGCGCTCTTGCTCGGGCAGGATCCAGCCACCTTGCCAGCTCTAACTAACGGACCGTGGAGACCTGTCCATAGCGATGTAGCATCGCCGGCCCCAACCCTGAGAACTGGTTAGTCTATTCAAGCTTCGTCGACTACTTCAGAACATGCAAGCAAACATTGTTCTACGACTTTCCCCTCTACGACCCAGTCGATAACAACTTAGGGAATTCTCGCATCCATGCTTGCTCTTCTTTCGGTCCGGACTTCTCTCACCTGCCCTCCGATTCAAAGTTTCATGCCACTTCCGAGGCCGAAACTTTTGATGTTCGCTTTGAAGTTGGCTGGTGGTACAGAGGTTTCGGTCTCCAAGCATCCGGAATGCGATCTATCGTTAGGCAGATACACGACTATGTGTCGAACGGGCACGGAGTTACGGATACACCTTTCATCATTTTCGGGCAGTCCGGTCAAGCTACTGTAGGCGTCTACATTGGCCAGGGTCTCCTCACCCAAGGCTTTGCCCCAGCACTTAAGGTCTTTGAAGACAACTTCGCCGACCTCAACGTCTCGACTCCAAGCCTAGCCATGCAGTTCTGTGGACCAGAATACGATGGCAGCCATATCTTTGGAATCATGGTCACCAGCAACGCGAAATTTGCCCTAATTCAGAATGCTATTCAAGCATGGAACAACGGCACATGCCTGTCATATGCTGAATTGACCAGCCTGACCGGTCAGGCCACGTTCGCCAAGTCCCTCACGCCCGTTTCGTTCCTCAATGGCACTGCCAAATCACCTAAATCATTGAATACAACTAGCCTCGAAGCATACAAGCGAAATGGCGGAAAAACCTCTTATCACACTACGCTCGGTCGTCGTCCCGAATGTAAGGCTGTCGAGATTGAACCAGGAGACAGTTGTGAAGCATTGACCGAACGATGTGGTATTTCGCCCGCCGATTTCACCAATTACAACCCTGAGGAGGATTTTTGTGCCACTTTGATGCCAAAGCAGCACGCATGCTACTCCAGTGGATACATTCCTGAAGTTTCTCCCGGGCCAGACGGCGATGTCTCTTCAGCTGTCAATCACACCAAGTCAGAGGATGATCCTAAGACAGATGATACTAGCACCGGGAACTGGATCAACTATGATTGCACGAACATTTTTATCGCAGACAGCTTAGGGTATACTCCTAGTGAAAGGTGGAATGGCCTAGATGCAGATTCTGCTTGGGAAGATGTTATCAGAGCCTGGAAAGACATCCATGGAAAGGACAAAGCCGTCACATTTTGTCAGATAGCAGGGTTACTCGACGTTGGCAGCAACCAATCAGCGTAGAGAGGGTCAGTGCGTCCCTCAAGAGGGCCACAAGCGCGGACACACGATAGACAGAACACAAGACACACAATCATCAACATCCATCACTTTTGTGCAATATCTCATTATATCTGACACATTTTCTCAATCGCTTTCAGATACTTTCGACGTCAGTGCGAACGTCGAATGTCAAAAGATCGAGAACCTTAACTGCGACATTGCTATTGAATGTACAAAGAGTATGGATGGTCCTACTTCAGGGCCTGCAGCACAGCTCTGTGAACGGTTTGTAGGTACTGTATTCCAGCTACCTAGTCCGGATGCTATTTACAGTCGAGATAAGGAGAAGAAGAGGAAAGTGGTCGGCCATCCTACCTTTGTTTGGGTTGACGCACGGCCCACGTGCAGTTGCGGAAAGAGTGATAGAAGGAAGGAAGCGACTAGGCCAGCGGCCTAGTCATGTGACCTAGGGCTCAGCCCGTTACAAGATCATTTGGAACTCATTAGTATAGATTCATCAACTGTACCGGGAATATCACGATGCTCTCTTCAGAGTTGCCTCAACTATTAGCACTATGCTTGTTGACCTAGAGAACAAGTTTGCCCCAATTCCGGAAGAAACAGACGACAAACAGCTCCTACTTGTCATTGATCTTCTGACTCTTGGGACACTCTCAGTCGCTGGGCCTTTCTTCAACAATTTATTGAAGACATTGCCTTATTTCATCCGGGCTAGTGATGCTGCTTTCGACAACGCGAAGGAGGCTACCGTTAATCTTATTGGACAAAGCACCACCATTGCGAAAGACTTGAAACCAGATCAGAGTAATTCTAGGTGGACACCGGAGAAGCAAGCCAGTTTCTCAAACGCTATGGGCCAGACTATCGACGGCTGGGCCAACATCACTGGTTTTGCTGTTCATGACCTCTTTGACGGTACTGATGCATCTACCGACATTTTATGGAACGCGATATCCGACGGGAAACTTATAGAGGGTAAATCTGAGGGAAACACACCCCAAGATACTGGTGAAGCCGACCTACGAGCTCACATTGGCAAGACCATATTCCAGTATTCCATTCCTCAACTCTGGCGCATTTCCAACACATACCCCTTTGTCATAGACTCTGGCTACGGTTGTGGCGAAGACAAGCCGCTAAGAAAGTACCTGAGCGACATAACCATGGAAGCCACCGGCGCGTGCATTGAAGACACGATGTATTATCTAGTCGAACCGCATGGACAGTCCCGGGATTGTCCATGTGCCACAATTACGGATTTTCCGAGTAAATGGGATTGTAGAGAGGAAAAGTTTTCAGCTCTCTCAGGTCTCAGTTTGCTCGACGGAAACATCTTTGCGGGCGTCACAAAAGAGGATCTCATCAACGGCTCCGTCCGCACCTGGAAGCAGAATGGCAAAGTCAACGGCGGCGGTTTACCAGACGTCAAAGACAAGCTTACAATCGATGACTTACTCAGCATGGATGTCACAACTCCTAGATACGTGCGCCTTCCTGTCTGCATTCCTGCACAAGCATTCCAATCTTGGGACAGCAGTAAGCCTGGCTCCAGCGATAACTACCCTTGTGATAACCCGCCTGGAATTAACTCGTGCGGTGATTCAACCTTTGAGGATCAGTCAAGTGATGCATCCTCCAATGTTGCAGACTGCCTGGAGATCATTGAGAATATCGAGGGCGACGCCAGCACTACTTGGACCACACAGGTGATCGGGAAGAACCAACGGAAGATTGCGTCGTTCGGCTCTTGTTCTTTCGGTGTCGAAGCAACCGAACAGAACGGCAATACAGATTTCGCGGTCTGAGGCCAAGATGTCATTGATATCATGAACGACGCTGTTAAGCGATTCGGGAGTGGCGGTAAGGTCGGGGCGAAGGGTAACATGCCATGTAACGGCAACATCAAACAGCAGGGTGTCAAATGGGGCATTTACTAGAGGTATACGGGTACATCCTCGGTTTATTTCAGGGACTTAATAGGCGGGTTACGGGATGCTTGCTCTCACACGTTCCAGTATCTTGATTAGATTCAGCCTTTTCTATCACATCATGAATGAATGATCCATGTTTCGATTTTTTTGACTTATGATTCTGTGTTGATCCTGACGTGAGAAGAACTCTCGTAGTAAGCGTGCTGGATTATGTGCCATTGAGGTCATCCTTCACTCACCTTTCCTTCTCTATCTACTTCTTAGTCTTAACATCCCACATCCCTTCACCTCTCTAATATCCCTATCCCTCAATTTTTCGCGCCACCTGTGTGTCATAAAATAATCGACGCCTAATTGGCGTGTCTGGCGACTACAGTGAGCATTCCCCCCTAGTATGTCAAGTATTTTATGGCGCCCGGGTGGCGCTCAGTAGCTTCGCAGCAAGGCTACTTGCGAACCAAAGCCCGTCGGGAAGCGCACTGGATTATGTGCCATTGGTCTGGCAGTCCCTATGGTTACCTTCGTGGCATCTGGCGTCGCAGCAAAGCGCGATGTGGTGTTTAGAACGGCGGGGAGCATTGAAGTCGCATACAGAATAACAGGTGTCGTCCTCGACAGAACGAGTACATCGATGAACGGAAAGCTGACTGTGGTGCGTTAGGGAGTTTTGGTGGCGGCTTTGAGCCGACGAAATCGCTCTTCGTGAACTTTTGGGAGACATTAAACACCCGGTAGTAGCACGTGTTTGTATTTTTTGGGTCATTTTCTGCTCTATCTTCATGTGCACGACGCTTCCCTCGCTACAGATACTGCTTTGGATAAAGTATATCGACGAAGTTGCCATCTTTATTAATACTACTCTAGGAATAGTCGGCATAGTTGTGTTACAATCTTCAACGTGACTTACATTGTTCTAATGAAAGTCGTTGTGTTTAATGCGTCAGAAGTAAATCCAGTGACACCAAGATCAGTATTGCAAACAACGAGCGAGGTAAATTAGCGATGGATGCTGGTATGGAAGGTACGTGTCTTAGTGGTTATCCGATGTTCATGACTACAGACATTGTCTCTGTTTGGCAACAGAGGCTTTGATCTTTTCGTTTTTGTGATATACTCCGTGATTTTAGATAGTTCTTCATGTTACAATAGTAGATAGCAACATATTTTAGAAGCTTTAGTGGAAACTGCACGGTTATGTCACAACTCCCCCCCTTCTCTAGATAGGTACACTAAAAAACATGAATTAAAGCTAAGCGCAAAAAGACTCATCTAGAGCTCTAGTCGCGAATGTCACTGTGTCAAAGCTGGGCCAACTATCCAACGTCTCATTTCGCACCGGCCCGCGCATCGGGATATCACGGGCTTTGTATTTTTCTTACTGGCTGAATTTCGTATTCGGCACAACCTCGTTTGTAGGATCACGCACAGTACGTACGCCAGCACAATCGTCCCCAAGCTCTCGAGGTCATGCGGCAATTCGGAGTGGCTCATATGCATGTAACTAGGTAGGTATTTTGGCAAGCAGAACTTTGTGCCGTTTTCGAAGAAGCTGATTACCTAGAGCTCATAACATCCAGCTTCGTAGGGTCATGTAAAATAGGCTCGTTCTGATCAATTTGCCCGAGCTTTTCGCCTATGTGATGTAAGCTTACAGTCTGTGCGGTGCTGATCATGCGAGAACCTACGAACCTACGAAGTAGTACCGTAGAAGGGTAAGACGAGAGTATATAGAAGGGTCACCGATGATGATCCTGTCTCTCTACCCATCTGTTACCTACACAATATCAAAGCCATGCAACTCGGGATACTTGCCATTTTACTCTCTATAGGAGCTAGCGAAGCACAGAGAGGCCGATGCGCCGGCCCCAGAAGCCATATCAAAGTCGAAGGCAGTTGTGTCAGAGAGACAACTAACGGTGTCTGCCGTTTCGACCAACCCCTGTATACATGCGGTTACGGGTCGGAATTAGTGTATGATGGTACGGGAACTAATGGAGGCGATCTCTGCACCCATGGAACTACTGTTTATTCTTGTGTAGCTTCGGTATGAACATTCACTTTAGTAGATGATTTTGTGCCTAGTGTACTAATAATTCAATATAGTGGTACTGCTCAGACTCCGCAACAATCAATCGATTGACATGATTGATTCCTATATAGGTTAAAGAATTACTTCATTAGGCAGCCTTTAACCTAGATAGGAATCAATCATGCCGATCCGATTGATTGTTGCGGAGTCTGGTACTGCTGCCCTCGTGGATAAGACCTGGTAGGCTTAATAGATCAATCGCTAAAGAGTACTTGATGAAGGCTAATATATCTCGCCAGCCTGGCTTTTATACCGGAATGAAATTGAATCGGCCACAGCAGAGGGCAACGAGAGATTCAGTGATCCAAAGATATCTATTAACCACACATGCCCAAACGAGGAAATGGACCACTATCTTTCGGAAGAAATTCGACGATTACCGTGCTTGGAGACTATCGACTATGATCGGTTTGGTGGATTGTGCAGGTCTATAGATACAAGAAACTCAGCATTCGTCCAGTTGCGTAACTTCATCGTGAACTCCTATACTCCTACGCCATCGCTCTCTCGTGGAGTACATCCAATACTCGTTTATGCTTATCTTCCGGCACGAAGAGCAACCTTCTCGCTTGTCTTTCCACAGAATAGGGACCTCCAGTATCTTCTATAGTCATGAGCGTCGTTATCTCGAACTGTCCCTTTTCAATTTTTACCTCTTCCAAGAATATGCTTTGTTTCCCATTCGTTCCCAGTGCGCATCTAGCCAAGTCGAGTAGGGAGCACGGTCGACAATTTGAACAGTAGAGGAGACTGTAAGGTCAGCGCAGTGATACTCGTCGATCGTGACACAGGTGAAAGTGAATGCGCCGCTGTGATTTAAAAGGCAAATCGGTTTGAATCTCGATTGATAGGTGTACGTCGAAGTACAAATATAGCTTATCTGTTGCGATTTGTAATGAAAGGGCATTTGTGGAGAGAACGGGCACACTGCATCTGGTCCTGTGATCAAAGGCGACGCATCGCTGTAATAGTTTCGGGTCGTTCTGGAGCGGTACCTGGGTGATTCTGCGCAGTGAACAAACCTTCGTAATGGACCAGATGCCGATTGGAGACCATCATGTTTGCTAGACATAACGACACTGCGGACAGTTGTGATCCAGGATATGTCGTGTAAATGAACCTTGGAACCAATGCTCGGGGCTAGTTAACTAACGTTGGAGGAACTCGATGCTAGCGATGACGTGATCCGTTGCCCCGCCATCACAAGCCTCGCACTGCATATCGCCCATAGGCAGATATCATCCATTAGCCGACATGCAAATACAGGAAGACGTCCGACTAGACGATGCAAGAACCTTAGCCAACGTGGTGCGGACCGCTCCCGGCACTGTTTTAGTGCCAAAATCAGGTTCTCGCCTCGCACCCAAGTCCGTGCAGACCTTCGTCTAGATTGCAGATTAAAGCGCTGGTAAATTTACTGTCTTACCTGCCATCCGGGGTTGAAGAGGTATTGGGTGTTGGGGCAAACGCTACATCCGAGCGGTTGTATGTGGACGGGCGGCGCACATGGCTGGGCAACAGGACCACCCCCATCTTGTCGCCTGCATCAACACATGGTCGGTACCACAGCGACGGAGACACAACAAAACGCCTCGCCGCAAAACTGCTTAGGCGTCAAAGGGTCTATTCGACGGCTTGAACCGAAACATGCGAAATTGTTGCCTTGTTCCATGGGGAACTGAAATGCTATTAGCCGGTACACGACTCGCTTCATGCCTGTCGCGACAAACTCAAATCGCCCAATTTTGGTGCTCCAAGGCATGTGGTTGCAGGTGTCACAAAGTGTCCCTGTAATCTTTTCCATCACGAGGTGAGCCGTTTTGGCGGCTCTGTACCCAGTACATACGCACACCCTGCGTTTTGCTTCCCGCGCCGCTTTGTCCACAGCCCTACATCATGATCGTTTTCCGTCTCCACTCAACAGGCTTCCTGGCGGGTATCGAAGATGATGAATCAAGTCATCGTGTCTGACTTGAACCGAACGCCCATTGTCCAGATCATCACTTGGTTCACCCTTGCAACTAGTCTCCTCGCCTTCTTTACACACGCTGCAATAAAGTTCTACGTCTTTAGGTCGTTGACTACCGAGTCATGGTTCGTACTTGTATCCTTGGTAAGTCTAACCTCATTTTGAACTCTATAGTCCCTACACTAACTCGGGGATCGCAGGTCTTTTGCGTTGCTCAGTCTGCCGCGGTGTCACTCCAAGCTCACTATGGGTTTGGGACACCGATGGCGAGTTTGAGCGACTACCAGATTGAGTCAAATCTGAAAGCGAGTTTCCTCACTTCCGAAATGGTGTGTTCCTCAGTACTAACGTTGATCAGAGTGAATATTCCGCAATGATCCTGCTCATCGTGTCCCTTGGCTTCTCCAAGCTTGCCGTCGTGGCATTTGTCCACCACCTGACCCCCTCAACCTTTCACCGCAAAATAAATTTCGGTATCCTAGCCATTGTATGTCTATGGCTAATTTGCTCTGTGCTGGTGGCTATATTTGAGTGCCGGCCGCCACGCGCCTGGGATAGGAGGCTCGGTCAATGCCTGGATCGTGTGAGTTGCCCTTTGGGATATCCGCAAGTATAGGAGCTGAAATAGACAGTCGACCTGGTGGAACGCTGTGTCAATATGCAACATTGTCACGGAACTCGCAATTGTAGCGATAGAACTCGGCATAACGGCGCAACTTCACGTCAAACGACAACGCAAAGTAACGGTCATGACCTTGTTCTCATGCAGATTGCTGTAAGTTGCTAGGCCACAGGAATTGCTCCAGACACTGATCAAATGTATACAGAGTACTTGTCGCGGCTGCCATCCAGCTCGGATTCTTCAACCAAGAAACCCAAGACGTTGCACTGAGAGAAGATCTCACACTCGGCTACTGGCGATCCTCCATCTGCAACCAGATAGTACAATGTCTAGCGATTGTAACGACATGTCTACCATACACAAAGCTATTCATGGAAGGATTTGAATCTGGTCTTATGCGCCTAGACGACTTGCGTCGGCGGGGAGAACACACAACCAAGGAAGATAGCAAAGGATACCAATTGATGGATATGTCGCGATCCGGGCCCTCTGAGCAATCCGGGGGATCTCGGAGCATTCCCAACAGAAGCAGAAGCATCCAGGTATCCACGAGCTGGGCGGTGAAAGTCGAGCCGGCGGCTCGTGTTCCGGCTACAATGACACTGCAGTAGAGCGTGCATCCATAGTAGCCAGCTAGCTGTAGGCGACGGTTACACCAATTGTAAATCTTGGCGTTCATTTCTCCAAAACCCCTGCACACTTTGCTCGTTTTGCCTCGCATGTGGTACCGCGGCTGGCCATGCGCCTAGATTCTTCCAGTAGCTTGCCCCGGGCGGGAACGTTATAGTGTGACCCAATTGGGCGGCCGGGGCACAGGATGTGTGGATCAGGGAGGTCCAAATGTTCAACGTCTCGGTTACATGTTATGCAGGCAGGTGCCTCATCTATGCATCTATTGCCTTTGCTGCAAGTCGTTCCTCTTTTTCTTTTGTTTATTCTCTTTTGACGTCGCACCTTTTCTCAGGTTTCCTATTCATCGATAATTGTTCTTTAGGTTTTTGTGTCTATAACAATGGCGTCGTCGTCTCTTTCCAAAAGCAGCGACATTGAGCTGAATGCTGTACCATCTCGCTCAACCGACAGGCAAGATGATCTCGCATTGGCGAAGCTGGGGAAGAAGGCTGTGCTGAAGGTTTGTTTCTTTCCCTCTTACCCCAGACCTTGCGCAGATCAAGATGCTAATGTTGCACAGCGTCGTTTCGGTTTCCTCTCGATCTTGGGCTTTAGTTGTACGGTACTGATCACGTGGGAGGGCTCTCTTGTGTAAGTCGCCAACGCATTGTGTCACGCGCGCACGTAGCTGATGATCGCTCAAGCTTGTTTCTCGTGGGGTTTCAAAAGTAAGCACTTCTATACGAAAAATTTCCACATATGCTGAGTGGAGTAGTGGTGGCCCGGCCGGTGTCATCTATGGCTATCTCACGGTATGGATCGGTACCGTATCAGTGTTCATGGTGCTGAGTGAGCTTGTCTCAATGTGAGTACATTCTATAGTGCATATCTTGAATCATTGACCAATAATCGATGAAGGGCACCCACATCTGGCGGTCAGTACCATTGGGTCTCGATGCTCGCGCCACGAAGATCGCAGAAGCTGTTGAGTTATATCTCCGGTATTACATCCTCTTCCCAGAGTACAAACTTCGACAGAAACTCAATTAACACCTTGGCACAGGATGGCTCACTCTCTGCGGCTGGTTAGCTTCTCTCGGCTCCGGTGCCTTCCTCACTGGCGGTCTTATCCAAGGCCTACTGATGCTCTGTCAACCAGATACCTATGTCCCTCATAACTGGCACGTGACACTTCTTTACTGGGCCGTCATCGCGTTCTGCGTCTTCATCAATGTGGCTGCTGGATGGCTGCTGCCCAAGTTCGAGGGCGCACTGCTGATACTGCACATCCTGGGGTTTTTTGCCATCCTAATACCATTGCTGGTGCTCGGGCCTCAGGGCAATGCTCAGGAGATCTTCACTTCGTTTTTGGATCTGGGAGGTTGGGACTCCCAAGGACTGAGCTTCTGCATTGGCATCATGGGGAGTGTTTTCGCGTTTGTTGGTAAGTCATGACCTCTACCTGATTTCTCAACGTGACGATAAAGATCTTTTCCTAACGATTACATTGCGAATGCAGGCGGTGATGGTCCTATTCATGTAAGTACCACCACTTAAATCAAAGACACCACCACTAAAAAAAATCACCCCTTAGTTATCCGAAGAGATCCAGAACGCCCAAATCATCGTTCCTCGTTCAATCATGACCGGCATCGCCATCAACGGATCCCTAGGCTTCGGCATGATTCTCACCGTTCTCTTCCGCATGGGAGACCTCGACGCCGTGCTTGAAGAGAATCCCGCGTTCCCCTTTATGGCCATCTTCCACCGCGCAGTGCAATCGCGTTCCGGCGCAGCTGTCATGGCATCCATCGTCATGGTACTTACAATCAGTGCCAACGTAGGTTTCTCAGCCTCGACATCGCGAATTTGTTGGGCTTTTGCCAGAGATAAGGGAATACCCGGGTGGAGGACATTGAGCCGGGTACGTGATACACCCCCCAGAACAATCAACAAGAATCTTAGTAAAAAATACTAACAACACTTCCAGGTCAGCGACCGCACCTCCATCCCCGTCTACGCCGTCGCCCTAACAAGCATCATCGCCTCCCTCCTCGGTCTCATAAACATCGGTTCTACCACCGCCTTTAACGGCGTAATCTCCGTCGCCATCGCCGGCCTCTTCTCCTCGTACCTCCTCACTTCCTCACTGCTCCTCTACCGCCGCTGCACCGGTGCCATCCTACCCCCCAGCGAAGCTTTCGACACAGAGGCCCCATCTACAACTCCTGACGGCATGGTCCGCGCCACCTGGGGACCCTGGCGCATCCCCGGTGTGTGGGGCATCGCGAACAATGCGTTTGCGTGCTCGTATCTGTCGTTTGTGTTTTTCTTTAGCTTTTGGCCCAGCTTTGCCAAGGTTACGCCGGCGAATATGAATTGGGCGATTCTTGTCACGGGCGCCATTGCCCTGTTGAGTGCGATTTATTATGCGGTTTGGGCGCGGAAGACGTATCATGGACCGGTTGTTGAGGTGGATGCCGTGGATGCTGTGGAGAGGGCTGGGGGGCAAGGGAGTGGGTCAGATTTGTAGGTGGTTTGGGTTGTGAGAGAGATGAGGGAATGATATGATGGGGTAAAAGTACATGTATCGGATTTCTGGGGTTCTTTGTGATGGAATATATGGGGGTCGTAAATATAATATTCTCATCTGGACTTGGGTCAACAATAGCGAGTACCTTCCCGCTCTTTAAAACTTCCTCATAGCATCATTAACCAAATCCGCCCCAAACTTAGCCCCAGCCCCATACACTGCCGCATTCCCAAATTTCATTGCCAATTTGCTCGCCCATTCATGATGCTAAACAGAACACGTCAGCCCTCTCCCCCCATCTTCCTTTCCTCTCTCCCCCAAAAAGGTATCCATTCATCAACACCCTCCCCTCGAATTAACAACATACCTTAGGATGTCCCGGATTCGCCGGATGACTCGGATCCTGCGCCTGCTGCGCCACCAAACTAGGATTGAACTGATTCCCACCCGCCACGTACTTTGGATCCATGTAGGGTGATTGCTGGCCGTTTGGTTGCTGGTCACTACCATCAGCCCCATCAAACATACAAAACAATCATGTTTTCTTTTCAGGAGGGATGACGTACAGGCAACTGAGCTTGGATAGACTGTAACTGTGGAGGCGACAAGACACCGGATGAAGCGAGATATTCGAGTTCGGTCCGGATGGTTCCTAAGGAACGGCTGATCTGGGCTGGGTCGGGCATGGTTTTGCTTATTTCTTGTCTAAGTTCTGGAATTCGCTGGTGGTGGTGTTGTGGAGGATAGAGAAGCCGTTCACTGCCAAGTTCGTGGGGATCGACTTGGCAGAAAGCTTGTTGGATTATCTCTCTGGTTGTGTGATGTAGTTTGTCAGTTAGCGGGGATGAGCAAGGTACGATGACGTCAATATCGTATTTTGAGTTCGGCTTTGGAAGGAAAAGCAAAATGTAGTTGGAGAAAGCAACACTAAATCGAATCTATGGGAAGAATGATGCCAAGATAAGTTGTGGCTATTGATACACGGCCTCGTAGTCGCAACAAGGGCTTTTTTTCGTATATGTACAATTCTATAACCTCATTTCGAAGATGATGGCCGGGTATTTTCTATGCAGCTTCTTTGAGAACGCCAATGATTGGGGTTCGTAGTGTTTTACACAAAAATAAGAAGTTGAGCTAGTTGGTTGACTTTAGTTTAATCCTTCTTCGCTGCTTCCGCGGGCTTGTCGGCATTGCCCGTGGGGTCATCCATCGTCCTTGCTCGGTCGTCCTGTTCGGCGCGCTCAGCACTACCACCTGCATTGCCTCCGGTGCTAGCCTCGGCTTCTTTGCCCTCCTCAACAGCTTTGGCCTCCTTGGCATCTTGTGCCTCCTTTGCGGGCCTCTCGGTTTCATCGATGTTTTCGTGGTCTTGAGGCGACGCAGTAGCTTTGTTCTCAACAGTCTCTGTCTGCTCGTTCTCCTCGTTGATCAGTTCTTGCTGCTCCTTGAGGACCTCAAGACGTTGCTTGTTGGTCGCGGCGCCCTCGGCATTGCGGACCTCAAGATCTACTTCGTGGTAGAGCTCCTCAGGAATGCTGGAGAGAACTGCCTCTAGAGCGTCGATTTGAGATGTCATCTCAGTCTCCTTACCCTGAGCATACACAAAAGCGTTGGAAAGCACAAGGAGAGTCGAGGGGACACCGTGTTTTAGGCGGAGATCCAACCAGCTAGTAAGGTCGTCCCTCAATCGGCCAGGAGAGACACCGTAGGTGCGGAGACCACGGCTTGCGCAGGCAGTCTGGAGCTCGGGAACGGAGAGTGATTCAACGCCTTCGTAGGCAATGGCTCTGTCGTCGCGCTTGATCTGGCGCATGCGTACGCGGACTTGGTAGCGCAAGAAGTTGTCCGTACCGAAAGATGTAATGTTCATGTATCGGCAGATGGAGACAAGCTGAGGCCTGGACAAGTTGTCTAGAGTAAGGTCATCCTTGAAGATCTTGCAGACCTTGATAATCTCCTCGGGAGTTGGCTTCTCGCCAGTTGTGCGGACCTTGCGGAAGAACTCTGCAAACTCGGCTGTCTGCGCGTTCTCGGGAGAGACGGGTAGACCGGTTTCCTTGAGAGTCTGGCGGAGGAAACCGCTGACGTCTTTCCGAGTGGCTCGGAGAGTTTGAGCTTTGCTGTCTTTGGCTGACTGCCCTTCGTAGGTGCTGGGAAGCATGTTGGGGAAGAGCTTTAGTGCTACAGGGAGCAGCAATTCGGCAAACGGGACAATGACGAAGGGTAGGAAGGGTACCAGACGGGCAAGATCCTGTACTGTACGTTGCAACTAGAGCGGGTCAGTATGTTTTGCGAGCGGCTACTTTATGATACACACCTGTCGACGCTCTCGCCGAGTAAGCTCGTAACCGGCAGCCATCTTCAAAGCCAGCTTGGAACTGATCCGAATCTCGAAACCTAGCAGCTTCGTTCCGTCCCAGTAGTGAGCCAGCTCGTGCTTGACCTTTTGCCAGACAGTCAACTTCTTCTTTGCCTCTTCCTTTTTCGCAATGGCCCTTTTCTCCTCCTTGGTCTCGGCCGCAGACTTCTCCGCCGCCAGTTCCGTCATTGTCTGGACATCCTGGGCGGCTGTCTTGGGGTTGGCAGTCGCACCGGACTTGGGAATAATGGTGTCCTCTTTCTCGAGCAGCGGTTTCGACTGCTGCTGGGTCTTCTGCTCCTGCCTAGGAAGTGTTTTGCTCGCTTTTGAGGGGTCAAAGCCAGGAGGTGGGTAGTTTTGCGCAGCGTTTGAAGATGTCGTCTCGGTTTGTAGGGCACGCAAAGGGATGAGGATGCGAATGGCTGGTGAGGTCCTAAGCATAGGGCGATGGGCGCGTGTGCTGGTCCTGATGCCCGCTCTGAAGACTGCAGGCGCAGCCCGCGAAGCAGTGCGACCGGCGTACATTGCGCCGGGAGAAATTGCGAGGTATTTCGAGAGTGAGTGATAAATATTCAGATGATTAAAGTAGTTTTGGAAGAGAAACAACAAACGAAGTAGGGAAAAGGAGGCGTGGGGAGATTGTGGTTGGAAGCAAAGGGAGCGGATGATGTAGCTTTGTGAAAAATAGGCTCCCGCTGACGTTGCGTCTTCGGACTTTAGCATGGGGCCTAGTAGTTCAGGGACAGTCGTGTCGGGGCGATCTTAAGCCCCGGGCCTGGTCGCCACGAACGGGCCGCATAATCGATTGTGAGTGAGGCGCATACTGACAGCAGCTAGGAACAAGCCGGGCACATGTCAAGACTAAGTCTAGGCTTGCTAGAAGCTCTGGCAGTAGAAATCATGTCTCGGGTTCCCATGTCCAATCCAACAGTCTGGGGCGCGCACGAGCTCATTTTGTCCCATGTCGGTGTCGTGCTGCTGACTGTTCTAGAATTTTTTAAACTGGGCATCTTCGCCATGGCTTCCATGATTCGAGCGTCCCGTGATGTATGCATGACCGAGGCCCTGGCAAACCGACCCGATCCCGATGTCAGCACCAAATTGTGCGCCCCGGTACGCGGCTTACGAAATACCCTTGAATTCTGACCCGTTCCCCTCACCTCTCCACGCCGGCCCCGGTCGTCGCTCTTCTTTCCTCTGAACCGAGTTTCGCCGTACCGCGTGCTTCGTGTTTCCACTACTTCTTTCTAGCCCTCGGTTCGCTACCACCTACAATTTGACACGACTTTCGCCATGGATATTTTTTAATACCAACGAGACTGCGGCGAAGCCCTCGAGCCTCACTCACTCCCATTCCATATTCCTAGTATACATAGTAGCCAACAGACTCCAGCCATTTGCGCCTATATCCACATCACCCCATCACCATAATGACGATTGGACGGTTAGCAAAGGCGGCCCGCATCATACTGGTGGGCGCACCAGGTGTCGGGAAGGGTACCCAGACGGAGCGCTTGATGAAGAAATTCTCCGAACTATCGGCAATCAGTTCTGGCGATCTGCTGAGGAAGAACGTGAGGGAGCGGACGCCTCTCGGTATGCGACTAGACTTTTGACGTCGCCGAAAAAAAAATCCTGACATGATGCAGGCATCCAAGCCGAACACACTATCAAGGCCGGTAAATTGGTCCCAGACACGATGATCTTGCGCCTCATTGTCAATGAGCTTACAACACGCGGATGGATACGAGACAATGCATTGCGTCCATATGCGCTCAACTTTAGCTCACTAGACACGGCCGACCATACCGTAGACTCGGTCATGATTCCCTCAGATGTGCGGGCCCCGCGTTACACCTTCTCGAACAAGCCAGCGGCCTCCTTTATACTCGACGGCTTCCCACGAACCGTTGTGCAAGCAATTCAGCTTGACAACATTGTCCCCATTAATATGGTGGTCAATCTCAACACGCCCAGCGACATCATCATCGATCGCATATGCAATCGCTGGGTGCACGAAGCGTCGGGACGAGTCTACAACATCACCTTCAATGCGCCAAAGGTTGACGGCAAGGATGACATCACGGGCGAGCCCCTCACACGACGGGCGGACGATGACCCAGAGGTATGGAAGGCGCGTCTGCAGAGTTTTCGCGAAAACAACGAGCCGCTTCTCGAGCATTATGATAAGCTTGGTGTACTTTGGACAGTGACCGGGAACAGCAGCGACGAGATTTCCCCAAAACTCTTCGCCGAATTCAGCAGGCGATTTGGCGCCCTTGATTGATGTCGTGTATTCTCTCGCGTGGGTTATGGCATTTTGATCACATCACGTACGATACCAATGTACTTGTCTTGTTTAGATGGGATTTCTTACGACATGGCGACATGTGCGTGTGTCTTGGGGACAAGTCGCACGTTCCTCATTCACTGTAGATATTGGATCGATTGGTATTTTGCCATCAGGGTGCACTTAGTAAAAACTATTAATTCTTTCCCTCTGAGCACACTCCCTACATCATGGCTATCACAACTAATGACGGCGCGCTTGAAGGAAGCGCAAGCCACGTCCTGCATGTACGGCGAGCGCGGCTCGGAGGAGAGCCTGGGCGCTAATCCCACCTGTTCAATCGACGTCACCGACACACCCCCGAGCTCACCAACACTACAGCCGACAGCAAGCCCTCAGTATCTATTTGGCGATATACACGAAGATTCCGAGTACGATCAATTAAGCGACGTGTGTGAGCTCGAAGAGAGTCGCCTGCTATTCATCCGCCATCCCGGAGCTGTCCGAAGACGCGCAATGGCTGCCGACTTCAGCGAAGGGCGCCTAGAGACGTTCGTAGGCAACCCACTGAAAGAGCTGGCGGGCACGCAAAACCAATATGTTTCATACCAAGTCATTACAAAGGTTGGTAGCCCAACGAGTAGCTTCGGTTTCCATCACACAGCTCTAACATTCAGCCCCGCCTGTAGTCTGACTTTCAGTCTTTCCAAAAACCCGAATTCTCCGTCCGCCGCCGCTTCACCGACTTCGTCTTCCTCTGGAAACAGCTCTCCAAGGAATACCCGCAATGCGCCGTCCCGCCGCTACCCGACAAGCACAAGATGGAGTATGTGCGTGGGGACCGCTTCGGCCCGGACTTCACTGAGAGACGAGCCCACTCATTGCATCGCTTTCTCAAGCGGATAGCACTGCACCCGGTACTTCGGAGAGCGGTATTATTCATCAACTTTTTGGAGAGCGCCGACTGGAATCAGCACATGAAGGGTCGATCATCACGAGCCGCAAGCGGGTCAGAACAGGGAGGCGGTGGCTTCGTGGACAGTATTGCGGATACGTTCGTCAACACTTTCACCAAGATACACAAGCCAGACCAGCGCTTCATCGAAGTCAGTGAGCGAGCCAACAAGCTGAGCGAGGACCTGAACAACGTCGAGAAGGTTACTGTCAAGGTCGCTAGGCGGCAGGGTGACCTAGAAACTGATTATGCTGATCTGGCGACTCAGTGTCAGAAACTGACAACCATGGAACCTGCTGTAGAAGGCAACCTCACATCTTTCGCTGCTTCTGTCAATACCACCTCACAGGGTTTCAAATCTATTCGTGATCACACGGACCAGAATTATTTGACCAGTCTTCGAGACATGGACGCCTATATCCAGGCCGTCAAGACTCTTCTGCGAACACGAGAGGCCAAACAGCTCGACTTTGAGCAACTGAGCGAATATCTAGCCAAATCTGCTGCTGACCGCGATTCGCTGGCCAGCGCAACAGGTTCCGGAATGGGCGCCTCCGGATTTCTTCGCTCCAAAGTGGAGGATTTCCGGGGTATCGACCACGATCAAGCGCGTCGGCAACGCGTCCGTAAATTGGAGGTGGAGATTGAACGTCTCACGGGCGAAGTGGAGATGTCAAAGAAGGCCAGTGAGGCATTCGACGAGCACACGGTCAAGGAAGTTGCCGACTTTGAGCGCATCAAAGCCATTGAATTCAAGGATACCCTCGGTGATCTAGCCGACGCACATGTGGAATTCTTCCAGGGGACGATTGAGACATGGGAGAAGTTCTTGGAGGATATGCGGAAAGAAGAGGACCAGCGAAAAGCGGCTGCAGCATCGTAGAGTTATGTTCAGAAAGAAGCCACCCCCACGGGATTTGAGACAGCAGTCCTTCTGGCTGGTCTACCAACTGGTTGGAGAGACGACGCTGAGCTAGATGGTTCGTCCCTATGGAGGACAGATTGATCAGGGGAGATTTGACGCTTGATTGTCAAACATGGTGAGCGAGTTCCGTTGGTGCATGACAAGCCTCATTTGACGTGGCGTTGGGGCAGTGTCATCATTTGTAACGACAACACCACTAGCCTATGCCTAATTCATGTGTAACAAGACGCCTCTATGGAACACTATGTTGGAGTGATTGTAGTGGATGTTGGTCGTGGTAGCGGTAGCGAAGGCTCCATGGCTCCATAGCACGGGCTTTAGATGGGGGCCTCCAGGGCTTGGCAGCGCGAGAAGCACGGCGGGTCAGGGGTAGAAATCTATCTGACCCCCCTACTGGTGAAGAAATGAAGGGTTTACAGTAGGGAGACAGCTGACTGTAGTGGCAATGGAAAAGCAACTTGATGGCGCACAACAACGGCGCAAGCTTGGAGGCCATGTAACGGGCTTTCACGTGCGAGAGCGATTGGAGCGATGACGTGCAATTTCCAAACCCCTGGCAGGCTTGCGGGCTAACATCCTAGCAACCATCTACCGAGCCGCCGGACCCGTCCCTTTAGAAGTTTGACGCCCGCCGGCCGCAACCAAAGACATCCCATCCCACAAGAGACAGGCGGCTCCTGCAGCGCAGATTCCCCGCTTCATTACATGCTCGACGATATATGATATATAACCTAATTCTACCCCGCCAAACTCATGTCTCTACCACTCCCTGTCACAACACCCACAACCATGCCTCCGAGCAAAGGTACGCAGCCCCTTTGAGCGCTCATTCTACCCATTTTGCTAACCAGAATTTATTGCTTAGAAACAAAAAGGCATGAGTGCGTCTCCGAAGATGCGCTGCAGCATCTGAGAACCTACAAATACTCGAGCGTCGATAAATCCTTCATCTCCCGCTACATCCTGAAGCATTACGTACGACTCCTTCATGCACGCGACCGCAACGCCATCTAACATGTGCACAGTGGAATGGCTTCGTCGAACTCCTACCCTTATGGCTGGCCCCGAACCTCGTCACATTATTAGGCTTTTTCTTCATCCTGGGAAACGTCGTGCTGCTAGAGCTATACATCCCAGATTTGGTCGGACCAGCCCCCTCATGGGTATACTACAGCTTCGCATTTGGCATGTGGATGTAAGAAGTGTCGCGTTACACCAGCTCTAGTACTGCGCTGATATCTTTCCAGGTACTCCACCATGGACAACGTCGACGGAAAGCAAGCGCGTCGCACCGGCACATCGAGCCCGCTGGGAGAACTTTTTGAGTACGTGACTACAGCCCAATGCGCCACTATCACAATACTGATTGCGACTTAGCCATGGAATTGACTCCCTTAACTGCACCTTGGCAAGTCTCCTGGAGACGGCAGCTGTTGGCTATGGCTCTACTAAGATCGGTGCCTTCACTGCGCTGATTCCAGTCCTTCCCATGTTCTTCTCCACTTGGGAAACATACCACACGCACACTTTGTACCTAGGCTACTTCAACGGCCCTACAGGTAAGCCGACCTCGTTGCTTTTTGAGACCCATGCTTACCCAATCCAGAGGGGCTAATTCTTGCGTGCACGTTCATCTGCATGTCAGGCTACTTCGGCCCGGAGATATGGTCAACTCCCCTCGCCAATTACTTCCCATCTTACAAGGCGGAGATCGGTGAAGTTACCTTGAAAGAACTCTGGGTACCTATCATCTTGTTCACCTTCTTCGTCGCTCACCTTCCGGCCTGCATCGTCAACGTTGCACGCGCGCGACGCGCCAAGAACCTGCCCCTGCTGCCCCTTCTCAAGGAATGGACACCCCTGGTCATCTTCGTCGTCTGCACCATGGCCTGGCTCGGATCACCATATTCGAAGCTCTTAGAAGACAACCACCTCGTCCTGTACTGCCTGACAATGTCGCTGGTCTTTGGAAGAATGACCACAAAGATCATCCTGGCACATCTTACCCACCAGGCCTTCCCCTACTGGACCGTTATGCTTGCGCCCATGATTGGAGGTGCTCTACTCGTCAACCATCCCTACTTCACCATTCCCGGTACCACCTTTGGCCCCATCTCAGCCAACTTTGAGCTGTGGTACCTTCGTGCATATTTCGTTTTCGCCGCTGTTGTCTACGGGCGATGGGCACACCTTGTGATTACAAGCATCTGCGACTACCTAGGCATCAACTGCCTTACGATACCCAAGAAGACATCCGAGAAGAATGGACGGGCCAGTGTTGTCGTTGACGGCAAAGGTCGCACAGACTAGAGCGACCCAATCCGATTCAGACAGACTGCCACCACCAACGGAACAAACGACACTTATATTCCTATGCCGTACATCTTCACGGCACATCCTCAAGTTTAGCGCATCTGCGTTTGAACGCAGCACCTTTTGACGATCAAGGCTTCGTGACGAGACCAGATTAGACCTAATGACGACATTCAGGATACACACCCCTAACTATTATAACTTTTAATCATGAGAGAAGATTTAGAGAAAGAGAGAGCACGCAGGGACCTCAATAGTCTGGAACTGTTCTCGTAATTTGCTTCTTCTTCATCTTGTTCTTTTCTCTTCTCTTCTCGTCATCGCTTACCTATTCTTTTGCATAGAATATTTTTAATATGTTATCAACAATGATATTGACAAAGTTTTCTGTCGGGAGGGAGATTTGAACATGGCCGATCGACTTTTGATCGGGCATATCATACATAGCATAGATGTAGAGCGTGGCTCCAGATTTTCAACAATGGAACCAGGGCAACTGCGTGCGTGGTTGCCTTCCGAGTTTGACCGCTTAGGTGTGCTGCTTTCTTGATATCCGCGCGTGCTCTATTACTCTTTCCTTGTGCTGTTTTCTACCGCTTCTCTGTGTTGTCTCTTACCTTCGACTGTCCCATGTCGGTGTGCAAGCGGGCGCATCTTGCACATACACTTGCTCTGCTTGTGGGCTACATATGCGCTTCATGTGCATTGATTCTATCAACCACGTCGAAATCATTCATTAGTGCAGTTCTCATTCCCGAGGTTTTCGACAAGGGTCTAGTCGTGACCTTCTATTACTTTGGGTCGCTTCACGTTCGCCAACGTCACTTTTCTCACTCGAAGTGAAATTTGTCTTGTACGTATATATCATGTAGGAGTGGCCGTTTCGCACAATCTTAGCAAACGCACACTTCTGTCTATTACATAGTCCATCACTTTGCAAGCCTGTTTTACTCACTTCCTTTCTCTTTCTCGAGCTGTACATTATCTCTGTTCCAATCACAAGACCCAAACTTAACCTGAACCAAATTCTTTTGTCCCTGTCTCCCCAGATCCCGATTGGTTGACTTGTGTGCGCGCGGCCTGCAGTAATTCCCACAATATCCTGCCGTGACAGGGTCCGATACGCATACAACTTCCCGGCCACTGTATGCTAACGCTTTTAGCAACACCTTATGAGCTACTATCAATGTTCCGCCCAAAGCCTCTCCCAAGAAACAGACCGGCGTGGATTTGACACAGACCAGTGCACCAAGGACGAACTCGCGGAATACCTAAAGCAAGATGACGAAACCAGAGGCTCGGATGCAACAACGGTGGGGACTGTAAAGCCCGGTGAATTCATACCGAAAGACGCATCGCTGGCGTACAAGTCGTACCTCGACCAGAAAGCCACAGCCAGTGCGTTGATCAATCAAAGTAAGTCTACACCAACACCACACTCGAAAGGCAGATCACCACACTAACACACCCACAGAAATCACATACTGGACCATGAACACCTTCTTCCCCTCGCTCCAACTCTTCTTCGAATCTGGCTACTCCTGCACCATCGCCATCACCTGCAGCCCTTCACACCTCGCAGGCGCCCCCGCAAAAATCGGTGTCGATCCAGCGCTCAGATTCAAACTCACAGACTGCACCCACGAAGAAAACGGTCGTGTTACAAACTCCATCCTACCACCCAAGCACGCAACTTCAGGCACAGGCGGCCTGGTCATTGAAGATGCGTGTGTGGCGCAACGGACTAGTGTTGCGCTAGAAAAGATAATCGCACATACTCCGGGCGCTGCGAATGAACTGGGAAGTAGAGGACAGACGAGGATTGTGACAGAGCGGCATACAGTGTTTGGAATCAAGTTGAAGGGCGTGGAGAGTATGGCCTATGTCTGGGCGAAGGCCGAGTGTTACGAGGGTGGTTGTACGTGGGTGGATGTGAGCATAGGCGGGTTGAGGAATGATGTGCCGCTGCCTTTTGCGTGTTTTCCGAAGGCGGATGCAAAACCTGGGGCAGGGACTACGATTGTTGAGATGGGGAGTTTGATTGCAAAGGGTAAGAGGAGGAGGGCGGGTGCATAGGGGAGGAGGTGGTGGTGTGTAGGGTAGGAAGGCTTGGGGATGGGTATAGACTAGGGGTTTTGAGAGAACGTCACCAGAATGGTGACTTCAATCCAAATTTTTTTGTGGTATGCATGCAAGATCTGGGATATCTTTGGGCTGGAGTAAACGCAGTACTTAGTCATTGTTGATGTTGGTGTTGTCGATGTCTTCCGTGCCAAGATCCCCAACGACCATCCGGGGACATCCGGCCAAAACTTAAAGTAAAGATCATCCAAACCTCTTGTAAAAAGTACCGCGGCCGAAAAAGCCCGGAACATAGGAATATAGGCCGAGGCGTCCTCGGGCAACGAATCACCTCGGATGATTGTATATGGTAGTACCTGCTCATCAGAATACTTACACGAGACGTTTTGGTATCTGAGGAAGTAACGAAAAGAAAACAGTTTTTATATGCCAACTAAGGTTACAGTAGTTTGATCGTAGTTGTCGCCGGGTATGCCAGGGTACCTATGTATTATTATAATACCCAGGTAATAATATGGTTCGGATTATATCCTATGGTGGGTGTACGGACTATACGTTGTATTGGTCTGGGGCCGGCGGATTTACAAGCTTCAGTGAAGTGGGGTACATACGTAAGTTCACCCGTACCTCAGATGTGAACCTAGGTATAAAGCCACGCTGGTATTCCCACGTCTCTATTCAATCATCAAGCAATCAATCAATTGTATCACATCCTATCACACCAACCCAAATACCAACCTCATCCATCTTCTCAACACACCACCACCACCACCACCACCCAACATGTCTCAAGTCCTCGTCCTCTACCCCCGCACTCCCACCCTCACCTTCAACAAGGACTACTACCTATCCACCCACATGGAGCTTGTCAAATCCGTCTGGAGCAAACACGGCCTCAAGTCCTACTCGGTTGTCGAAACCAGCGCCGAGAGCGGCAGCCCGTACGCCTTCATCACTGTCATGGACTATGAGAGCGCGGATTCTTTTGCCGCGGCGGCACAGGATGAGAGGACCAAGGAGGTTATGGCGGACGTGGCGAATTTTACGAACGCCCAGCCTATTGTTGTCAACGGCGCGGTTGTTGGAAGGGGTTAGATATGGAAAGAGACGGAAGGCAGGGAGATGCAGTGGACTGAACGCTTACACTGCACCTTGTATGGACCGATAATGGGGTGCGGTATACGACTGGGGATTAGGGAGGTTGTATCATCGCTGATGAAAGACGGAGGGAGGGGTAGCTTCCATGGTTGGTGTGGGGTATAAGCAATCGATGTTGTTACCCCGCATCTACCGAGGTTGAACATGGCCTCATGTATAATTTTTTGGCAACGCGCGTAATGAAATTGATTTCCACCAAAGACTCATGAGTTGTTTCTCTGTATGTCTGTTCTTCAAGTGCGGAGTAATGCTATCATGCTGTACTGGGAAGAGTACCTAAGTGGGAGATTGATAATATCGGCCCGAATATTTCATGCATTCGGGAGGTTGTCACGCATACCGAAGACAACGCACTCGGACAGGTAATCATATGTTCGTCCTCTTCGTCTTTTGAAACAAGACCACATACACATGGCTGTTGCTTCTTTTTATCACAATTTTAGCACATAGTTTCTTAAACACATGTACGTACGCAAGTAGACTTTAAGCCCAACGGGAATGCTATGGAAACCCAGGGATCTTGATTTCAATCAACAGGAAGAATGCACTTCTCTCTTTCCAACATAAAAGTTGTTTTCATTCATTTTCAGAGGACGGAGAAGGAGGCAGGAAGGAACAACATCAAGTACTTGCTCTCATATTTATACTGAGTAAGAGAGGAATAGTAGAGAAAGCACATGTCCATTTTTCAAGTCTGTTGTAGAGCAGAAGAGACAGGACTGAGCAACACAATGTCTTTCTATGCAGTTTTTGTTTCTCGCACTCTTTATTTTTTTTTCTCAGAGGGCACAAGAGCAAATGCAGAACATGTCTTGATTTCTGCGATGTTTTTAAATAGAATAAAACGTATGTCGATTTTCAGTAGATTTTCAAAAATATAAAAACTGCCAGGGACATGAAGTTCGGGATCTTATCTTTAGATTGGGTACTTGAAGTTTCCAGTAAAAAGAGGGAAGAAGTGTAGAGGCTTCTCTTACACAGGAGAGGATTTAATAGTAAGAGAAGGCCTTCTTACCTTATAGCGTATATCAAAGATATATAAAAGCGGGACATACGGTCTGAATGGTGTGATTTTGGCAACACGACAAAGGTCCGACTCAGAACATGAGACCTTGAAGAAGCAGTTTTGTGTGGTGCCCACAGAATCTTGGAAGAATAATAGAAGTAGAGAATAGGTAAAGTGTTCGCTTTTATGCGGGAAGGAATTTCAAGGTACACAAAGAGAGGAGAAAGCATCCATCGTTTCTTTGGCTACTTTTAGAACAGAACACATTAGCTTTGTTTGGTTCTTTCAGTAATGTGGTGGGGACTCAGGCTCAGAACCGAGACATGAATGGGTAGTTAATGATGCTTTTTAGTATTTAGTAGCATGATGGAAGTAAGAGGTAGGTACTGGGTCGGTTGCGGACAAGGTTTTAAAGGTAGACGGAGAAGAGAGAGACGAGCATACGACATTGCGAGGAAAGATTCTAGAACACAACATAGTTGTTGAGATGTCTTTTTTTTAGAGATGCCGTAGAGACTCAGGCTCATAACCAGAACATTATCAGATCGTAATTGGATTTTGGTGTTTCAGAAAGCTTTCAGAAGGAAGAGGAGTAGTATTCTTTCTTTACGTAAGCAACATTTCATGAAGAGAGTCATCAGCGGAAGCATGTGGTATATAATACGCAGAGTTTTGGAAGAGAACATGGAGTCGCCGAGGATTGTTTTTAATGGCGCAACAGAGACGCAGACTCAGAACCGAGATATCAGAAGGCAGTGAAGTAGTCTTAGTATTCAGAAGTTTTGTGTAAACAAGGAAAGTAGCTGTATTACCCCCTTGCGGAAATTATGTAAAGAATAGGGAAAACTAGCAGACACATACGCTACTGTACTATATGAAAGATTTTTTTGGAAGAGGACATATGTTCTAGGCACGGATATTTTAGTCATATATCAGAAGTTCCAGCGCAACCGAGACATTTATTCTTGTGACGTAGATTTTATTTGAAGAAGCTTTGAGGAAACTTTTTGGGAAGAAGAAGAAGAGTAGTCATAGCATCCTTTCATATAGAGAAGAACTGAAAGTAGGAAGATAGTAGAGAGAGCCGAATGGGCGCACATACATCTAGTTACAACCATTTTCGGAAACAAGATATTTCTCTCCTCTTATATTACGTTTTTAGGATACGGAAAAGCCCCACAATCAGAACATAGGTCTTCCTTTTCGGCAGTTTTTAGCGCTTAGAAACTTCTTGGCACATGAGGCGCTTGCAATGGTTTTTAGCCGCTTAGAAAAGCTGTGGAGATAAAGCTACCGCACCAGTGGAGAAACATGTCAAGATAATGGTTTAATTTTTAAGAAAGGGACATCGGCCTAACTGTTCTTGTCGGATCACAGATATCAACGATATCTCAGCCACGCGATCGGCCGCACTGATCTCGGTCACGCGAGCAGCGCTCAGACCAGACCTCCTATATCTAGCTCTTCCATAGTTCTCCTTCGCAAGACAATCAATCAGAACCATCACCGAACAGAATGCATTCCTAGTTATCGTTATTTCCTTTCAGCACTAGTGCTACAGCCCTACCAACAGTTATACTTTTTAGGGCATGCAGGAAAGACCCAGAAACAAAAACAAGACATCAAACTTGCTCTGGAGCTTTTTGGAAAAGCGGTAAAGCCCCAAGAACGGAGGCAAGAACATGGTTCTAACCTCGTTAAGGTTTTTGAGGAACGTGGGAAAGACCCAGGAACGAGAGGAAGGACATGATTTTTGTCCCTTAGAACTTTTTAGAAACGCAGAAAAGCCCCAAGAAAAGAACAGGGCATTAGCCGTAATCTCTGACGTTTAGTGTTGGAAGGCCTTGTACGATCGTACGGTGAATAACAGTAGCTAAGGTAATCTTGTGTATTGGTATTCTGGTGTATGATGATTCTACGAATGTGGGGGCTACGAAGGTATACATAGCGTTGGGTCCGAGTTGGGCCGAAGTAGGATCGAGGCGGTACATTGGGCCTTATTAGGCGACACACCGTGTGTATGCCGACACTGGCAATCTTTTCTTATTGTAACGACTGATGTAAGGAAAAACGGGTCTTCTAAAAAGGGCACAATGAGAGGGATTCCAAATAGGCATATGTGCCTACTCCGTAGGTCGCTGCACAGATCCCTCTACTCGGATTGACAGCTTGTTGCTTTCGATGAAACGTTCTAACGCGCGATTTGGTGTTGCTTTCGTGAATGCGTCCGCGGGGTTGTCCTCTCCGTTGATCCAGCGGATCTCAGTGATCTCGCGACGCTCGTATGACTGCCGAAGCGCCATGATGTCGATCATCAGTCGCTTCTCAGCAGTTGTTCCGAGTTTGACGAGGCATTCATACAAGGAGTATGAATCCGTACACACAATAAGTGGGATCGGTGGTAGACCTAGGCGTCCTGTAATTATCTTGAGGGTTGTTAGGATAGCGATAGCGATGTCGACACCGCTAACCATGCCGTACGTTTCTGAGGCAAGAACGCTCCGGGTAACGCGTTTGCATTTGGTCGAACTCCAATGGATTACGTTACCACGAATATCAAACGTGCTGTCTTGTCGACTCGACTCATTCGCAAGGATAAGTAGGTACCCTAGCTGTGAGCTAAGGTCTTGGTTGTTCGCGAAGGATCCGTCTGTGAACACTACCAGCTTTGCTGTAGCGAGGTCGAGAGGGACGTATCGCAGGCCTCGTTGTATGCTCTCAGATTGCCACTGCAGCCGGCGGTTAAGCTTCACGTATTCTGTGTCCTTAGGTTGTTGTATTTGCGCAGCCGCGGAAAGATCGAACGATGCTTCAGGTTGGCATATCGACGCAATGTACGCGCCACGCGCGCGCTGCTCCATGTACTTCTGTGCTCGGTTTGCTGCCTTCGGATCAATAATTTCGATCTTGGCACCTTGTCCCTTCTGCGTAAGTAGAATCGTGTCTCCGCGCAACGTTAGAGTACATCCGTTGAACTCGAGTGATACTTCTTTGGACAGTCTCTCCTTGGGCTTAGCTCGAAAATTGGCTTTCTGGAGCGCAGCGTCTTCTGCACCAGAGAATGCAGGCGTCCCAATCGCGAGAGTATCGTCTGTCTGCAGGCCCACTATTCCAAACGCTTCCCGTCTCCCGTTCGTGATCAGGAGGCACGGGTCATACGTTGATGTAGCCATGTCGAGCTCCTTGCAGTGGTGTCCTTGGTACGTAGCAAACCAGTGGACTCCTGCTTCCGCGATTCCATAGAGTGGCTTGATTACGCGAATAATTGTTCCCTTGGGATACTTTGTTATAAGCTCCTTTGGGAGGTGCGCTAAAACCGTGCGGAATAGCTCTGTTTGTGCCTGTGGGTACGCTTGCGTGATATCTCGTAGTTCCACAACCATGCCCTCATCGAGTAATGCAGGCGCTAGGGCTAGAATCAGGCGCTGGCTGGCTCGTTGGATGGTTGGCGACTGCGTCAGGATCTCGTGTTTGCCCTCGTCATTGTAACCTTGAACAACGAGGCGTGATTTCTCGTACGGGACCATGGTCTTGCCTTTGACTTCGCGGACCATGCGCGATTTGAAGATACGATACCCGCCGTGTAGAGTTGGATCAAACAGCTCAAAACTGAATACTCCACGGCCGACGAGGTCGTCGATCTCCTTCTGATCGGATGCTTCGAATGGAGCGCCCGGGACGTTAATCACGCCGTCATTGCGTAGCTTGACGGCCAGGGCGTAATCGTCCTCCTCCTTCTTCGACAGGTACTGCACCTTGGGCTTGTTCTTTGATCCAGGTGGGCGGCCCCGCTTGCGCGGCTGAGCCGCTTGGTTGGCTTCCGCCGGTGGTACCGGTAGTGGCGGTTCATCAGCAATCGCTTCGTCTGTGGTCGGAGATCCACCTGTGCCTTGATCTGCGCCGTCTATCGCTGTAGTCAGATCGCGATAGTACGGTTTTACGACAGTGGATCGGAACGTCGTTGGGCCGTTGATCATGTCTACAGTAACATCGTGGTCCTTCATATCGATGACTCTATACGGCCCTTGCCATCCATTCTTCTCGCGCCATACCATCACCTCACTCTGAAGAGGCAGTGACAGTACCCCGTCTGTAGTAGGCCCATTCCTGGTACCAAGTGCGTTGCTCACCGCATGTTCCGCTGAGGCCTTCCGCAGCGCCCTCATCGCTTTCTGGATTGCCTCCGCGCGATGGGTTATCGAGGGAGATGGTGGTGAATCCATGGATATCCGGGGGTATGCACCGAAGACGAGCAGCGTGGGTACGAGCCCGTCTGGGCCTGCGGTGTCGTTGACGGCCTTGACTGCCATCTGCAACACTGCGGCGTCGCTGGTGCCAGTGTCAAGCTCTGTCCTCAGGATCTCGTACGCGCGTCTGAGCGGTGCGTGGTATCTTTCTACCTTGCCGATAGACCAATGGGCCTCGGTTGGCACTTGTTTACATGTGATTCCCATGATCTTCGCCTCTGATCTGAATTCGACTGACGCGAAGTTGGTGCCGGCGTCGTGGGTGACGATATCTGGCGGCCCTTGGTATGTATCAATCCAGAGCAGGCGGAGTGCTTCCCAGGTGTCTTTCGCGCTCATAGACGGTAGAAATCGCGCGCCGTTGAATGTTGTAGCCGAATCGATCACGTGAAGCACTGGTTTCCCACTCAGATACATCACATCTACGAGGATCTCGAAGTTGAATTCCCGATCATCTTTCAGCCTAAACTTGAATCGGCGCGGCGCTGGATCATGCGCTTGGCAGTGATGGCAGAACGTTTGGATCTCTCGGAGCAGCCGTTCATCCACGTCCTCGTGTCCTGCGCGTTTGAGCAATCGTATCAGCCGTTCGACGGCTGGATGCCCGAACCTCCGGTGTAAGCGTCGGAGCTCAGTCTCCGTAAGGAATACGCGCGCGCGCTCTGCCTTGCTTAGGTGGAACCACGGGTGTCCCCATTTGCGAATCACTGGAAAGGTAGCTTTTCCTTGTACCAGCTGGTCCGTAGTATTGTTGAAGTACACGTGGAGCCGGTCCATGTCTTTCAGACAGAGGAGAAACGGGGTGGGTGCGTTCAAGACCTCAAATTTGATCTTTCCAATCTGTGTCGATACATGTGCGGTTCCAATCGAAGTAGTGACGCTTCCTTTGCCAAATTGCACAGATGCGTTTCCAGCAGTAGACGTATCTAGAGTTACGGTGGGGTCCTCAGTTTGGAGCGCCCAGAACTGCTCCTTTCCGGCTGTCGATACATTTGAGGCACCAGTGTCAGGAAGAATGCCTTGGTACGTGATTCGCGAGTATCGATCCTCGATAAGGAACTGCGTTGCGGGCGTAATAGGCTCCTTGCACCTGTAGACGTCTTCTCCAGTCACGTGGTGCAAAAAGGCCTGATCTGTGAGGTACTTAACTGCCAATCTTTGGTCCTCATCATCTTCGTCTTGCTCCTCTAGGAAGAACTGGTCGACTTCTTCCCCCTCGTACGCGACGAGAAATGTGCTAAACTCCATTTGCTCTCCCGTAATCGCGCAGTGTGTGATGTACTGCGCTTTTGAGCGTTTTCTTTCTTCAAGCGTGTGGTTTGTGGACCAACAGCCTGTCTTGCCGCAGACGTAACATTTCTTGTCGATTTGTGTGTTGACTCCAGAGCGGTGCTGAAGCCCACCGCGTCCGCGGGTGAATCCGCTGCGTCCACCGCGAGGGTTGTAATTCCCTCGCAATCTTCCAGAGCTGTTGTTGTTGTACCGACGATCCAAGTAGTACTGGCTATCCGTATCCGCCTCAGTGAAGTTGACGGAGACGGTCATGGCGAGTGAGTTTTCGATTGACGATCGCAGATCTCCAAACAGAACCTCGCATTCTAGAGACGGCTTGTAGAGTGCCATCTCGAGCTCCTTCACGCCTCGGCATGCTGTGATTACAGTCGTTCGGAGCGCGTATTCTCCCATGTACTGCTGTCCAAGTGCTCTTTGACACAATTGGAGCTTGTCCAGCATGATGTCAAGGACCTCGTGGAGGTTCTTTTCGGGGTTCTCCCTGCGGACTTTGACAAACGATGTCGTCGTCCAGTCCGCGTAGTAATGGCCGTGGTTGACGTCTGTGTCGAAGTGGTTCTTGAGCTTTGTGTAGGCAGTCAAGAACGTATCCATCCGCTGATCGACGAAGTGGAGGTAATACTCCTCTGCGCGGCCGTCGAGAATCCGTGGAAAGACTGCATGGAACTGCCCTGGCTCGATGTCTGCGTGATAACAGATGCTGTAGAAGATCTTCAATTTATCGTCTAGGAGGTCGTACGGCTTTCCCGTATACTTTTTGTCTCGGTCCCACATTTTCACGAAGACATTGATCGTCTTAGGATCCAGTTTCTCATTGCCAAACTCGATTGGTGGAACTGCCTTGTACGGGTCTGTTTCACCAGAGGGCACAATTGGGGGAACGCTCAGTCCCTTCGGACGTTGCGGGTATGCTGGTGTATACTCGCGGAATCGGTCGAAGTTGTTGTAGGTGAGGGGAGGTTGCTGACTTTGGACGCGCTGATAGGCTGGCTGCGGTGCGGATTCAGTTGTCTCTACAGGCTGGCTTCGGATTGGTTGGTTTTGGGCTTTCTCAATCGTTTTTGCTAGCTGGTCCTGAATCTGTTGTTCTTCCTCAACGGTCTCCTGTCGTCCTTGCACACGGGCGTGGGTCTGGTCTTGATCGCGGGTTTGCCGACTGTCTACGTCTCGGCCTCTTGTCCTTACAGGCGTTTGGGTTCGGCTCTGGGCCTGGCTTGATAATCTCCTGTCTGTGGACTGTACTGATCCTTCACTGCGTTGTTGCCGTAGTGCCCGCTCTTGCAACATGTGCGCAGCTGATCGTGTGTCAAACACAGCCGACTGGAATACGTCCTGAGGCCATTCTAGGTACTCCTCCATGCGTAATAACCTAGCTAGAGACTCACTAGGTGCCATATTAATACGGCCAGTATACACTCCCTTAAAGCGGAGGATCCGCTTTAGTTCCTTTGTGTATATTGGCTGGGCACGTAGGAACATTGCCTCTGTCCATCCTTCAAAGTCCTGACGGAACTCCCAAAAGAGTTCTTCATCTGCTGTTGGTCGATCTGTATAGTCCGCAATCGCACGCGCAATGTACGTTGTTGCTGTAGTAATCCCTACCTCATCGTCTGGAGCTTCAACGTTGTCCTCCCAAATCTCTGGATCGATGTGATGCCATTCTCTTGGTTTTATGTTTGTGGTCCCTAGTAGCGCCTCTAGTGTGGGTACCACTCTTCTACTACTGCTCGCCATTCCTACTGCCGGTGTCCTGGCTACCGGTGCTCTTTCCGATGATGTTCTCTCTCCTGCTATTGTGTTCTTGTTGACGCTTGTTGCGCTAGCTGCGTTCGCTAGAGATGCGTCGGTGGTCGTGGGTTGTACACGGGTCAAATCTCAACCGGTCGGTTGGCGCGTGTATAGACGGCGTCTTGGAACGCTTCTGATACGGCTGTAACGGTCGGTCGCTAGCCACGAACGACGCCTGATATAGCTAACAGTGAGCTTAGCATAGATAACTCCGCCTTGCTGATATAGGCAATCTAGGGAACGCGCGGGGTAAAGAATCTATCTCTTCTTAACCTAACTGTCTGTGACTGCCGTGCAATCACTGATCAGTGTTGGAAGGCCTTGTACGATCGTACGGTGAATAACAGTAGCTAAGGTAATCTTGTGTATTGGTATTCTGGTGTATGATGATTCTACGAATGTGGGGGCTACGAAGGTATACATAGCGTTGGGTCCGAGTTGGGCCGAAGTAGGATCGAGGCGGTACATTGGGCCTTATTAGGCGACACACCGTGTGTATGCCGACATTTAGGAATGCGGCAAAGCCCCAAGAACGAGAGCAAAAACATGAATCCAAACTGGTCGAATTTTTTAGGAGCGCAGGAAAGATCCAGAAAAGAGGGCAAAGACATACGCATTGTCTCTTGGTAATTTTTAGAAACACAGAACACAGGAAAGCCCCAGAAATAGAACAGGACATCAGCGCTAACGAACTCTATTTTAAGTAACTAAGCCAGCAAATTCCCAGAAGCAGAACATGCAGTGTCACTCTGATCGTTTTAGTAACTACGGCTTTTCAAGTAGAAAGAAGGATAGAGAGTCTTGCAGAGAAAGACGGAGGCTTTATATGCTGCAGTTCTCACGATCACAGGACTCTTTCCTATAGGTATATCCAGTATCTTATTCTGGAAAGACAGAGAGACATAAGGGTGTTTTCCTTTCGTTTTAGGCCAAGCAGGGAGAGGCAGAGAAAGCTATCGCATCCTTCTCATGGAGTTTTAGAAAAGGGGAAGAGGGGGGAGAAACATTAACTTTTTCTCTGCACGTTTTAGAACAAGAGGGGAGAGGCAGAGAAACATAAGTGCGTATTCGGCATTTTTTTAAGGAAAAGCGGGGAGAGGCAGAGAAAGCCATTAAACCCATGTCATGTAATTCCACGTAAAGCAGATAAAAGCAGAAAGAAGCCACCGCTTTCCCCCAAGGAATTTTCAGGCAAGCAGGGAAAAGCACATCAACTTTTTGAGCATTCTTTTGAGCATTCATTTTACACACTGACACATACGATGGGATCTTTCAGATTTCTAAAACCCCACAGACTCAGAAAACAGCAGCACGGCAATGTTTCTTGCTGGTTTATTGGCTGGATAAGGATTTCATTGCTCTCTCCATGACATAATGGAGTTACCTTCTCTTATTTTCAAAAACTTAAAAGAAGAGAAAGAAGGGAAAAGACATAGAGTGTGAAGACAAAGCTTTTTAAGCATAAGATGAAAGCCAACCCAAGCTTTCCCACTCGCGGTAACATTCCGGGTAATTTTAGGTACGATAAGAAAAGGAGCGGAGCAGACAAAACGCTTTAGGATCCAGAGTTTTAAGAATAAGAAGAAAGATAACTCTAACCGTTCCGCAGTTAAGGAAACAATATGGGATTATCGCGTTCATTTTAGTTAAAAAAGGAGGAAGGAAAGCAGAACATAAAACACCAGGGTCCGTGTTTTCAATATTTTGGAAGAATAGTTTCTTGTGTATGTGAGAAGAAGAAGAGAGCATGAACCCAGATAGATAAATTTATACCCAATACTCGAAGCCAAGGCGCGCGCACACGTGAGCAAGCAAAACGCAAACGCAAAAAAACAAAACAAACGGAACTTCATTCTACCAAACGCCGCCCCGTCTTCCGTAGAAACCCCATGCTAATTTGCGATCCAAACAACAACAATTCCCAATGTTCGCTCCTTTAATGCATCAATGACCTGCCTATTACAACCTATCTATAACGCGCGGAGTGATGCAGACGACATGAATATATATACAGTGAATCTCGCATCTCATCACGCTCGTCAATAATGTAATAGTTCCTTTCTTGTGCCGCTACTTATTACTGGTCGTGCTATGGGCCAATCGATCCCGATTGCCCTCGACCACTCTCGTATTAATTACTGCTTCCGTTCATCGTCGGTACTGGCCCTGTTGCTGTTGATGTGCGTGTCTCGCGGCCTGTTGTGCTTGATCAAAACTTGCGCCGTATGCCTGCGTGGTTGGCTGCTGCTGTTGCTGTGGGAAATACTGCCCTCCAGAGGATTGCGGTGTGGGTGTGCCCCAGCCTCCAGGAACATGCATGTGCGGTGTGGGCGTTTGCTGAGGAAAGTACTGCTGTTGCTGCGGCTGGTACATTGGATGCATCTGACTGGGCGTGGAGAACGCCATACCAGGCATTCCTAATGGTGTCCCGGGTCCCGTTGGCATACCCATGACACTGGGGGTACCCATCATACTAGGAGTTCCCATCATACTGGGTGCCCCCATGACACTTGGTGCACCCATCACGCTCGGTGCACCCATACCGCTTGGCGTTCCCATCATGCTTGGCGCATAAGTGCTCTGCGCCATTGCGTATTGTTGCTGCTGCACTTGTTGTTGTACCATCTGCTGCTGGCGTTGCTGGGCTTCCATCATCTGGCGCTGCTGAACCTCCATTATCTGCCGTTGCTGGGCTTGCATTGTGCGCCTATCAATCTCAGACTGCATAGCTGGTGTGTAGCTCATGCGATTAACTTTGTGAGCTGCCTTTTCCTTTTCCCGGTGGTCAATGTATCCAGTCAATCCAGTCGGAGGCTGATTCTGAACCTTTTTATTAGAGTTCTGTGAAAGATCAAGCAGCGGGGTGTTCGTCATGCGAGCCACCTGTTCCTGTTCACGAGCCGACAAAGTTGTAGGTCGCTGGTCGAGTAGTAGTTCAGCTCCGCGACTCAACGGGCGGCTAGGGGGAAAGGCAGGTCCTGGTGAGCCCTGAGGTGATCGTTGAATATGGCTCCAATCTCCAGAATGGGTGCGACCAAAAGGTGGGGGAGTGTGCGATTTACTCCTGCCATGTCCATACATGACGGGCAGATGCTGGGAAGCACGCTGCATGACCCACTCTTCGGGGTCTAGCCTCTGCCTGTCTTGTTGTGGTTGCGGTGGCGATGCCATGACTGGCTGCCATGGGACTTGGCGTGAGTCTGGAGAAATCGAGCCAGTGCGTACATGTCCGTTCATATTTGGTGTACCCTTGTCAGAAATGTACGACTGTCGTTGCTCATTTGGAGTTGTCGCAAGATTCTCATTTGAGCGCGAGGCATTGTTGTCATGGAACATTTGAGTCATAGTTCCACTTGTACCAGGTCGTTTCTCGTTGAAATCCAAAGCATATGTCGGCCCAAAGTCGATACTGGGCACAGCAGCAGCAGCAGCAGCAGCAGGAGGAGGAGGAGGTCGGGATGGGTCCAGCACAGATTGGTATCCGTATTCTTGATCCGACGGAGGCTTTACGTTTGGATCTCCAATCACGGTCAAGACGCCACTTCTTGGACGATCTTCACGTCTTGCAGGAAGCTTTCGCGGAGGCGGGACTTCCTCTTCGTATACACTAGCGTAGTCTGGCGTAGAGGTAGATACCGTATCATCATCGTATCGGCTGCTCGATGTACTTGGCTGACGGAACAGTGTTGATTGAGTATTGAGAGCGTCGAGGGCCTCAGGGTCGATCACGTCGTTTCGTAAACTGTCGAGTCTTGAGCTTGCTGTCGATGACGTGTCATCCTCTCTTGAGGTTGGGGAGGACGGACCTGGTAAGGGTTTGCGTTGAATGCCGACATTGCCGGAGTGAGAGCGGTAAGGGAGCTCTTGGCTTAGAGGCTGCTGCGGAAACTCACTATGTTCTGGCACCGGCGGGGCTACGGGATGATACCCTGAGGGAACATCGACAAATTCAGAATGCTCCACATAAGGTGATGCAGGAATGGTCGACAGACGATTGCCGGAGTTCTGGTTCGAAGGAGGTGGCCTCGAATTGACAGCAAGCAAGATTGGCGATCCTTGTTCGCCGTATTCACCACTTCGTCTGCTCTGTATGGTGTCCTGGCTTCTCCAGGCCGCGACTGCACCTGCAGCAGCTACGCCGCCGTGTGAAGCATCTGCCATTTGCTGAAGCGTGGCAGAGTCAACTGCAGCGTTTGGTTTCGTCAAAGGCATGTTGGGACGAATCGGTGGCTTCTGATTGGCAGCGTGCGTCTGAGTAGGGGGTAGATCGACAAATCCCTGAGGAGGAGCGGACAGATCTGCAGGCGGCTGTGGCAGATCCCGTGGCTCCCGAATAGGGCTCTCATCATGATCAGACCCCTCATAAGGCTGAACAGCTCCATTCTGCGGGGTATTGTTGAATATACGATGCTGAGGTGGAGTTGGCGGGCGCTCGTCTTCGTAGGGGGTTTCAGCTTGCGGAAATCTTGAAGGAGTGTTTTGATTGCCGCGTCCATTGACCTGCTCAGACACTGATCGTTGGTGGCGCGGCGTGCCGAATGGGATTCCTGCCGGCGCTGTTCCAGTTCGACGCGGCGGTTGTACTTCAAGGTCCTGCTGTATTCTTCGCGATGGTGAAGATTGGCGTGTAGATGGACTAGAGCGAACAGAGCCTTGGTCCTCAAACCGCAAGCCACGGGGAGTAAAGCCTGCCCGGCTAACCGTGTTCCTGCGGCTAGCTCGACTGTAAACAGACTCTGCGTCCGTGACAGAGGACATCATACGTGTCGATGTCAGATCTTTCAGCTGCTTTCTCCACTGACGCTCAGACCATTTGTCGCTCCCTTCAGTGTTGATCAGGCCCACTACATCCCACATCTCCAAGTATCCGTACCGCCTGTGTGAGGGCATAGCAAACATGAGTCCTCGCGTGTCCAGAACATCGGCAATAAGCTTCTTGGGACGCCCATATAGGGAAAATGTATCGAACACGGGGAAAAGATATTGAAGCATAATCTCAAAACCTGAGATAGCGGGGCGCGATTCGGGCATTACAAAGACGAAACCCTCTGTTGTGCTCTCGGGGTTCGAGTGCACTGTGATCCTGCCCTCGATCTTGGTCAGAGTAGATTGATCGATGAGCGGCTTCGACTGTGGGTAAATGGCGTAGCATGAGTATGCGTCCCTTACTGTAGCTATGGCCTTTGTTCTTTTGGTGACCTTTTTGGTGTCGTAGAATTTGATGTCTCCCTTGAGTATTGGTGGGCGCTCGTAGCTGCCTTTCTTTTGTAACTTTTGCAGCTTGGCGAATTCCTTCTCATCCGGTGGAGAGACTACGCACCAGCAGCGACGCCATGGCGTACCAGCGCCAAAGCGAACGCGAACCCAATCCTCATACTTTGCGCATTGACGATCCAATATCATGCGGATATTGTTCAGCGACTTGCCTTTTCCTGCGATCAAAGCTCCTGTGTATGCTTCTGAGAGTGTAGTATGCTCGAACATGGCGAGACGAATGCCAGCGGTCCACTGGGTAAGTGCGTGGTAGGAATCGAAGTGGAAGAGGTATTTATTGCTTGCGGCTGTGGATACGCTGAGGATATTATCGAGCTTCTTGCCGTCTTTGAGGGTCATGGAGGGGATCTAGCGGCGTTAGCAGCGTCAAGGGGCCAACAGCAGCGGTAAACGTACCATGTGAATGGCAGCATCTGTGAGGTTGATAAAGGTCGGCAGCACTTCGGCGTCGCCACCTGCGTGGTCAAGCGCACTCGCATCCCATAGCGAGAGGATGGTGCCGACGAGCTGGACAAAGTATTCTTGCCACCTTCGATCCGGGGCTGGACGGCCGCCTGCATGCTGTCAGTACCACAACCCAAATATGGCTAAACTGGGCGGACGTACGAGAATCGGTGTCGTGAAACTTGAGGAAGTAGCCCTCCTGGTAGAGCTTGTTCGAATGGCTATTCAGAAAAGTGAATATGCGCTGCAGCTCTGGCAAGGTATCCTGGCCCACTTCCATGACTGGCGGTTGGTATGTCTGTATCATAGACATGGGACGTACGGAGGCTCGCGAGTCGCTGCGCTCGCGCGTAGTAGCCCGTGATGGAGGACGCTCGTTATTAAATGTTTCTAAAGCAGAAGCCGTCTGCGCAAAGTTTGTCGGCGTTCCAGGCTGTCTGGGTGAGGGAGAAGGGGGCGCGGGGGACGCGGGGCCTGGGGACGGTCCAGCTGAAGAAGGGTTTTTTTGCAGCGTATTATGATTTAAGCCACCCCATTGGGACATGAAGGACAAGACTGTGAAGGAGCGAACAGAAGACAACATTAGCAAGTCTTTCTCCAATCGGCCAGAAGTGACCAGAAGTGACGCTACTGGGGGGCAGGGAGGAAGACATGGTAAAGTGGGCGCATTATTTACCTCTCTTTGGACGACCCATGGTAACGACGTGCCGCCGTGTTCCGCTCCGATATAAATGGAAAGAGCCTCCTGGCTGTGGCACAAGAAGCAGGCAGGCGCTGTAGGCTGTAGGCTGTAGGCTGTAGGGCGGGTGTGGCTGGCTGGGAGCAACGGCGCAAAGCCACGGGAGTACGAGGTGACGGTGGTGGACAAGTTGTGATTGGGGAACGAGCGACGGGGGAAAGCTGTGGTGCCGAGTGCAGAGCGAGGAAGGGACGACTATCGGGGAGCAACGAGTAAAAGTAAAAGAGCGGTAGATGTAGTACGTATATGGGGCGCGCGGTCAAGCTAGATTGTGGAGGAATTTCTGGGCGCCAGACAGGCCCGACAGGGATTGGACAAGGTTATGACGCGGAAGGGTCTCAGCGATCGGCGCCGCCTTGACGACGCATGCATTGTCTTGTTAATAGTAGGTAGGATTTGGGACGGTATCATGTCATAACATGTAGCTTTACATGTACACCCGAGCCCCTTTCGCCCAAGCCAACAATACAAATATGCACACACCTCATCACCGCCTACTCGCCTGCTTGCACACAGTCAGAGTCAGACCACGCACTCACGCCGTCGCACGCTTACTAACTCGCCCGAGAGCAAAAGATTGCAAGTGCATGCAGCGCATCCAGAGGCCCCGACATGGCGGCTACTAACTGCTTTGGTTGCCGCTCATCTGTCTTCGGCCTGCCGGCATCTAGCCCTTCTTGCTAGGGAGTGGCAGTGCAGCTTGGCCTTGTTTGCATTTGCACTGGCACTGTTCTGTGCCCGGAACGCGGCTCATGGAATCTGGGGTATGCAGTGTATGCTGTGGATGGCCTCACTGGGCTGCTTACAGCTGCACCGACATGCTACTTGCATTCGCATACACAGCTCTTCAGCCGAATATCCGCCTCGTGTGCCATTGTCCAGCCGCATCGAGATCCGCGGCATGGTGCATGCGTCATCGCGCCGCCTGTCCTTATGCCATGCATCATCGTATTCCCAGCCATGGCTTTCTTTTGTCAGCAACGGTGGAATGTAGGTGGCGGGCCACGTATCTCCCGAGTCTCACGTGATCTGGGGTGCTAGTTCCGACTGAGCCTAGTCCCACGGCTCCACGGATTCGGCAGCTGACAGCGCGTCAATTGTTCCGCACCGCAACGACGCGTCCAGAAGGGGACATTTATTGTTTTCTCGTGTTTGCCATAACCCCTCTTACTTTGGGTCGCGTCGGCCATTGCCCGCTCCAACGCTCCACATCTCCGTCGCTATTCACACTGTACTCCTTCTCGTGTGCTTCGGGTCTGCTTGGGGTTGCGAAAAAGCCCAAACCATCACTAATACCAAGCACGGCGTAGTCTACCTGTCTGCCTACTCATCCACCAACCACCAACCCCCAGCGCCCAACCACCGCCCCTTCCGACGTCATTATCCCTACGCCAGAATGGCGCGCAAACGCAAAGCTAGCGACGATGCACCCGTGCATGCCCATACTACCCCTCCGACAGATAACAAGTTTGCTACAACGAAGAAGCAGAAGATTGAGTGGGACAAGGTCGACAATTTTGAGGGTTTCACCATCAGCTCGGTAGGCCTCAACGCGCCAAAGCAGGGAAAAAAGTCCAAGCGCAATTACGGCGCCTACCCGGGTCAGGACGCCCCTTTGGATGCAGAGGTTGTACAGCCAAATCCGTTCCCAGACACGGACCTCAGTGAGGTACATGTGAAGATATCGCCTGCAATCTACTGGGAAAACACCAGCCGCTATCGAAAGTTCACCATTAACAATGAGGAATTCTCGGTTGGTCAAATTGTCTTCGTCAAGAAGGTTGAAGATGAACAAGATGCGCCAGACGCGATACAACATTGGCTCGCAAAGGTCCTCGAGATCCGTGCTGGAGATGCTTCCCATGTCTACCTCCGAGTGTTTTGGGCATACAGACCGGAAGATTTGCCAGGAGGTCGGCAGCCGCACCACGGTAGCTGTGAACTGATCATCAGTAACCACATGGATATTATTGAGGCATTGACTGTTCAAGCAGCCGCGAGTGTAATCTACTGGAATGATGATCCCGATGATCTAGCCTTACCAGCAGACCAACTCTTCTATAGGCAGAGCTTCGACGTCACCAAGAAGATCAGGCCACTAAGTGTAGGTACCAATCCCATGTCTCTATATTCTGTCACTAATTTGCTTTCTAGAAACTCAACACCTTCTGCATCGACAAGAAGCCCTGTAATCCCGACAAAATTTTGGTCCAATGTCCGCATTGCTCGAATTGGCTCCACGCGGAATGCCTCGAGAAGGAAGCCGTCCAAACCGTACCCAACACACAGAACAGCACACCAATGCCACCGCCTAAGAAGCGAGGTCGACCCAGCAAGGGAACGCAAGCGGACGTGGACCCACTCGAAGCCGAGCTTCACTCATCAGACACGGGCAAAACCCGCCTCACGATTACAGACAATCGCGAAGGACAAAACAAGCGACAATGGGACGTCGACATACCATGTCTGATGTGCGGCAAGATCATCGAAGAAGCCGACCCATCAACTGGAGCTGATAATGCGGTCAAATTAGAAGCGGAACCAGAACCACAAAAGGAAGAAGACGCCGACGACGCCAACACTACACCACCTCTCGCGCCCAGTGAAGCAGACTCTGTACTCAGGGACTCAGACGCCGACGCCACCGCCCCAACCACAACCAAGCCTTCCACCGCGCCTGATCTACCACCACCAGCAGCTCCCATCGAAATCAAGGGTGAGACCGCTTCCTCAACTTCTCCTCCATCCGATTAGCATAGCTAAAATTTGTCTTTTCATTTGATTCGTAGTGCCGCGAGGAAGAGGTCGGCCACCCGGCTCAAAGAATAAGAAGAGAAAACGCAGTAGTTATCCTTTCCCTTCGTCGTCGTCGTCGGCTGCGAAGAAGAAGAAGAAGATGTCGCTCTCTTCTTCTTCCAGGGTGAGTAATATTAAGGCGGAGGTGAAGGCGGAGGCGGACATGGACGAGGAGGAGGCTGGGCCTGGCATCGTGGTGCAGGATAATACAGAGGTTGTGCTTGATGCACCCAGGGAGAATGTTACACCTGCTGCTACTGCTACGTTGCCGCCTGCTGTACAAGAGTCTATATTTCAATCTGGGATTAGGTCGGTGAAGAGGATGTTGTGGAGGACGTGATGGGGTGATTGAGCCGTTTCATGTATTTTTTTTCAGACATGTATGAACACACACACGCACGTTCGTACGCACACATACACTTTAACTTCAGTCCCCACACATTGAATAGTTAGATACCCCTTTTTCATGTCCTTACTGCTCCCACGTTCGCTTCGTCAGTCCATATGTATCGTCTCTCTTTTCGTCCAGCAGTGTATGTAGTACACTAGTTCGTGTTATATACTTACCAACCGCAAACAATCCCAACAATAACACTTTAATCTTAGTCTCACGCTCAATAACTTCCGATTTCTGAAATTCTGATCTCTGTCATTTGATACACACCTACTTCTCTGCCCACCAGCAATGCACTCCGCGCAATGCCGTGGTGATGATGCAGAGCCATAGAAAATAAACTACAAAAAGGGTATACCCACACCATGTTCCATGCATGCCTAATATAAGAAAAAGAAAGAAAGAACGCCATCGCTGAATGCTGTTTATACCCTGATTTTCATGTCTCCCATATGATTGAGTGATGGTGAATGCTGATGCTGACAATGGTAGTTATCCCACTGCTTCCCGAAAATTCTGGTTAATGCATGCATCTTCCTACCATCCTCGTCCTGTCCCATCCCTTGTTCGCTCCCGTTCCTCCATAAAAGGCAGAACAGCACAGCTTTCGATTCCATGAATGCATCCGATGCTCTTTGTCATGCACATCAATCATCAGCCACGTCAAATCATCACATGCTCATCCTAACCCCTCACTTCCCCACACCAGGCAAATTCGCCTTTCCAACCTTCATCCTGAGCACCAACCTCCTCATCTCAGCACCAGGACCCGCACCACCACCGCTCTTCTCCACTTTAACAAGACCGCTCTTGGCTGCGGCACGGTTCCCGTTTGTCAGGGATCCCGTGTCGAAACTTTGGCGTTTGGAGGGTCTGTCATCGTCGGCGGTTCCGGTTGCAAGCTTACGCTTTTTGCTGTCTCGGTCTCGGATACGGGCTAGGTGATGAGGGGGGAGGCGTAGTTTGACGATTTTGCTGCGCTTTTGTTTGATGATGTGCTTTGGTGTGGGAGCTGGTGTAGCGGTGGCGGCAGGACGGGCTGGTGGGGCGACGCTTGGTCGAGGTGAAGGGGCGGCGCTGGGACGTGGTGATGGGGCTGTGCTTGAGGGTCTGGAGGGCACGCTGGCACCACTGGCAGTTTTTGTTTTGATCTTGAGCCTGGGGGCCGGTGGGGGAACATTTGATGACATAGCAGGGGTGGTATTGATGGGCTTTGGGATCTTGACAGTCTGTTTCGGCTTCGCCTGGGAAGACAGTGCAGAGGCCGGCGTGGAGACTTTGGGCGGTAGGATCGGAGTCTTGACTACTGGAGCTGCTGCTGGAGCTGGAGTGGGAGCCGGTGCTGGAGTTGCGGCCTTTGGAGTAGGAGCCGGGGTTGGTGCCTTGGGAGCCGGTGCTGGTGGCGCTACTACCTTCTTCGGTTGCATCAACGGCACCTCTGGTGTTGAGGCACGGGAATCTGGCTGAGGAGGAGCTGGCGCTGGCGCTGGCGGCGGTGGTGCCGGGGATGCACGTACGGATAGAGGAGGTACCGGTGAGGGCGAGTGATGAATAGTGGGCGAAAACACGATAGATTGACTCCTTGATTTTGCAAACGGTGACTCGCCGGTTGGCGTTGGAGACGCAGCAGACTTGTTCTTGAGTCCACCAATCTTGAGCGACAGTTTGGGCTGCCCTGGTGGCTTCGCTATCGGAGCAGTTGGCTCCCGGATGGGCTGGGGTATGGGAACTGGTAGAGGCGGTGGAGCTGGAGCTTCCGTTACCAACGGCCGCTTGGGTGTCCATCGGTGCTTCTTAGTCTGCGTGAAACGAATGACGCCCTTGCCAATGTGCTCTGCTTTCCAGTAGCGCGGAAGATGCAGTGTGACAGGTAGCTTGTTGACCTTTTGGTTGTCGAAGATCATGTCACAGATATCCAGGAGCTCAGACATGTCGCTCATAGACAATGTTTTCGACTTCAAAGCCTCTTCAAGCACCAGACGGAGAGTCTTGTGACCCTGCAAGTCGCTCTTCAATCCCCTCAGAGCCCCGTTAAGGTTTTGGCGGGCAAGGGCTGATGCACGTTCAGCGTTGCTGGCTTCATTCTCAACCACAAGCGTATCTGCTGTGGTATCGACTGCTTTCTCCGGCGCCCAAACATCACCAGTGGCGACCTGGCCGATAGCAATGCCGAAGAGACGTAGCAATTGCTTTCTGAAGTACGGCGATGGGTCAGACCGAATCTCGTGAACCAGAAACTTCAACACTGTATCTTTGCGGAACATGCCCAGTCGAATAAGACACTCCCATGCCTTCAAGCGGACATTGTCTGCATTACCAAGCTGAGCGTATTGTAAAAATTCGCTGGGCTTGAATGGAGTAACTCGGCTCATGACCAGCTTTAGCGCGCAATCAAGAGCAGTGGTCGTGTAAACGTTTTGATATGTAGGAATCCACTCATCCAGGCGTTGATGGCGAGTGAGTTCTCCAATCGCTTTGCTGGTAAAGTCTTGCTCCTGGGCCCATTCCTCGTGGCTGAGGTCGGACGTCGTGTTAGACTTTGTGAGGGTCTCTGCTATACAACGCATTAGCGTCGCTATGTAATGGTCGTCGCTATAATCGTTTCCGCGGTTATCATTGTAGCGTACTAGATCGAGCAGGAAACGCTTGGCCTCCAGTGGAGATCTACCATCCTCGCCCTTGATTCTTGCAATGGCTTGTGGAATGGCGCACTGGATGAGATACATGCTTCGATCCGAAAAGTCGTTTGATCTTGTCATGCCAGAATTCGGTAAACAGAACAGCTCCTGGAAAGCCTTCTTGAGATGAAACAATCCCACCCAGTCAGTCCGCTTTAGGGCGCTCTGGGCCAACACCGAGGCGGCCATAGTCCGTATACCGTGAAAGTATCGGTTGTCCATCAATGTCTTGACCAGGAAGGTTGAGATCAGCTTATGACCCTCCTTGTTGGCAAGGAATTGTATAGATTCGGCCTGCGCAACGACGTCCTTATCCTGCTGCAGTTGCGAGACATACATGTACGACGGCATGTCTTCGATGTTGGTTCGGCATATCCACTCAAAATCTGCGTCAATCCGGATCCATTCATAGGCCTCCCCCTCTTGCTTAGCCTCGTCCTCCGCTGGCCAGTCATCTAACCGCCACTCATTGTGCTCTTGGGGAGTGGTGAAGAGATCTCCTAGCATGTAAAAGGTGACATCCTCTTGTGTCTCACCTGAAGCGTCGAGACCTGCCGCGGCGGCCATGCGCTCTTTGTTTAGTCGGTTTCTCTTAAGCCGCTTGTACTTTGTGTTGTAAGGAATCTCGACTTTGACGTTGTTTGAGTTGATATCCACAATGTGTTCATAGGGTGTTCCGTCCGCTTCATGTATCCGAATAGTCATGGGCCCTACAAAGGTCGGGTATCCAGTTGCTGACCGCAAGTCGCGAGATTTTTCTTTGGCCTCGCGCATAAAGTCATCAGCGGATAGACCATTTTCGAGCGTCGTGATGGATGAATCGGCTTGGAGTTGCCTAATGGTGAGTTGTACTACTTGCTTCTTTTTGTTGAACGTGGGGAGACAGTGAAATGTGGGGCATCCTGAGCCAACTATCCATTGTTGGAAAAAGGACTCAAGCTTTTGGTGGCCAACCTTTTCACAGATATCGAGAAAATCGTCCGTAGTAATGGCGCCATTTGGATACTTGCCTTGCCGCGCATTGAACAGCATCCTGTACAAGCACCTGTCCACGCCATTCTTACCGCTCTGTTTCACCAGACGGTTGTGTAAGATGGAGAGAACCATGAGCGATTTGAGCTCCATAAATTCCAGCTCGCCAGGATCCAGCTGCAGAATTTCACCGAGTTGTTGCAGCGAGGGCCGCTTCCGGTCCATTTGAATGACTTTGTCGACCATGAGCTTTTGACGGAAGCGCCAGTCGTTTCGGCCGAATAGCTCACGGAGGTAGAGCTCAGCCATGAACCATGAGCCACCAACCACGATCCAATGGTCTTCTGGGTTATGTGAGATGACGTCTACTCCTATCCATTGGCTCGCTACAGCGTGTACCAACACCCTAGTTGTGTGTTCGAGCGGCTCCCAGACTGTTTCGGGGAAAAGAAGGCGGGAGCTACAGATGGAGAAAGATGCTGTGTGTGCGGTGTCGCATTCCAGGTCATCCACGAATGCAAGCTTATAGGAGTTGCCAAAGGCATAACTCTGAAAACGCTCAGTGAAGGTATCGAGAGCCCGGGCTAGCATCATGGCGCTATTTCTGACCTCGTTCTCTTTGCCCGGCAGACAGAAAGCGTGGACCTTGATCGCATTCTCCCCCAAGCGCTCGTCGTCCAGGGTATCACGGTATTCGGAAAGATCGACGTGCTCAAAGGGGCCAATGACGAAGCCGATGTGTTGCGGGAGAACGGGAGTATCGCAGGAGAAACTGGCGGTCTTTCGTGTAGAGTCTGCGGGATCGAGAATCTATGCTGTTAGCAAAATATGCGATGAGCACATGTAAACAAATACGTACATCATCTGTCAATGTCCCAGAGCAGATGACTTGCATCTCGATAGCCTTTTCCTCGTCGGACAAATCCACCTGGTCGTCATCTGCATCCAGCATAACGCTATCGGCTTTTTCAGCTCGATCTGCCTGTGTCTGCGCATTTGCACTTGAGGCGGGGCCTTTGCTAAGCGCATCGCCCAGGGTCCGGGGATAGCGAATAGAAACATCGAAAAGACACCTCGTTTCGCCGTCGTCTATGCATGGAAACAGACAAGATGCGGCACCGGGAAAGGGCGAGTTGCGCGTGTAGGCATGCGGGTAGCGGGCATCTCCGTCCTCCAGACCGACAAACTGCAGCGCATCACGGAAATCGTCCAATTCGTATTCGATTTCCAGCTTCAGTGGCGCGTAGAAGGTTCCCTGGGCATCGTCGGTCATGCCAGCCTCCGAAGGCTTCACTTCCCGGATCATTACTTTTTCAGGTATGGAGATGACCAGTTCGTCTTCGGTGCCAAGCGTGTGCCGCGCTATCCGTTGCTTTGCGTAGTGATATTGCTCGAGGCCGGTGCCGGGATATAATGTCAGTCGCTGGTGCAGGTTCGAGTAGCTAAACGCCGCCTTCTCGCCGTCGACCTTGATGCTCGTTGGCTTCAGTTGGCGGCAATTCAGGGTAATGTCACGCAGTTGGGACTTGTCGGGCTGTATGTCGAGTGTAGTGAGGCCTTTGACCCGGCGCGGTGCAAAGCTAAAGTCGAGCTCGAGCTGCTGCTTCAACAGCGTGAAAGAGTCGCCCGACGAGGCGTCTTCCATTGCGTCGGCAAGCTCGGGGGGCGCCATGGTGGGCGGCGACGCAGGCGATGCTGCTCCCGAATATGCGGCGGTTGGGTGGGGGTCTCGAGGGCTGCGATGGTCGTGGGTTGAGTGCGGAGGCGCGCGTTGTACGGGAGTTTCGCGACAATGGACGCTAACACTCATGGCCCGTGCGTGGGTTATATGGGGCGCTCACCTCGTTCCGCTTCATATTGCCCACGTCACTGCGCGTTTTTGGCTAGTGAAATGAGTAAGTGCGCTTCAATTCCCTTCCACCAGTACTTTCGCATTGCTTTCAGGACTGTCCACATCCGTGTCACATGATGGCTCCACGTCATACCAGGAGCATGTAAGAATTCAAAGCTGTCAGAAATGCAAACGACCCATACTTTGTTTTAGCTTTAAGCGGGTAAACGCTCTCGCGTGAACTCTAATTGTGTAAAAAACAGAAACTGTAATAGAGCATGATAATATAGCATGCCTCCCAAGCAATGTATTCTATGGTCAACAACAAAAAAACGATGATCGGCCTCCCCCTCTTACTATACTTCTTCCACATCGGCATCGTCCTCTAAAACTTCCTCTTCCGCATCCCTACCTCCAGCGCAAGCGGCTTCCTCAGGAATCCCTCCCTAGTCTTCAACTCTCCCTGCCTGATCTCGAACTCATACCGTCTAAACACCGTGGAAACAATCAGCGCTAATTCCATCTCAGCCACGTTCCTGCCCACACAAGCTCTGGGTCCATGGCTAAATGGTATGAAAGCTGCCTTCTGCTGCTCGGTGATAGTTTCCCAACGCTCCGGCCTGAACTCATCGGCATCGGGGCCCCAGATCTCAGTCGAGTGGTGGATAGTGTATGCGGGAACGGAGAGAGCAGTGCCTTGAGGAAAGTGGTGACCCTGGAGTGTGATTCCTGGGCCTGGGGGAATGAGACGGGGAAGACCGAGGGACGAGGTGCTGTGGATGCGCATAGTTTCCTTGATGACCGCGTCCATGTACGGCAGATCCTTGACCTGGGCAAACTCTGGCACAGCGTCCGGGTCGGGTAGGGCGGCGTCTAGCTCTTCTTGAAGTTTGCGGACAACGTCTGGGTGCTTCAGGCAGTGGTACAGAATAGCGCAGGATGTGTTGGAGGTAGTGTCGGAGCCGGCGATGAGTTGGGTCAGGGCTTCAGCGGTAAGTTCTTCACGACCAAGCTTGTTGCCGTTTTCATCACGACCTTCCATGAGGCGGGCGAGTAAATCAACGCGATCAGAGGGTTTCTCAAGACGGGCGTTGACACGAGCGATTGCAATACCGGCGAGGTTCTCGACAGCTTTTATACCTTGGCTAAAGAATGGGTCTGGGAAGTACTTTGCGTAGGGCTTGATGGCGGGGAAGCAACCAATGGTTCTGTAACGTGTCAGTTCTTGTACCTCCACCGAAAAGTGAGAAATCTACATACCCACTGACTTCACCCCTGCGGTTCAACACTTCAATCGCAGGCGCATACGTGATTACTCCGTCCTTGCTAACCTCTGCCTCGTCTCTGCCCTTCTTCAGCATACCAAACGGCTCTCCAAACGCCAAATCGCCAATGACGTCGAAAGCGAGGTAGTTGAACCAATGCAGTGCATCCATCTGATACCACCCATCCTTATCCTTGACGCTCTCAGCCCGGCTATCCCACTGCTTCTGCAACTCTGCCAAATTGTGATGAATGTACTGTTCAAACTGCCCAACGCTCTTAGCGGAAAAGGTGTGAGACACAGTCTTGCGCTTCCTGGTATGCTCCGCACGGTCCCTGGTGTTGAAAAGACCACGTCTGATCGACACAAACGCATCATAGTACTCGCTCTTCAGGAACCCGTTACCATGGCCGTAAATCTGCGGGATAGCGTCCGCATCTGCGATACTGACGTGATGTGGCTGGATACGAACGACCTTGCCATACTTCTTGTGCGCCTCGTGTACGGCGAGGAAGCGTTTGCCCTGTCGACACTGCCACAGAAGCCAGAGGTTCGTCCAAGCGGCAGGGAAGGGCGCCGGAATGTTGCGAATCTGCCAGTTGCGGAGGTACGGTAGTACATAGTAGACGACCGGAAGGAGGAGGATCGTGTACGGCGACAGGAGGAGTGATACGACCGTCATGATGGGCGAAGATGAGGAAGTTGGAATAAGCAATGGAAACAAGCAATTTAAAGAAAGTCGCCCAGCTTGATCGCGTAGCAGCAGCGTCAAAGTAGCCCCGAGCTCGACGTAATAAACGTTGGCTACTCTTACTGCCTTGTGAGTTTCGATGAACCGTCGACGTGTTCAATCCCTCTCTTCATCGTTTGCCAGGCCAGCGAGCAGGCTCCTTATACCCCTTTCACACATACCCTTCCTTCGCTTGCGTAAAAAACCCCATGTGGCAGCCACCATAGAAATTTCCGCGAAACATGGAATCCCCAGGGCCGCAACACGCGACCTGCCAACGTCACTACGGCTTCAGATCCGTCTCGATCCATCATCAAGGGCGGCCATTGACCAATCAGGCCTCGCTAGTTTGGCCTTCACATAGCCGTGTTGAAGCTCCGAAGCACGCTCTAAGTCAGCAAGTCGTAACCCCGCCCTCCCTAGCGCCCGAGAGTTCTCCGTTCCACCCCACGTCGCCAACAGCATCATCGGGAGCCGACGCCAAGACTGCCTGCTTCCGATCAGCCTCGTCTTCTGCCTGAGACTACTGCATGTGCGCGTTACAGATCCAAAAGTACCGTGTTGCAACCTGGAAAAAGCAGGATACTATGTTAACAGAAACTGCCGATGTGCTTTCCGTGAAGCTCAAAATGGTATGTGGCGTGTCACGTCGGAGATATTGCGGGTACGTAAGCAGAGTTGCGCCGAGTAAGCTGGTATCTTCCGTGGCGTACCGGATGATTCGATACACTCCTAGAGCATTTATATTGTTCTCGCGTGGAGACGCCGTTGATTTTTTGTTTTGCATGAAGCTGGCCGGTCTCTCGCTCCAAGGACACCGAAGCTCCGAGAGTCCGGACAACCTTGTCATAGTCAGACGATAAGAAGCTTTAGCGTATGTACCCGCCAACATGTCCATCCTCTACTGTATACAATGTGCCTGACAAGAACACACGTGCAGTTTCAATCTCTCTCACCAAAAGGTAATCCAGTCGTTACTCTCAGTCAAACTCATGCTTCAGGGGGGTATTGAATGAGAATTTAACGCTATCTAGCTAGTCCCGTTGTCCAACTACGTATATATTCCTCAAATGAGGCAAAGAGGTATTAGCGCCATGCTCTCAACGTAGCAAACGCCTTGTGGTATCATCCTTTCGAATCAGTCCGTATCTCATTATCCTAGCGTGTGTATCTTCCACCAAAACTGCGCTTAATTGTTGTCGTCGTCGTCAGAGAAGAAGTTCAAGATGGCCTTGACCGCCATAGGGCCCAGCCCGTGAGGCGGGTAGCAAATGTAACTTGGGTCATCGACCGCACCCAGCTTCTCACGGAACTCAGTCTTGTTGGTAAGCTTGAGCTCCGTTGCAATGGCGTGGTATGCGCGGCTGAGGACCTTGACACGCGTGCCCTTGACATTATGTCCGGGGCTGAACTTGGAGCTGGCACCACCACCAAAAGTGACGCTAGTAGCGCCTTCGGCAGCGACCTGCTTGAGAGCATGGGTGACAATGTACTCGATGGAACCACCAGGCGCACCGGGGAAGTCGAGAGAGTACTTGACTTGCCAGCCGTGATCTGGCGAAAGCTGGGCCATCGCTACAAAGGCAGCAATAGTACCATCGGACGTGGTAGCAATGTGGTATTGACGGTGCTCCTCATCCTGCCATGGGTGGATGTTAGTCAAGTGAACCTGCTTGCCCTTGCGGTTCTTCAGCCAGTCCTCTACACGAGCATCGACCTTTTGCTTGATCTCTGGTGGTGGTGGTGAGCCGATCTTGTAATCAGCAATCTTCACTCCCTCCTTCTCGGCGTGACGAATCTTGCGCTGCACATCCGAGTCCTTGTCGGCGGGGTTGTGGGCTGGGTCGACACGCTGTTCTCCTGTAACGGAGAAGGTGCGCCAGTTGAATTTGGTCGCTAGGACCTCCTCAGCAGCAGCACCGACAAGTAGCCAGAGCGGCTTGAGGTTGCGCTCCTTCTTGATGTACTTGAGGTAAGCAGCCATCGTCTTCAGGTACTGAGACTCGTGGCAAAGAGGGTCACCGACGGTAATGGCGAAGCCATCCTGAGGAACGAATCCAACAGCCGCGCCGGTGTTCTCGTCACGCCAAATCTCTGTGCGAGGCTCCAGCCACGATGTGTTCGTCGCGTCACCGTAGTTGGCAATGAGCTTCTCGATTGGCTGAAGGTCGATCTTGGCAACAGCGCGATCTTGACCCTCCCACGGAGGATGCATTGTGCTTGCTTCAGGATGACGCAGCTGTTTGATAACAGCCTTCTCTGGCAAGCTCTTGGGGTCACGGGGGAACATGGAAGCGTGACGAATGTTTCCAAGACTCATCATCAGCATGAGAATACGCTCAAGACCGATACCGCCACCACCGTGGGGTGGAGCTCCCCATTGGAAGCCTTGGATATACTCTTCCATGGAGCTGGGATCGACCTTGAGTTTGCGCATCTTCTCCAACAGCATATCAGCGTCGTGAATACGCTGACCACCGCTAAGGATTTCCTGGCCTCGACAGAAGATGTCGAAAGAATTGGTAACGTTGGGGTTGTTGGGGTCGTTCATGGCGTAGAATGGTCGGGCATTTGCTGGGAACTTGTCCAAGATGTAGTAGTCGGTTCCGAGCTTCTGCTTGATGACGCGACCGAGTTGGACCTCGTCTCTGGTGCCCAGGTCTTCGTTCACGTCAAGCTCATTACCGTCGTCATCTCTCCAGCCAGACTCGTTCAGCATGCGAACAGCATCGGCGAATGGGATGATTGGGGTCTCATCCAGCCAGACCAAATCCTCATGTGGGAAGTGCTTCTTGATGACCTCAATTTCGGGCCGATATTGCTCGTAGATTCCCTTGAAGATGGCCTTGAACGTGCGATCTAGCACACGGAGGACCTCATGGTAATGCTCATCAATTTGCATTTCCAGATCGAGGCCGGTGTACTCGGTCAAATGACGGTAGGTGTTGCTGTTCTCGGCACGGAATACGGCACCAATCTCGTACACTTTGCCAAAGTCTGCAGAGATGGCCATTTGCTTGGCCAATTGGGGACTCTGGGCAAGGAAGGCACCACGACCAAAGTAGTCAATCTTGAACACACTGGCTCCTGACTCGGTAGCACCACCTTGTAGCTTGGGAGTATGGATTTCGATGAACCCTTCCGAGTCGAGCTGGTTACGGAAGAGTCTGCAGATACCAGACTGGATGCGGAAGATACCTTGCGAGGCTGTTGTTCTCAAGTCGATAACGCGGTTGTTCAGACGTGTGCGATCGGCAATCTTGACCCGGGTGTGACCCTCCTTGTGGTCTTCCTTTGCTAGCTCAGCGTCCACTTCAGCCTGGGTGACTTCGGCTTCGTTGACGTTGAAGGGCAGGTGATCGGTGACAGAAGCTTCGACGTGCAATGCGTGAACGGAGACCTCAACATCGTGGATGGTGGCGCCGAGGACCTCTCCCTGCTTGGCCTTGGGCTCCTGTAGTATACCCTTGACTAGCACAACGGTTTCGGCGTCAAGGTGCTCTGCCCAGTACAACATGTACTTTGAGATATCGGCGTGCTCCACGAGCACACCCTGAATGGTAGCGAGCTGCTGGCGAAACATGAGGAAGACAAACTTGGAGCTCATCTTCCTCAGGTGATGGATACGAGCGCGGAAGACGACCTCCTTGCCAATATCCTTTGCAGAGAAGTCTTGGATCTTATGACGGGACTCATGCTTCCACTCTCCCGCATAGCCGTTGGGAGGGAGAATGCCATATATGGCCCTTTGTTCTGGTGTCAACTCAGTCAGAGCCTGCTGTTCCATCTCTTTCCTCCTGCGCTCCAGCTCAGCCTCCTTCTCCATGTTCTGCTTGTGGCGCTCTTCCTGCTGAGCCTGCCTCTCATGCTTGCGCAGCTGACCACGGGACATGGGCTCGCCTTGGCGGTTAAGGGGAGCATCCTCATCGCTTGAGTCGTTACCAATGTGCAGCTTCTCCTTCACGGCACGCATGGGGCTATGGGTGGAGAGAGAACCCGAGCGTGCGGTTTTAGTGGCACCAGCCCGGTTTGGGCTCTCAGTGCGGCGGTGGAGGAGGCCGCTGAGGGAGCCGCGTGGCTGATCTATGCTAGACCTGCTCTCAGTGGGTGAGGCGAGTTCACTGCGCTTGAAGTCGCCGCTTGCCCGTGAGTTGCCGAGCGTAGCAGAGGAGTGGGATGTTGCAGAGGGCGACTGGGCCCTAGCATGACTGTTGAGCGATGTAGGCGATTTGACGCCACCCTTCTCGTCGTCTGAGGGTGAATGACCATTCTTCGTCGGCTTGAGCTTGTCAAGCGCTTTCTTAAGGGAACTCATGGTTGTGGTGGTGCGAGAGCTGTGCCCGTTGTGCGTGGTTAGACTACCTGAGCGCAGAGTGGGGCAAGCAACCGCGAGGTGATGGCTGCTACTGCGAGGGGTGGTTAGCAGAGAATGAATGGCCTTGTACGAAGAAAAAGAATTCTCTACAATCAGATGTGACTTGCAGTATTAGATTGCCTTGGAGGGCGGGAGCGAGCTGAAGTATACAATGACCGGGAACGGCGTGGCTGTTGGGTAATTTCGCTATGACGTTACCCGTGGGCCCTCCCGATGTATGCTTAACTGGATTGTGCCTGGGGCGCTGAAAGCAGCGCGCGCCTTTCCCAACCGCCGTGTCAAGGATCTGCCCCGTGCGCGAGCGTGACGTAGTTCTGCTTGCAAAGTCGAATGTCTAGGCCTTTGCTGTACGAAAAGGGCACGAGAAGAAGACGAGAAACGGACGAGCACATGAGGCTGTATCCGACGGACACTGGCGGCTTTGCATGGACATACCAACTCGGGTTATTGTGTGAGGCATAAACATCCCACCCTCCATACTCATCCGCATGCGCGCCATCTCCGCTGACACATTTCACCATCCTCCGCTTCCGTTTCGCTGTTCGTGCGAAGCATTGGAGCCGAGACGTTTGACATGCTTCTATCAGGCCGCCACCCGCCTTCAGCCACACTATAGCCAGGCAATTTGATTAATTCACATCCGTCACCCGTACGCTTGCTTACTCCGGGCCTCCGGCGGCCCCGAAGACAGCTAAGAACTAGATGTGCAAACGTTTTAGTGGCGTGCCGGGAAGAGGCCGACCGATCCTAGCCTCTGACCAACCTGCAGATGATGGCTTTTCTCACAAACTATGGGATTGTGCCGGAAACGCATACAAACAGGGTCGCGGGCGGCCCATAGTATCCCGCATCATACGAACAAAGTTTGTGCAGAAAAAAACCTGCTACCCTGCATTCTGCGTCACAGAAATCTTCCAGCCCATGAAAAAAGAGAGATGATCCTCTCAGAAAGCAGTTCGTCATCGACGATCGGTGCGCGCAATAGCAAGTTCTGCCAGGCACGTTACAACCCTCGAGATCGCATTCCAGCCTGCAATCAGCCACACATTGCCGGTAGCCGCCCAGACGCCCTCCACTACCACATTAGTTCGGCACATGGCATTTCTGGAGTAGACCAACTAAGTAGGCGAGCCGTGTTTATGCCACACTGAAATTAGAATGCTTGTGGCGTAGAGAGATTTGGAACCTGCAAGCTTTTAGCGACAAGATCCTCTTGCCTGTTCTGTCATCTACATGCCCCGCATCATAGCTTGATTCTGCATCATACGCTTGTTATCTAATCTCCCGGCTATCACCAACCGAAACCCTTCCTTTGCTTCCAAATACAATCTGCCGCCCTCGGTTCGCTTCCCTGTTTTTCCTCTTTCACGTGCCAGCATGTCGCACTTGACGCCGTCTTACTGCATTAGACAAAGGACTTCATAATCATGACTGATGCTGTCTACGAGCGCCAGGTAGTAGGCCTTGACTGCACGTCTTTCTTAACACGATCACAGCAGTAACAGCTTTCTCTCTTATTGGACAATTTATTGGCGGCTGTACTGTACGCATCTTTATAATCAAGCACATGTCTCCATTCAAACGCCCCACCAAGTTCGGGTAGCACAAAGAGTAGCCTCAGTAGACTTTAACAACCATACATTTTAAGAGATTGATTACTCTACTGGGTGAATACAAAAGCCACTTGACTCCATGCACCATACAAATTGACTCCGGCGTCTTGCGTCTCACCCTCAGACGGCAACATGGCTGCTTCTCGGCCTGCACAGTAGTGAACTAATCCCCTTGGAACTGAGTATAAATGTTATTGCCGTTGAGGTTAGAGAAAGATGACATCCTCCCAGTGTTGAGCAGTGTCGAACTTTGGAAAGAGTCGAGCCAACTACGCCACGAGCTGACCCTTTCAGTGGATCCTGTCATGCGTAACTGGGAACAGCAGCGTCGAACTTTGGAAAAAGTCAAATGGGGATTTTGGTGAAAAAAAGGGTGACAACAGTTCATGAGGCGCAATTTGGTGGTTACAAGAAGAAAGTGCCATGGTAGCGTGTCGATGCCACCCTGGTGTTTGCTACAAAGATGGAATGAAGCATCGTAGGGAGCAGTGCGGTCGCATGGTTCGCTGCACACTTCGATGGATTGACAGTGACCAGATTACTTTTCGCCAGGTGGCCTGTGGACTCCACACTTTGGGAGAAGACCTGGATATGTTTGTCTGGCACGGAGGGTGCATTATGCATCGACCTTGGTAAGGGCGTGACAAAGACCGGACTTTGGGTCGTCATGATGTTCGCAGGATGCCGTTTGGTTGGCAGGAGTGGCCTGGCTCATCGCAGCCATGTTCCGATGGCCATTTTGGGCAAAGGAATTAAGATCGAGTTGTTTTGACTGGTCGAGTACTGTTTGGTGTGCTTCAGACCGGAACAACGTCGAGATTAAGAACAGTGATGTCGAGGGTGTCTTCAGGCTGGATGTGTAAGCAACTGCAAGTCACCAACGAGTAAACTCTCATGTCCTGAAAAATACCGAATTACGACAGCAATGGCGCATCAGTGAAGGCAATTATAATGCTCAGCTAGACAAGTTCCGGAGAATGAAAGGCGTTGAGCAGAAAGTCGCGTCGTATTGTAGTGCTGTCTGGGAGACGAGCCTAGAGAGAGCGCGATGTTGTCGAAGAAAGCGGGCAGTTGCCTGGTGTGCAAAAGCGCGAGTGGAGGGTGGCAAAGTCGCGAGACATACAACAACACAAAAGGAACTCGCTTAAACGAAAGGGTCTCACGCTAGGATGTGAAAGGCAATAACGTAAACGACCGTGTTCTTCGGTTTCACTTATATGCGCAACCTCTCGCCCTTCCACCATAACCCTCTGCTATATATACCTAGGTGTGGACCTGTACATAGAATCTACAGCCACCTCTGCACCACTCCATCCCATCTACGACACCACCTACGACCTCCCCAACACCCACACTTCGCCATTACTCGAAACATCAGAGGTCATAAACAACCTCCCATTGGCATCCCACGCCAACCCGGCCGGCCTAAAGCAGCCTGAGCTAAAACTTGGCCCATTCCCAGCACACTTTGTAACGTCCGGATTGTAAAAGATATCTTTTGCCGCCGTCGTACTCGTCAGGGGCTCCACGGGCGTGTAGTTCCCATCTGCCCCAACCTTGAACTGCACAGCAACAAGCTTAAATCCTGTGACGGGCTGCCTGTTCCAGCTACCGTGGTAAGTAATGTACATTGTTGTGCTGTCGGCGTCGAACTTGCAGTCGATGGGTGCGGAGTGTGGGAAGAGGGTTAGTTTAGGTGGCGTGGCTTTTTGGACGCAAGTGTCGTCGTTCATGGAGGTGGTGGGCTGTTGGGTAAACCAGTCACCAACTTTGAACGTCTTGTCGGTGAAGTCGCTGGGCTGCCAGACGGTGAAGCAGGACGGGTAGCCGTACCAGTTGTTATTGGGTTTGGTTACGTCCCCCATGTAATGGATCTTCTCGCCGGGGTTGTTGAGGTGGATGTCTTTGCCGTTACGCTTGAAGTCGTCACCGCTGTTTTCTACACCCCAGAGCCTGAAGGGAAGTTTGTTAGGGGGTGCTGTGGTAGTAGGATAAGGTGAGAAGGGCTTACATGTTGTTTTTGTCGAAGCAGATGCCTACTTCGTTGCGTTGGCCGTAGCCGGCAGTGTAGCCACCGGAGACGTAGTTGTATCCTCCGCTAGGGATCTTGGAAAGATCAAAGACTTTGATGATTGCACGACCAGTCTTTGGGTCTGAAGTGGCTGTATCGATGTTTGCATTGGAGCCGTGAGAAACGATAAGCAGATTTGGGCTCTGCGGTGCGATGGCAAGTGTACGTGTCAAGTGGGAGCCACCGTTGTACATGCCTGTTATGATGGTCGTCCGCGTCCCAAGCGTACCGGCGGCGGCATCATATGGCCATGAGTAAGCCTGAGTCATGGAGCTCGCGTACAGTGTCTTTCCATCAGGGCTCATGGCAATACCGTGGTTCAGGTTGTTCTGAGACATCAACATCTTGGTGGATGTAATACAGCCATCCGAGCCCATCTTGTGGTACGAAATCCCCTTGCCAGACTGCACAACCAACATGTTGCCAGCACTGTCAAACTGAATGCTACGGGGGCTAGTCAGGCCCCCTACAATCTTAGTAGCCTTCCATCCAGACGCTAGATTACCCTGAAACGCAGGGCTGCCAGCGCCAGAGCAAGACGCTGGAATGGCAGCGGGTGCTGGCTTGGTGGTCGCAGATGGTGATGACACCACGCTTGTCACAACGGTGGTTGGGGAAGGACTGGCTACAGGTGCCGTTAGCAGGTTGGCCTTTACGAGAGACTCAAATTTATCGATGCGGGCAGCATCTAGGTTATGGATCCATTTGCCATAGGCTTCATGAACATTAAAGGCAGAGTCGTTCCGGGCTGGGTTCTCGACTGCAGAGGTACCGTACGCCCACGCGAACTGAGTTGTGCTGGTACCATTCAAGGCGTATCGCGTGTCTTCGTTGTTTTGCCACCCAGTGCAGCCTTTACACAGCGCATTGACTGTCCAGTGTGTGTTGTTGGTCTTCGTTCCTTTGAGATAGGTGTGCTCGGCCCCATCGTATCCAAGTGGCATAGATATACCACTGTAATGCATCAGCTACGTCTTCTTGGTTTAAAAATTTGTCACCTACAAGGCAAACCGAGCCGATATCGTTCCAGACTGTCCATTCGGCCAGGAAACGCTCAAAGGATTCCAGACCATATCACCACCCCATGAGAAACCGACCCATCTATTGGCGACCGGAGCTGTGATCCTGATGATGGCATCATAGGGATCTGTGACATTTTTGGGGAGAGCGACACCAAAAGTCATTCCTGTGCCCGGATCCGTATAGGAAGAGTAGGTAATCTTTGTTTCCGCATCGTATACTACAGTAGATTGTGCCTCACCTTGAGCAAGAACTTGGTCGCTGTCAGTACAGTTCAGGCTTTGAGATGTTCAGCTTACCATAGCCGGCAAATGCGCCAGCACTGCCAAGAATCTGGGCGTAACGCATACTGATCTGGTTCTTCGGATGTTCTATACGTAAGGGTAGGCTTCTCGGTGTCTCTCAGTTGGCCCTTTTCCAGGGTTTTATGTCATCCATCTCAACCCTGAAGTGGCTATCACAGCAAATACAAGGGTGATGACTCACGCGGGAATTTGCTTGGATACCATCAACTCGCAATTTGGATTGTCTTTAGTTTTTTACCTTTAATGAAAACGTTGGAGAAGTTTCGGGGTGATCATATCGATCATCCAATCTCAGTGACCATAATAGCAACTTGTAACAAGCCAAGACACCTAGGCTTTGTTGCTCTAGGGGTTTGGAGCATCCTGGATAGGTATTTGTCCGTGTGTAATGACCATACGCCAGTCCATTGGTGAAGCTTCTCATATAATGAGTACCATTGGATGATATGGAATCGATGTCATCTATATTGATGAGCTGGAACCATATCCTGACCCGGACTCATACTCGTGGTATCCAGTATCGCCCTTATCCTATTACTGAATGACGTTGGTACGTAGGATATTCGAGCCGAGAGACGGCAATTGACACGCGAGGCGGGGCCAGTATCCGTATGCGTGTGGTGGGGAGGCCCCCCTGTCCCTTCTTTGATACTGTATGGTTCGCGTGGGATTCTTCCATATAGGCCGTTGACGCTAACGAAAACGGTTTGTGGGGAACCTTCCGGGGCACCAGGAAGATGAATGTCAATCTTGATTCGTTGCATAGATACCAAAAAGTATAGAAAGACTACGCACAGTCCTATCACCCTTGACAGTAAAAAATGTGTGGGCGTGCGATCTCGATACTGGGGCGTCGCTGTAAAAACTAGCAAAAGGGCATACATCGACCGATATTCTCAGTTGCCCACCCACTTCAATAATAATCAGCTCCTGGCCTGCTGTTAAATGGCTATCCAATTGTCATTCGATCCGTAGTGAAGGTTGGTATCTGAGCTTGCTTGGGTTCAGTTTACTATCCTATTAAACCTATAGATAGCAATCAAACTAATACCTATCATTCTTTATTCCTTCTCGTTGGTATCGAACGGCATCGCAACATCATTAAACTTCCTATACAAGAATTTGACCCTGGGTAAGTGGAACTGCCGCTGTCGATATAAATGGGCAGGAGTAGAACAAGATAATAACCTCTAACCTAGGGG